CTTTCCCTTTTCAAAGCGGACTCCCCTCCAATATTCCTAAAAGCCACAAGTTAGATCAGAATCCTGGAAAGCAACAACTGAGACCCGTGGGGCCGCGGGTCAAGCGAGACATTACACCATTCCTTCAATTAGCCATTGTGTCAAGAGCAGGTGGGGAGGGGAGCCCCGTCTGGCCAGGCGGATAGAGGGATGTGAACCTTTTTGGGGAGGGAGGACCCACTGCAGCCTGATTCAGATGAGGCCCTCCTTCCCAGAAGCTCTCACTGATGGCACCATTGGCAGGAAGGGTGAGAGTCCAATCAGTCAAATAAATAATGAATCTGGAGAGTGCCACTTTGGCTGCCCCTGGCTTCAAGCTCTTCACTTCATCGGGGAAGGTTGCAAAATTCCACACATGAAACAAGCAGGCTAATTCCCTCCAGACCAGACCCATTATCTCTCAGCGCTGCTTCCACCTCTTGTTTGGATTCAGTTCTAATCTGCAAAACGGGTTGAAGATTCTTGGCTCTCTGCATTCTGACATGACAAGCAGGGCCTGCAACGAAAGGCCCAAGCATGGAATGCTCCCATTCAGGTTTTCAGTCACTCCATTCCACTCCCACCTGCAAACATTCGGTCAGCATTCTGTGCCCACTGAGCACGCTCAGACTTGTTGGGGCTGATTATAAAGGGTTTTGAAAACCCTTGGGATTCTCTAAGCCTGCTGATACAGTACCTCTTTCCTGGGCATGAACAATGCTGTTTTTGGCTACAGAAGGCCCAGCTGCACTCGTAGGACCGAAAGTGCTGTCAGTCTTTCATTGCAGCCTGTTGCTTTCCCTTCTCAGCAACCCCAGGCTGACACTGAGGCTGCAACTGCAGGCAAATCGGAAAGTACATAAAGGGTGTGTGGGGGTGTAATTGATTGTGTTCATTAGGAAGGGGGAGCGGCAACTGCGCATGCCTTTGCCACACAGGATGGAAAATTAGGATTCATTTAGCAACACAAACACAAGTGTGTTTATTTGGACAATGGGCCTGGATTATTCCGCTGACCTAACGTCACCTGTGCAGCCTCTCCTCCTCCATCCTTAAATATCTCAAAGGCTCTTTGGTGTTGGACAAGGACTCAGGGAGATGCTGGTTAACACATTGGATAGCTCAGCTGGTTAGACCATGGTGCTGATAATGCCAAGGTTGCAGTTTCAGTCCCCATATGGGTCAGCTGCATATTCCTGCATTGTACAGGCTTGGACCAGATGATCCTCAAGGTCCCTTCCAACTCTGCAATTCTATGATTCTGATCAAGTTCACTGGGTGAACTTTCGCCCCTTACAATCCTGCAGCACAGTCTGCCTCGCAGGGTTTAAACATCTGCTAAAACCAGGGCAAAATTTCCAAAGGAGCATGTTGTGACCCACTAGCGAAATTCAGAGCTTTTCGTTTGTTTTATGTTGTGCGTAGAATTATTTGGGCCTGAGTTCATTTCTACGGGTGATGTTGTTGTTATTCTGCACGTTGCCTTTTGTTTCAAGAAAAAAATACCAAGGCAGTTCAGAAACAGCAAAACAACTTCATCAAAACGTGAAAGCATCCATGATTAAAATGTGTAAGAAACAAGCCCATGGAAACAGAATAACAGTTACCTTGTGTTCTGTTCAAATGGATATGTTGTTCGCTTTGTGCTACTGTTGCTACTCATAGGACCCCTTCCCCACCTCTTGCAAATCCCCTGATGCTTTCCTGCACAATAGACAAGCCACATTTTTTCCTTCTGCCACTTCTCGTGTGCATGTCTGACCACCCCATCTTGTCCCGGCCTGCTCTTCCTCCCCACCCCATCCCAGGCCCCAAACATTGCACCCACCTGCTAGATTCCTCCCCAGGAATGTACCTGCTGTTTGACTTTCCCACTGGGAGATGCCTGGTTTCTGATGGAACTTAGAAAAAGATGCTCATCCTTTATGGGGTGAACTGGGGAGGGGGGGAACCTCTCCCCACTGCCCCTCTATATCATTCATAGACTTTCTTGGCTCTATCTGCACAGAACAGCAGATTGCACAAAAGGAAAGTTTCAGGCACTGAATTGTGAGTTTATGAGCCAGCTTATTTCTCTCTCTTTTATTTCAGAAAGAAATAATACACAAAGTTTTGTTGCGCAGTCCAGCAGCTGAGGCAAAAATTTGGGAGTCAGCATCACTGAGCTGAGGGGATTTCCTTCACGCCATTGGCACCATACATTTGAACCACTAGGATACCATTTTAAACACTCAAGACTTCCTCCAAAGAATCCTGGGAACTTTAGTTTCTGAAGGGTGTTGGGAACTGTAGCTCTGTGAGGTGTGAACTATGTTTCTCAGGATTCTTTGAGGAAAGCCATGTGCTTTCAGTCTATGGTTTTCCTCCTTTTTGCTTGGAGTTCTAACCTACACCCCACCCCCTAGTTGCCCACCCATTCAAGGGGGGTGAAAAGCCCCTTCTGTTATTCTCCTCCAGGTCACCTTCTGGTCGTATGCCAGCCTTGCTGTATCTTTCCATTCTGTTCTTTCTCAGGTTAACCTGCTGAACTATAAATGAGGTTTATTGGCGGTTCCTGGCACCTCGAGAACATGGAAAGTTTCCTTCCAGAATGACCTGCCTTTCAAACGTGTCCTGGAGGCACCCCAGGTTTGAGTCAGGGAGCAGAGGTATTTTAAGCAGGATAAATTCCCATTAGCGGCAACGAAAACAGGGACGAGAGAACCACTGGGAGGAATAAAGCAGAAAGGACCAACAGGCTGGATTTCGGTCACTTGAGCAGATGGCTGCCCTGTAGTGAGATGTGCAAAATCAGAACTGGATCTCACCAGGGAATACAAGCAAGCGAACAAATGAGAGGTAGGAAATGGAGTAAAATAACATTGCAGAGGACATTTGGACTTTTTGCGCATGCTTCACTTTCGAGCTTTTGGAATGCGTTTAGAGCACATTATTTTCCCCAAGCAATCCTGGAAAACATAGTTTCCCTTGCGATTCTCAGCACCCTTCACAAACTACAGTTCCCGGATTTCTTTGAGGGAATCCTGCAAGGTGCATTGAATGTACTTTCAGTGTGTGGTGTGGCCTTCATGGCTCTGCCTGTAAGGTTGTCATGTCTTTCACGTCATATCTGTGATTTAGCCACACAAATTGTCCTCTGGCTTTGAATTCGGTAACCCTTACAAATCGTGGTCGCCAAGAAGGATTCTACAACCTAGATGCTTCATTGCTGTGAAACCTTAACAAACTACCCACCTGATTAGCCCAAATGGCCCATCCTTGATGATGATGATGACACTGATTTGCCTTTTCCCACAACAGCACAGCCTTGCTGAATATAGGAGCAGAGTGGGTAGAATTTCCTCTGTCTTTCTCCCTGTCTGCCCCACTTCTTCTCTTCCACCTCCACATCTCTGTCTACTGAGCATTCCCAGACAGTGACCTCTGCCACTTAAACATTGCAGAGCATTTTTTATTTTTTTTTGCAGGCGGGTGGGGTGGGGGAGACAAGAGAGGTTGTGTTTATACACCCAGCCAACCTGCCCTCCGTCCCCACCTTGCCATCTGTGTTTGCTGTACAGCCCCCCACTCTAATGGCAATTCCCCTTCCCAACACACTTGCACTGCACCAAGAGCCTTTGGAGCAAGTCCCTGCGAGGCTGCCCCGACGTTCCAGTAATTCACGGACCAAGAATGCTGGTGCCTTTCTCAAAAGCTGCGAAAGCAGGAAAAGGCTCTCAGTGCCTGTGTTTGTGTGTGTGTGTATGTGTGCATTGGCCCCAAAATCAATAGGGAGGTCATGCTTATTTTGGGGTGGGGGGGTTACAAACTGTGCCAGGGTGCTTTGACGGGTCACAGCCCGAGTTCAGCAAATACTGAAAAGTCCCAAAAGGAGGAGAAACACATGCCAAGCAAGAGGCCTGGCCTCTTAACATTAAAAAAGCACTTCTGCAGCTTATTTCAAGTCATTCTAAAGTCGTTGACATACGCTGTCTCAAGAATCCACATAACAGCCATGTAGGGCAGGCCAAGATTATTACCCCATGCCACAGGTGGAGGCTCAAGGCTTGTCTAAGGCTGTCACATCCACAGTGTACATTTAAAGTACAGTGGTACCTCAGGTTACATACGCTTCAGGTTACAGACTCCGCTAATCCAGAAATAGTGCTTCGGGTTAAGAACTTTGCTTCAGGATGAGAACAGAAATCGTGCTCCGGTGGCGCGGCAGCAGCAGGAGGCCCCATTAGCTAAAGTGGTGCTTCAGGTTAAGAACAGTTTCAGGTTAAGAACGGACCTCCAGAACGAATTAAGTACTTAACCTGAGGTACCACTGTATATGACTTCCCCCAAAGGATTCTGGGAACTGTAGCTAACACCAGTGCTATTTTTCTAGAAAAAGAGGTGCCGAAACTCATCATGCATGCCTCCTTTGTTCTCTTATAATGGCAAGGGTGCCCACTTAAGAGGTGCCAGATCTCAGTTCCAGCTGAAAAGAAAGCCCTGGCTAACCCCGTCCCAGAGCTACAATTCCCAGAACCCTTAATAAATGACAGTTCCCAGAATTCTTTGGGGGGAAGCCATGTGCTTTAAACATATGTTGTGGATGTAGCGCTAGAGAGTTAATGGCTGGCAGTGCAACCCAACAGCAGAAGCGACGTTGAGGACTGGCCACTTAAAAACCAGGAAGCCACTAAGTGCTTTGAGCCATGCAAAGGAGCCCTCCGAGGCTGATTTCCTTGCTCATTCAGCACATGAGTTTGAGGCACCTTCGCGAACAAGTGCTGGCAAGAAGCCCCGTGATTAACAGCCATTGCAGCGTCCAGACAGTTTAAATAGAGGGGAGGGAGGAAGAGAGCGAGAGCTGGGGGGGGAACGTTACACAGCTGGCTGGATGCAAAAGTTTACCAAACATCCAGGCGGGTTTGTTACAAGCGCAGGGATGGAAGCCAACCCAGTGTTTATCTTGGAGAAGGAGCGTGGATTTTGCAAGTGACTCGACAGAGCAGCTTTGAAGTAGAAAGAGCAGGTAGGGTTCTCTCTCCTGCCCCCTGCCCATTTATTTATTTATTTATTTATTATTATTATTATTATTATTATTATTATTATTATTAAATGAGCAGCCTTTAAGAACTGCCTGACAAGTGGACATTCAACAGGTGCAGCTTCTCTCAGCAGGGAGGTGCACTGGGGCAAGGGGAATTGAATCTTCACAAAGAGGTGGCAGCTTTAAGGGAGGATCCTGGTGAGGTCGAGTGAGGTGGGTGCCTCAGGCGGCAGATTCCAGGAAGGGGAAAGATGTGGGTGTTGTGTGGCCTGCCCAGCACCCTCTAAGCTAGCCTGCCACCTGTAGGTTTGGTTCAACATGGTCATTGTTGGAGTAATATTTAAACACTGGGTTGGTCACTTTCTGCTAAATCTGTCGATTTCAGTTTTTCTCATTCTCTTATTTTTTCTTGACATTTCTGCAATAGGTTTTGGTTTCTTAAAAAGTTTGCATGAAAATTCACTAGCATTTTAGTGCAAATTTTCTCCTAATATATGTATTTCAGTATACAGTTTTGCCCAATATGCTCATTTTTGAAATGTATTTCCCCAAATATAATGGATTTCTGTATATTTTCACTACTTTATGCAATTTATGCATGCTATATGCATTATTGGCTGGGGACTTGCATAATTGGGAGAAGTGCAAATTTCAATTTTGCAAATTCAAAAAAATTCAATTCACATATTGTTTGGGAAAGTAAAATTAGGTAGGTTCACCTTTAAAGGCAAACTGAATTGAATCCTGGCCCTTCTCCCATCCCTTCCTGCTGCACATGAAATAGAATTCTATACATGCGTCAGACCACAACATGTCTTGGATCCTGGACAAATTTGAATCCAGGATCTTGGCGGTCTTGGGCAACGTACCATCAGGGTGATGGGGGGGGCACTTTGGGGCATCAGCGACTGCTCCCGCTCCCCAGCAGAGTTAGCTATGATCTGTGGTGAGTGGCTGTGAGCCTCCTGCCATTTTAAGGATGTCGCCAATGCAATGCAACATCCAAGGTATTGTGGGTAATCTCAATGGCTTTCATTTCCCACAGTGCCATGGGACAATCAATGCCATGTCAAGAGGGGGCATTGCACATAAATGACATTGTGGGCAGTTCACAAATCTAACAGCCTGCACAGAGAGCCCAGGGCTGCCATTAGCCAAGGGCGCTGACTTCCCTTCCCCATTGAGGGGACCCAGCATCGTATGACATCACACACATGAGATCATGCACCCCTATGCATGTCTCGCCCCCGCCTGATGAGCAAGCACTCACCTGGCAGCAGGGGGAGTGCGCCAAGGGTGATCTTCACCCTCCATGTATCCTGCCCCCGTCCAGAGTGCGAGTGCTCACCCAGCGGTGGGCTGCAGGGGATGGCAGCCCCCCTCAGTAAGCGGGGGGTGGGCTTAGCACCCTACCCACAAATACTGAGGGGGCTGAAACCCCTTCTGCCCCCTACAGTTGGCACCCCTGCCATTAGCGGTGGTCTCTGCCAGGTCTCTGCTCTCCGTATGTGAAGGAGACATGTATTTTGCCTATCCAGTGGTACCTCTGGTTATGAGCTTAATTCGTTCTGGAGGTCCATTCTTAACCTACAACCGTTCTTAACCTGAGGTAACACTTTAGCTAATGGGGCATCCTGCTGCCACCGCACCGCCGCCGCGCGATTTCTGTTCTCATCCTGAGGTAAAGTTCTTAACCCGAGGTACTATTTCTGGGTTAGCAGAGTCTGTAACGGAGCCTGTTTGTAACCTGAGGTACCACTGTATAGTACGTGCAAATGTGAGTTACTTGCACTAGGCCTCATCCTGTCTTCCTGGCCAAGGATTACCCACCCCTTAGAAAATATTTGTGAGGCCGTCTGAGCAGCATGCAGAGTGCCTAGCCGCATTTCTCCACTAGGTGATCACGGCTTGCTCCCAAATATCTGAGATTAGCAAGGAGTGGCTTAAGCAGCTGAGGAAAGGTACAGAGTTCCCCCTTTCCTATTCAGTTCAGAAATGGCAGCAGTGTTAAATGTACATGTTGTGGCATGTGGAATATAAAACATAAAAGGTTGGGGGGGGAGAGGGAGGGAGGCGTTAAGGATGCATCTGTGGACAGGTGAAACAGATGTGTGGAGGGAAGATGGGAACACAGCAATGTAACAGCACCATGACCGGATGATCTCCCGGTGTATTTTTTTATTATTGTTTTTATTAAAGGTTTCCTTGGGTTATAGAAGTACATACATTGTCTCCACTTTCAGACTATAAAGTCCTTTTTACAGATCAGCTACATTTAATGTGAGGCTTCAATGCTGTACACAGCATGAGGTATCTCCCAGTGTATTTGACACTACGCAATCCTATGCACATTTGCTCAGCCTAAAAGCAGATCAAATCATTTAACCGATTTAAAAAAAAAATGATAGTTAATTAATTTGTATCCTGTAAAAGTTTTTCTTTTTTAATGCTTCATTAAGTACAATAGAGTTGTGGTACTATGGTCTCCTCTGGAAAATGCACAGAGGAGTGAGATGATGTGTCTGACAGCATTAGCAGCAAGTGTGTCTTGCAAGGATGTGGACGTATGTATAGAGAACAAGGCTGCTTGAGCAGAAGTATGCGAGGGTCCCTGTGCTTCAAACTCGGAGCCCATTGGGCACGGTAGAAGGGAATGTGGCCCAGACACCCAATGAGGAGAGAAGGTGGGAGGTGGGCGGAGCATAAGCAGGGAATAAAAGGGGCTGCCCCCCCTCCAAGTCCTATGGGCACCCAGAGACTCTGAGAAGGTACTGCAGACTCTTTACAGTGGCCAAGATGAATCTTTGCACCTCGCTTCTGCTGTTGTGCCTGGCCAGGGTCAGCCTGCAGGGAGGAGGTAAGTCTGGGAGACGGACATGGAAAAGGGGACAAACAGAAATAGACAACAGAAAATTCAGTTTTCGTGCTCCTCTTAGAGGGATAACACCAGGAATAAACAGAGGGACTGTTTGCAAGAGGTGGGTAAGAGAGACAAGATAGAAATTTATTTTTTAAAAAATCAAAAGAGGGAGGGTGTAGCTGGGAAGGTCCATTCAGCCTCCACCCCTGTCTTAATCCAACGCTCTAACCACTACACCATGCTGCCTTTCACATTGCACCAGCAATGTGATGTTGGTGAGACACTTTGTTGGGGAAGATGAAAACAAATGTTATAGGTGCTTTTAAATGAGGGCTATAAGGGCTGGCATTCTATACAATGTAAATCTGGGCACCAGAATGCAGTGAGAGGTGGGTAAGGAGGATGCAGGAACTGGGTAATTTACATTGAAGGAGATCATCACTCATCTGTTGCCAGGTTTCCCCTTGACTACTGGAAGTTTGGTGTTAAATTTAATTATTCCTGCACTCCCAACTGAGCACCCCAAAACGTAGGGATAGAAAGATTTATGCGAAGGAGCTAGGGCAGCCTCTGCCAACCAGGTGCCCTGAAGGCTGATGGGAGTTGTAGTCCAAAACACCTTCAGGGCAGATGCTGGGCTTGGAGCATATCCTTCATTTGCAACAGAGTCTTAATTGAGGTATAGGACTGTGCTGTTCAAAAGAATGGAGAGAATTGTTATGCTGAAGATTTACAGTGCAGACCCATGAATGTTAACTCTGAAATCTGCCCTGCTGTTTCCAGTTAAGTGTGCACCATAGCTGTCAACTTTTCCCTTTTCTTGCGAGGAATCCTATTTGGAAGAAGGGAATTTCCCTTAAAAAAAGGGAAAGGTTGACAGCTATGGTGTGCACCCATAGGATTGTAGCTTCAATGAGGGTGGGTGGGTCACAACTGGAGCAAAAATAAATAAACTTTATGTCTCTTGCATATCCTCTTTTGCATCCACAAGGGTCAGGGAACAACTATGGGGAGAGAAGCACAAAGGTACTTCTCAGCTTAATGACCAAAAGTCATCTGCTTCAGGTCACTTAATGAGAACTGGCTCATCTTCTGCAACTCCCTCTCAATTTTTTAATCCCCACTAGGAAGAACCCCATCCTGCCTCTTACAAACTCTGTAACTGCTACTGATTTTATTTCATTCATTTAGGATGCTTCCAGGCAGGGACTTAATACTGGAAACGAGTTGTCATATTGGCAACATTTTTTTATTATTATTCATTAAATCTGTATATCACCCTTCATATGTAGAGCTCAGGGTGGTTCACAACATAAAAATACAAGACAAAACATGAAAAAACCACAAACCAATAAAAAAACCCACCCATCCCACAGACACATTTAAAAGGATATTGCTTGTTCGTTTGTTTTACTTGTTTTCTGTCAGAAAGGGTAAATCTGTATTGAATTAGGGAGGTGGGAGAAATGAGTTAGCATTGTGATGCAGCCGTAAGCAGCACCGATCCCACAATAAACATCTGCCTGGAAGCAGCTTGATTTTCTATACTACCTTTCTGCTGAATGGCAACTTCTTCAGGTTCTTAAAATCAGTGTGTGTGTGTGTGTGTGTGTGTGTGTGTGTGTGTGTGTTAAAAAAACAGTAATTGCAACAAAACCAAACAAAATGCAGTAATATATTAAGGCACCAGTTTGATATTGCTGCCACTAATGGTGCTCCATGCCAAAAATCAATTAAAGCAACATAATGCACCTTCAATAATTGTTCCCTTAAGTCTCTTGTTTCCTCTTCCTTTCCCATACTTTTTTCCCTTTGGTATCATGCCACTTACATTAGGAAGTTGTCTTAAACCAAATTGGATTGTTGCTCTGTCTAGCTCAGTATTGTCAACTCTGACTGGCAGAAGCTTCCCAGGGTTTCAGAAAGGGCCCTGGAAATATTGGGGAGTGAAGTGGAGACCTTTTGCATGAAAGGCAACGTGTGCTTCCACTGAACTATGGCCTGATTGTGATTCTTCAGGCAGGGACTGCCTTGCTTGTTTGTCTTGGGACAGCGCTTAGGAGATTTTACCTGCTTTGTAAACAAGTAGTTAATATTAGTACCCATGAGTCATAACCATGGTACAGTGGTACCTCGGGTTAAGAACTTGATTCATTCCAGAGATCTGTTCTTAACCTGAAACTGTTCTTAACATGAAGCACCATTTTAGCTAATGGGGACTCCCACTGCTGCCGCCACGCTGCTGCTGTGCGATTTCTGTTCTCATCCTGAGGTAAAGTTCTTAACCCAAGGTACTAGTTAATTCCAGAATACGTCAAAGCTAATGGCAATTGTGTGATCATTGCATAGGGTCCCACAAAATGACAGCAGAACTTGTGCATTGCAAAAGGGGTCAGGAGGCTGCAAGCCCCATGGAAATTGGAGAGGAGCCCCACAAACCAACTTTCCTTTCATAACCCCAACATCCCTCTTTGGCCCCGGGCTGTCCCAAAAGTCCCGGCTCAGGGCAACGATTGGGAGTTTGCATACTGTTCCTTCCAGGTCACATCTCTACCTGGCACAAGGATGCCACATTCCTTCCATGCCCCGGGCAGCCCTGCACACACAAAGACCTCCTTCTCAGGGGAGAGGGGACTGACACCCCCTTGCAAAGCCCTGAAGGCAGGCAGGCCAACTCCCTGAGCCAGGAGACAGGGTGGGACCCAGGTGGGCCAGATGGCCAGGGTGGTGAAATAATCCTTTGGCACCTGGGACTCAGGCTTTGAAAGGAGCTTTGTGGAAGGGCCCAGAGCCACCTTTGCTGGGCCTGACAGGGCAGAATGATGGATGCTTTCCGCCAGATGTTGAGAGGAGAACCAATCTCTCAGCAACAGGAACAACCAAGAGTCTTGTGGCACCCTGAAGACTTAACAGATTTATGGTGGCGTAAACTTTTGTGGACCAGAGCTCCTCTTCGTCTGCCGGCCAACTGAAGACAAACCTTTCATACATCTGGTGAAGTGGGCTCCAGTAATCCATGAAAACTCACTCACCATCTATGTTTGCTAAGGCACTACAAAAGCCTTGATTATTGGACGGAAAGTGTCTATCACAGCTGTCTCTTCTAGATGTTCTGCAAAACATGCTGTCCACTTACAGCCCAAGGAACAAAGTGTGAACTAAGGACCCAAGAAAAACACCCTGATGGTCATGAACTTGGAGGGCTTTCAAGTGGGATTAGGAGGGGGAAAAACCATGGGAGATAAAAGCTGTCAATGCTAATTAGTCATGAGGATGACTATGTACTCCTTCCTGTGCTGGAAGCAGGATGCCTCTAAAGACTGGTTGTTGAGGACCACAAACGGTTGGGTGCTGCTGGTTGTGGGCTTCACTTAGACATCTGGTTGGCTTCTGGGGGAACAGAACACTGGAGTAGTAGTAACTGAGCTAAGTCTGATCCAATACATTTTGCTGCCTGAGACAGAGCAGCAATCAGCTCGCACATGCGCATGCGCGCACACACACACACTCATATGGTCAGGTCAAGGTGCATAACTCATTGACAATCTGCCACTATTTCACGATACCCCAAATCAGCTGCCTAAGGCAGTCGCCTCCCTCTGCTTAATGGTAGAGCTGGCCTAGATCCAGCAGGGCTCTTGCTATGTTCTGCTAAGGCAGTCCCTTTCAAAAACCAGTCTATTGAGTTATAATTAACTTTATGCTAGAGGCTTGGTGTGTAAAACAATATGGGAAGTGATAAGGCTCAGAAATATAAATAAGGTAAAGGATGTATGTGATATCCAGTCTCATTCCCTTTTTCTTGTGGATCTTTTCCAGCATTTAAACCGCAATCAAATGGCCGGGCAGGTCCTTACTTCCCATCCCTGATGAGGGGTAAGTATCCTGCATCACACCCACCCCTCATAAGTATATAGTGTGCAGCTGCTAAAATCAGTGGGATTATTTTTTTTGTCCTCAAAATCCAGTTCAATGAGTGGCTTTAAATGTGCATATATTGACCCTGAACTAGTTCCTGTGCATACACAAAGGCTGACTGGTGCCTCTGAAAGATCTCCTGCTCTTTGCTTTCTGTTTCATGGGGCTTCCCTCATTTCATTCACCCTGCCCTGTTGGCTCTGCTGAACCACCCACAGCCAGTACAAGAGGGCAGTTCATACTTTGTGGTCTGTATTTCATCCCTTAGGAGGAGGAGTTGGACTGGGACTGGGACCAGCTGGAGCCAAGGCCGGTAAGTTTTGCGGCAGATCTTGAGGTTGGGGTATGGGGTGGAGGGTGAAAATCTAGACAGAATCAAATACTGTACCCATCTTAGCATTTGCTATAGGATTATCATGCAGTACTTAAGACAACAAACTGTTGCTTTTATATCGGCCGGGTGGTATAATAGAGCAATGCATCCATTTAAAATGTGGTGAGCATCTGATAGTTACTATACTAGCTTTTTAGTGTTATTATAAATAACTATGTCATTCATAGTAACTCTAGAAAGCTTGTAGATTTCCCACAAGGGACTTACCTGCATTTTAAGTATTTCAGCTCCTCAGAAACAAATCCTCTTTGTTACAATATGCAATAGTTTGTTGTTCTTTTCCAGCTGTCCACCTTCACAGCATTGCCCAATTCTTTAAAACTGAAGCAAAATTTGGAAGAAAATGTACACTGCAGGGGACTTGGTTTAATTAATTCACACACACCACACTTCCTTCAAGGTGCTCTCTCACTGACAAATTATCTTCACACCAGGCCTGTGAGGTAGTTTTAAGATGAGAGATAGTCACCCACAGTGAGTTTCATGGCTCAGCAGGGATTTGAACCCAGGCCTCATTAGTCTACATTGTACATAACATATGGGAACTGCCAAGGAAAATACCATGTTGTGGTTTGCAGTAAGCCCTGATCTGTTATGATCACTCTACTTTCATTTCCCCTAGCTATAACCTCCTTTGTTTTTTATTCCCACAGGGAAATATCCAGGCTATGGGGCCCAAGGATTGCCAGCAGGGCTGGGTAAGTTTAGCTGTGATGGTGGCCTTAAATACAGAGGAATAGAAAATAATAATAATAATAATAATAATAATAATAATAATAATAATTTCAAGCTGTCAATTCATATGCCAAAAGCTGACTGGAACAAAAATGTTCCCTCCTAAAGAGATTATTAGGGCTTGGCCTACGCTGGTGGCAGAAAGCGGTTGACAGAGAGATGTTTCTGCTTTTGCAGGTGCTCAGAATGGATTTGGGGCTGCTGGACCAGGCTTCGGGAACAAACCAGGAAAGCCAGGTGAGCAGGACATGGAATGACATCCAGGGAAGGATGTCCTACATCCATCAGTGGGGCCACTGCTAAGCCATGGACCATATGAAATGTAGAAACATGGTTGGTCTTTGCCCAAATATAAGGGTTATTGTTGCAACCAATACTAAACTAAGCGACTTTTCTCAGTTGTTTCCAGAACACAGGAAGCTGCCTTCCATTCGTCAGACCGTTGCTTCCTCTAGCTCAGTTTTGTGTACACTGACCGGCAGTGGCCCTCCAGGATTTCAGACAGAGTATCTGCCATCCCGTTGTGGTTTAACCCACAACGCGGGTGGTGCTGTGGGTTAAACCACAGAGCCTAGGACTTGCCGATCAGAAGGTCAGCGGTTCGAATCCCCATGACGGGGTGAGCTCCCATTGTTCAGTCCCTGCTCCTGCCAACCTAGCAGTTCGAAAGCATGTCAAGTGCAAGTAGATAAATAGGTACCACTCCAGCAGGAAGGTAAATGGTGTTTCCGTGTGATGCTCTGCTTCGCCAGAAGCGGCTTAGTCATGCTGGCCACATGACCTGGAAACTGTACGCCGGCTACCTCGGCCAATAAAGCGAGATGAGCACCGCAACCCCAGAGTCGGTCACGACTGGACCTAACGGTCAGGGGTCCCTTTACCTTTACCTTATCTGCCATCCCTACCTGGAGATGCCGGGTATTGAATCTGGAACCTGCAAAGCAGATGCTGTACCATTGAGCTAGAGTCCTTCTGCAATCATTGATATTGCCTGTCCATCTGTTGATGCTTTCTGCCTTTCTACAGGATACAGAGTCCCAAATGGATATGGAGCAGGTAGGATGGCTTCTCTTTCCCACTTCACTGAAGCATGTCTCCATTTCTTCCTGCCTCCCATGCACATGAGAGGGGGAACAGGATGAACTGGAATTGAATGGCAGAGCTGGGTGACGGACAGTGTAGAAAAGAGCAACCATGTGATCGAGGGGCTCTTCCGTACAAGGAAATAATAATAATAATAATAATGTGTATATATATATATATACGTATATATATGGCATTTTCAGAGAGAGACTTAATCACTTACCAGCAAAATTCAAGTTTCGCAATTTAAACTGAATTTGTGCACTTGCACAACAATTGCTCCAGGCTTTCAGTTTGCAAACAATAAAAAATAAAAGCATGTGTAAATGAGCGGGTACATGGCAGAGATTTGTAAAATTATGTCCTGTGCAGAGAAATTAGAAAGGGAGGTTGGTGTTTTGTTTTAGCAATCATTACATGTATTTATTTATTTATGGGTATATAACCCACATTTTCAGGCAGAGTACAACATATAGGGATAAAAATCAACAAGAGGTCCATAAAAAGACCGTTAAAAATAACAATAAAACAATAAATATCAATAAATACTGGTTAAATGAAAAATTCATGCTGTAATGGCCTGTCTAAACAAACCTCTTGCAGGTTTAGGATTGTGTGTGTCTCTTGCTCTGTTCATGACAGTTTAGTGCCCTGCTCCCCCAGTCTCATTCTGCTAGCATGTCTTCTGAAAGGAGGGAAAGCTATGGGGCTTGCAAACACCCACAGATGCTGTTCATGAATCTGGCTCAAGTGCCAGCCCTGGTGGTCCCCATTTCAATTCCAGTGTACAGGGTAGGAAGGACAGAAGCAGCATTCACAATACACCTTGGTGTCTTCAGACTGATGCCTTTCCTCTCCTTCTGGGGAGTCTCAGTGCCCAGAGCCAAGGACATGTTGGTTCTCTGCCCATAGCTGTCAACTTTCAGATTTGAAAATAAGGGATCAGCAGCCTCGAAAATAAGGGATCAGCAGCCTCACCTGTCCCGGAGACAGTCTATGGGATATTTAACAATCCGGGATAGCAGCGGGAAGCAGCGGGAAACAGCGCTGAAATAAGGGAATTTCCCGCAAAAAAAGGGAAGGTTGACAGCTACGGCTCTGCCCACCCTGGCAAGCCAAAGTGCACTGTATCCAAAGCTGGTCAAGTTATTTTGGCATCAAAAAATAAAAATAAAAAAATCTCACTCCCCCTCCCTTCTCCCTTTGCTTAACGTGTTGTCAGGTTCAGTGATTTAAGGTAAGCTGAGATCTGTTGAGCTGGGGTGTGTGATTCCTTTGCCCAACTGCCTTAATATTTATATTTATTTCTATTTAACAGTGATTTTTATAAACTACCACTAATTTCGGGTCAGAAATTCAATCACTTACTGGCAAAGTTCAAGTTGCACCATCAAAGCTGAATTTGCGCTCTTGCACAACAAACTCACTTTCCCCCAAGGTAGGACTTTTTGCACTAAGGAAAGTGCAGTGAAAAGTGTGGGATGTTGCTTGACACAAAGTCTTCCAACCTTCCCACAGACAAATCAGAATGAATGCTCCATAAACAGGTCCTCTGCAAGTGACCTTAAGTTGTTGTTTTTAGTGCCACTCAGATTTAAAATGGAAATTTGAATAAGCAAATGTAAATTCCACTTAAAAGAGGGGAACTAGACAGGATGTTTCTATTCCATCGTCGTTCATGATGCATCTTTGCCTTCCAGGTTATAGAGGACTTGGTTACCCTCGTGTTGGCCTCCCCTTGGGAAGTAAGTCAGATACCTTTACTTCTTCCTTCTGTCTCATTACCTATTCAACAGGTACCTCACTTACGTGCTTCGCTGTTCCTTTACTCTCTTAACATTCCATTGGCTAAACACGTCTTGCTCGAATAACCCTCCATTTAAAAAAATGCTTGCCAAGACTTTACAAACTTGGAAGACCGCTAAGTGACCCAGCTGCACTTCTTGGCAAAAACACCAACCCTTCTGCTTATTTTACCCTTTTGAGAACTGTTGGCCATCCTCCTTCATTTTCAGACCCTGGAGCTGAAGTACTGGACATTGGATGCTGTGTATTTTTTCTGTGGCTTCATCTGAGGGTGCTTTCCCACCCACTAATCATGAGATTGTTGCCTTTTGTTTTGTCCACGTGTGTTAATGTTTTGACCCTCCAGTGTTTGGTGCAATTTGGCCTAATGGCAACCGCAAGACTGCACACACTCCAGTTATCTGTTTTGCTAGGGATCATTTCTATTCTGTGTTCCATGTCTGCAGAAAACCACTGTCTGGTTGTTGCTGTTTTGCCTTACAAGGGTGCATTGTTAAAATGTTGGTGGTGCAAGATGCTCAGATACATAATTTTCCAGGGTTCAGCCTTTTCCTCCAGAAGTTACCTGGGGGAAAGCTGTTATGGTAATCTTGGATATAATATGGACAGTTCTTGACTCCAAACACACACCTGGCACCCTGATCACTCCATGAGGGTGCTTGGATTGAGCAGAAGGGTCTGGATATGCATCTTCTGGCTTGGAAGTGACAAAACACTTGAAAGTACGGAAGGGAGGTTGTACCCCACAGGGTTGGTTTTCAAACATAGGGCTGCTGATACGATCCAAAAGATTAATTCACCAATTTCAGTAAGCATGGGGTTCAGTGAGAGAGAATAATTTTGCAGAGATCTGGTTTCCTTTTTCTTTTTTTGCATATGTGAATAGGGGGTTGGTGGGGGTCAAGATTCTTGGGACTTTTTGGAGAGACATGATCTGACATAAGTGTGAAGATGTGTATCTTACTGTATTATGAGGTATGCAGTTTAGGGCAAGAACCATGGTACTCGGATTAGTGTTTATTGTTGTTCTGTGATGAAAATTTACAACTTTTTTTTAAGGTCTCTAGAAGTTACACATCTGAGTGTGGTAGCAGAGCTACTTGTCTCTAGTACCCATGCAGATGAATGCCAGAAGGGAAATTCATCATCTTGAGCAATATCTGCTTTCCTTGAAACACAAGTGGATGCTGGCTGTAGCAGGGTCCTGTGAAACCTTCAGAAGCTAGAGAACCTTCAGAAGCTCAGATGAATTTTCAGTGGCCACAAAGTGGGTCCTGACTGAGCACTCTGCATAGCTCTTTACCCCTTTCTATCACTGCCAGAAGCAGAGAGGTAGACAAAATAAGTGCACTTAATTTGCAACATTTATGCAGATCACATAAATTTAATTTATGTAATTTTTTTTAAAGTATGAAGTACACAAGCCTGCTCTTATTCTTTGTACCTAGTGTTCTGGTCTGACCCAGTCTCTTTCTCCTCACTCAGCAGGCCTTGGAGCCAGAGGCAAGCCTTCCAAATCAGGTAGCAGTACTTTCACCAACAAATGTTCCACCGGGAAATACTCCTCCCATCATTCCCCAACATTAGGGCTGTGTGTCTGCTGCATGTGTACAGAATTCATAATTCCAACAATCCAAAAGTTCTTCTCCAGGTTGCAATTTATATCAAGCCACTCTCCTTCTCTGGCAACTTGATTTTGGGGACACCAAGATCCTGGTTGTTACAGATCCTGAGAAATGGGGTTTTCCAGGTCACCTGAGTCCTTAGTATGGATGGCAGGCACCTTGGAAACAGCAGGGCTCCTTGTTCCTCAGATGCTGTTGCAAGCATGCTCAGCAGTCCCCAAAAGCCCTTCCTACTGCCATCACTGCCACTAGATAAAGGGAAGGGAGCAGCAGGGCAAGGTAAAGTATTCTGTAGAGTGTTGGTTGGGGGAGGCATTTAGAAGGCCAATTGAGCTTCTAATGGTGTAATCAGGAGTTCAGTGTGGCCAGGATTTCAAAGTTAGACTAGCGGGGGAAATAACCTATGTACAAGAGTGGCGCTGTGGGTTAAACCATAGAGCCTAGGGCTTGCCGATCAGAAGGTCGGCGGTTCGAATCCCCGCGGTGGGGTGAGGTCCTGTTGCTCGGTCCCTGCTCCTGCCAACCTAGCAGTTCGAAAGCACGTCAAAGTGCAAGTAGATAAATAGGTACTGCTCTGGCGGGAAGGTAAATGGCGTTTCCGTGCGCTGCTCTGGTTTGCCAGAAGCTGCTTAGTCATGCTGGCCACATGACCTGGAAGCTGTACGCCAGCTCCCTCGGCCAATAAAGCGAGATGAGCACCGCAACCCCAGAGTCGTCCGCTACTGGACCTAACGGTCAGGGGTCCCTTTACCCTTTACCCTTTACCTTTACCGATGTTTTAGCTTGGTTTGCCAATCTCAGTTCTGAACTGAGGCAAGAAGAGTACCACTAGCCACAACCTTCAGATAAACCCAGTGGTGGCTTGTCCACTAGGGGAAATGGGGCACTGCCCCAGTAACCCCAGCCTGTTGTCAGCCAGCCTTCACCTGCCTGCCTTCCTATTTACAACCTACCCAGGAGGTGACACTGCCTGTCAGCCTCCTCCTCCCTCTCAGTCTTGCCTTAATAGATCTCAGGAGGGGGAGGGTGGTAAAGCTAGAATTAGTTGGCTCTGCCTGTCACTGGCTCTGGCGCCACCTACTGCTGGGCTCCCTGCCTTCTGTGCTACCACACCCAACAGGCACCAGCCCCAACTGGGTGAACCCTAGATATCTGTGAAAAGATAATTTCTTTCTTTCTCTCTTAGCAGGTTATGGGGCAGGGCCCAGTACTGGTGGCTACCCAACAGGAGCACAGCAAGGTGAGCTGGGAAAGTTTGATGGGGCCCCAAAACAAACAAACAAACAAACAAACAAACAAACAAACAAACAAAAGAGAGTGGGATTTGCTGTTAACTTTCCTAAGGATTAATTTCACCAGAGAGGGGTATTGGGGCCCAACCCTGTTTAGTAACTATGTCATCTGAGCTAGAGCCTCTGTATTCTGTTTCTAGGGCTGGGACACCTCATTTGTAGGGAGAAAGCACTCTGGCCATGCTGAGATACAAGCTCTTTCTTCTTTTGACCCCCCCCCCCCCGCCATGAAACCTGTCATCATAAACCGATTTTGCCTTGTGCAGACCAGGGAGGAAGGGCAGGGGAGGAAAAAAGGAGTGATCACTTCCATCCACGACTGATTTTTCTTTTCTGCATGCTTTGTACATCAGCCTATATTGGTGGAATTGGAGCCGGAGGCTACCCAAGCAATGGAATCCCTAATGGATATGGCAAAGGTGAGAGAGACACGCTCTGATATTCTGCAGTAAATTGGTACAGGGGGAGTCAAATGGAGCTAGTGGCAGAGTTGCTTTTGGCCATAGACTGCTGTGACACAAGCATGTTTATCCTCTGCCCCAGAAACAAGCATGTGAAAGGTCTGTTCAAGAGACTTCAGGCAGCAGGCCAGTCAGACTAGAAAGTACTGGGCTAGGAGGATCAATGGCGTGACTAAGTATTAGGCAGCTCCTTATCCTGGCATTACTTTGCAGAACATGCCCTTTTATTTTGTGTGCGTGTGTCTATGCTGCTATCCCTTGTTTGGGACACTTATCTGCAAAACTAATACATGCTTCTCAGAAAACTCACCCAAATCTTTGTGGCAGATCTGTTGCATGCAAAGTCTTGTCCACCTTCGTTATCTATCATGGTTAGGACTGCTATACATCAGGAATTTCCTGGTCATAGCTAGAATACTGCAGTCAAAAACAATGTCCATATGGGAATTGCTGGAATGTCCGGGGAAATCTGGACATATGGCGCAACCCATGTTGGAAGTCAATATTTTTATTTTTATTTTTTGAGATTTTGAAAGAAAGAAAAAAAAGCATTGTATCCAGATTTTCACTTTTTGAAATATGGCAAGCCTAATCATGGTACCAACTCAAAGGCACTAGCAGCTGAGCAAAATAATGCGGAAATAATACTTTTCAGCCAGTGCATACTTGCACAAAACAGCAGTGAAAATATACGCCCAGAAGGTGGAGCAGTTGGCCAACATATTGAAAAGTCTATGTGAACAGACATATTGCTGCCCATCCATCCATTTATTCTACAGGGAGTGCTCTAGAGCAGGGGGCTCTCACTTTTAGCCCCTCTGGGCCCATCAGTCACAAAATGGTGGCGCAGGGGGCAGAGCCAGTCACAAAATGATGGCAAATGGAGGCAGAGTTTGGCACCATCAGCTGGCAATTACTAACGTGGTTTTCTACTGATAGCTAATCCATCCTTGGGAATTGCTGAATTCTTTGCCGCAGCATTTTCCTTGGGACAAGAAATCCCATAGCTCAGCTGTCCTAAAGCAAAGTACAGACATTTGCTCTGGAGGTATTTCCCCCCCCCCCTTTTAGGCAGAATGTGCTGATCCAGAGACTCTTAAGTGGAAAAGACTTTTTCTGTTTTTTCCTTTCCCATCACTGCATGCCTCTCAAAGTATTTTTACCCATTTCCTGCAGTTTTTCTCCCATTCTACTTTCAGACTCAACTTGTACCTTATTCCCCCACCCTGAGCAAAAAAACCTGTGTTTCTTTCATCCGTCCTTTCTGGTCCTTTTACTCCTTCCTCCCATAGCAGCTTAACTCTCATATCTCCTTCCTTTGTACCCCTAGTTTATTAATATTCATAATTATTATTTAATTACAGTGGTACCTCTGGTTGCGAACAGGATCCATTCCGGAGGCCCGTTCGCAACATGAAAAACCCGCAACCTGAAGTGCCGTATCTGCGCAGATGCGCGGCGCAATTTGGTGCTTGTGCACATGCGTGAAGCACGATTTAGCAGTTCTGCGCATGCGCGATTGGCGAAACCCGGAAATAACCCTTTCTAGTATTTTTGGGTCGCCGCGGGACGCAACCTGAAAAAACGTATCATGAAGCAAACGTAACATGAGATATGACTTTATGTTGAAACATTTCTTAACCTTTTATCGGACTTTCTAAATTTCCTTGAACATCTCTCTTTCCCCTCAGAGAAAAGAGACCTCCCTTCTTCCCAAAACCACTTCTCTGTCTCCCACTCACCTTTATGCAGCATGATGCAACTTAATCCAACCAAAAGACTATTGCATGGGGCAGATAACTGAGGAGGGGGCTGTGGGCTGGCTGTGGCACTGAGGCTCATCTGAAAGTGGCCTAAGGCCCACTGTGGGGTTCCAGACCACTGTTTATGTAACACTGCTCTCGAGTACATATTCAGCCTGAATGGAATCAGTGTCTGTTTGGTTTGGGAAATCGTAAAGATGTGGTTTTTCTTTCTCAGGCTATGGTGCTGGAGGAAATGGATATCCTGGTGTTGGATATGGGAATGGGAATGGTTAGTATTTACTCCTCACATTTTATTCTCCAAGGAGCTTGGAGTGGCATTTTAGCACAACAACCCTATGACACACAGAGCCATCTTTCCTATTGGGCTTACGGGCACGTTGCGCCAGGGCGCTGGCCTCTCAGGGGCGCCCCAGCGAGTGGTGGAGTTGCACGGCTTTGCCGACAGCCTCCCTTTTCCCTGCATGCCCGCCAGCTGTGCCCGTCAACCATATGGCTGGCGGGCATGCAGCTTCCTTCCCAAGCCTCCGCGGGAGGAGAGCGATCCCCGCAGACGCTTGGGAAAAGGTCGACAACTCTGGGAAACGGGCGCGCCGGAGGGATCTTTGAACCACGGCGCCAGATATGCTTAAGACAGCCCTGATGACACATTTTAGACTGCAGAGTGGGTGGCTTGCTCAAGGCTGTCCTGTGAGTATCATGGCTAAGTCAGCATTTGAACTCAGGTCTCTCAAGTCAAAGTGCCACACTGGCCACTATGCTATATTGGCAATGATGGGGGAATAAATTTAGGGCTAAGATTGGGTAAGTGGAGGGGAAGATATGACATTTCATCAGTAGAGGCGGCGGGGGGGTAGTGGATAAGAAAGAGACAGGCTACAGGACTTATCCATTGGCTCGCCTTGACTCAGCTCCAGAACTTTCTTTCAGTGTCCTGAGATTCAGCTGCAGAATATGTGAATTAATGCTAAGAAAGGGCCTTTGCCTTCCACTAAGGGCCAAGCTAGATGTGTTTGGGGCACAGTCCATTCCACATGGCACAAGTCACAGGAAGTTCAGACAAACATTTTGAGGCTCTGTTTGCCCTGCTGCTTTCCCCTGAGAAAACCTGTGGCTTAGCGCTGTATTAGAACAAAGGGCAATCAGGTTTTCTGTGGATTGCTGTTGAATCTAATTTAGTGTTAAAAGAGTGGATTTTCCAGGGGGAAGTGGCAGGGCAAAGGCAAAACTGTTCCAACCCATGCCAAGAAAGCATGGGACAAGCAGAAGTGTGGACGAGCCCCCTGTGTGGGAAACGGCACACATGCCAATGGGAAGATCCTTTTAAAGAGGATAGGTCACATCTTGCTCCCAGAATTGATCCCTGGACTACCACAACAAAAGAAATGATAGTAGGGGATGAGAATGATTGCACAAGACAAGCGGCTGCCAGTCAAGAGTACATTGTTCTGGGCTAGATTGACAAATAGCCTGACACCAGTGTTGAGCACCTTCCTATATCCATGAGCAGATCCCCCTGCCTGTGTAGAACTGGCTAAGAGTGCAACAGTTGGGCTGCGTAGGTTTCCCTGCTTTGCAAGGCAAACAAGAGCATCAGTGGAAGGGGCAATTGAAAAATGACATGGGAGTAAAAAAGCTAAGCTTGCCTTCTGCCTTGACTGCATTTGATCAGCTCCTACCGCTCATCACAGGTCTCTTCCATTTCATCGAGTAACTGCAGCTCCCATTAGGGAGAAGAAAAAGAAGATGAGGAAGGGTTGATCCCCTGATACACTGCTTCAGAAATGAACCATTCTAGGTTTTGAGACAAGCAGGCAGGGAGGAGCTGTATACTGAGCCTTTGGGTGTCTTTGCAGGTGCCCGGGCTCCCTATGGCAGTCAATTAGGAGGCCCTGCTGGAGATCCTGCTGCTGCTAAATATGGAGGTAAGTCTTTATTGCGCTCCCTAAGGGAAAAGAGACTTCCTTCCTTCCTACATAAGGCAACTGACAAACAGCCTGGCAAAGTTTTCTGCAGCTTGAAGGGGAGCAGAGTTGACTTGCAAAGCATTTTAGCGTCAACTGGCCCTGAGGGGGTGAAACATGCCTTAATTGCTGCACAAATGACTTAGGAAACATAGGGAGGATGAAAATGGCCTGGGTGTGACTGTGTTGAATGCTTATTGTTTTACCTGTTTAACTGTCACGGCTTCTCCCAGAGAATGCAGGGAATTTTTGTTCGGCAAAGGTGCTGACATTTCCTAAAAAAAGCTAGTTTTCTGGAGGGGAAACGGAATGACCCTGAAACCATTTGGTGCAGGTGTGTCCTCCTGTGTCAGCATGGGAGAATTTCTGTAGAATTGTTCTCAGGTGTGGGAAAGAGGGGTGCCAAAGGGGCAATCAAGGGATCCTCTCTGTGACCTTCTCTTGCCCTTCCTTGGGCTCCTATGATCTGCGTTACAGGGACAGGGCAACTCCCATACAGTGGGCAGCCAGAGGCTGCTGGCCTGGGAGGAGACTATGGTGCTGGAAGATATGGTAAGTTAAGACAGCAGGGGTAGGTGTGCCTCAGACTGGTACTCTGTATGACTGCAGGAAAAGCACAATTTTGAATCAAGTGCTGATTATTTCAGGTACAACTAAAACACATACACAATCTGGGGTCCCAAATGTAGTGCTTTTGGGGTTCTCATGCACCGACTGGTATTCTCAGAAGGCTCTCCCAATTTATTATAAATAAAACCAGGAATTTTTGAGGGCCTTTGGTAGAGGGTTGCCTTTTTTTAGGGGGTCAGACCTGCAAAATGGGTATTCTTTTATTTCCACAATGAATTCTTAGATTTGTTTAGGGTTTTGAGGCCCTGGGCCCAAGATTGGAGACCCCCTCAATCAGTGAAGATAGGCTTGTAGGCAGAGCAGCTGTGGTATTAATATATATGCTATGCAGATGAAGCAGATCTGCATGTGTGTCCTGTTTTGCATAAATGGTTCTGCCCTGGGTCCCCAAAGTGAAGAGTAAGTAGCTGTGAAATATACTTTACTCTTCTTTGCATAGACTCAGGGCAGAACCATTTATGCAAAGCAGAACACACATGCAAACCTGCTTCATTTGCGTAACATCTGTGTCAGGGGTCGGCAACCTAAGGCCCATGGGCCACAAGCGGCCCTTGGGGGTCGTATAACTGGCCCATGCACCCCCACCGCCTGCTCGGGGACCCCCACCACCTGCTTGGTCGGCTCCTGCAGCCAATGGGAAGCTGCACACGCCTCCTCCCTGTCAGGAGCGCTGGAAATAGCGCTTGCGCATGCATGCATGCACACTCCGGCCAACCGCAGCATCTGCGGGACTGTGAACCGGCCTAAGCCACAAAAACTTTGCTGCTCCCTGATCTATGTAAATAGTAGGGATAGGGAACCTGCAACCCAAGACTCCCATCAACCCTGACTGTTGGCTCTCCTGGTTGAGGCTGATGGGCCCTGGAGTCCAGCAACAACTGGAAGGACACGAGTTCCCCATCCCCGATATATAGGCTGCAGAATTCTACTTTTGATGGCAGAGTTGGGGCTTTCTTTTTCTGCAGACTTTTAACTCTTTAGTACACACAGTTCTAGCTGCTACTTGTTGGGCTTAGCTTATAAATTCTTATTGTACATTGTCGTACATCTTGGCAAGTAGTGTGCTTTCTCCAGGACTGGGGTGTGATAGTGGAGGGATTTGTTTTTGGTGGGTTGAGCAATCATATCCCCTTGCCCTCCCAACTTTTCTTCTTCTCATGCCTTCCAGGAGCTCCTCAGAGCCCCTATGGAGCACAACCTGGTGGCTCTGATGGCATTGTAGACCCAGCTGCAGCCAAATACGGTAGGTGAAAGAGAGTCCACCTAAGTCACAGAACCAGAGTAGAACTTCAAGCACATCCATCTGCTGAAAAGCAGTATGGATTGGGGAACTGAGTACACCAAACTGGTAATACTGAGGTCTAGTTACATGGCCAGTTTTGGCTCTGGTGATAGCAGTTAGTCCCAAAGAACTAGGCACACCAAAGAGATAGAATGTTATCTGTTAACAGACAAAGTTAGGTTTAGTTTGCTGCGGATACATTAGGGTGGCCGGATGCAAAAAAAGGACGGCTCCTACGCTTTTAATAGTTTCATGACAAGCTACACCCGCTGATCTTACCTATTCTACACAAATATTAAAGGTGCAAAAGCCCAGCTGTTTTGCATCTGGCACCCTGAGATACAAGTTTTAGAATTTAACACAGCTATTCACTGGTAGCAAACAAAACTTTCAGATGCATTTGAGGCATGCAGTTAGCAACTGTAAATATTTACATTGCTCATTTAATGCCACCCGTGTACAAAATATGATACATTCTAGATTAGGAGATTCAACTGTTTTCCTTTAGAGTTGATGTTTGTAGAATATATCAACTTGAAGAAGGCTGGGGCTCCTGGATCTTCCTAATCCTAAAAGCCTGAGCTCATGGACTAATTGGTTTGGGGTGGTCTTTTGTTGTTCTGCTCTTTCCCTCTTTCTCACTCTCTGCTTCCTCTGCAGGCAATGGGAATGGAATAGGATATATGAATGGACGAGACTCCCAAGCTAATGGGCTGGGGGCAGGTAAGGCTGAAGGTGCAAGATAATAATAAAAAGCACAGCTCTCAATTGGGTGCAGCAGGAGACAAACTACTCCTTCATGGAAAATGGGGTAGGAAGTTGACAAAAAAAGAGATTGCGTATTGGATTGTATGCTAAAAATGTTGAAACTTAATAAAATGCAAAAAATATATATTAAAAGGGCACTGCTCCCCTCCCCACCATTGCTCTTTAGGATAGATTTGCCTGGGATTGGTGTAATTGGGGATGCCTTTTGCAACCAGTTGCTCTGCTGCTTCACTTGGCTCTTGTTCTGTCTAGCAGGTGCATATGGTCCCTATTCAGCAGGACAAACTCCAGGAGGGTATGGCAGTCCATTGGGCGCTGGACAAGCACTGGGAGGATATGGTAAGTGGTTCTAAAGTTGTGTTCTCTTGTAGCAGTGAGAAAGAGATTGGATTTCCCTGCCCAAGAGGTATACAGCTTCTCAACCTTTTTCTGACCATGCCCCACCCCTGTCCTATCAGTAGACAGGTAGCTATTTAAATGTTTTATTTGTAAATAGAACATGTTTTATTTATAATACAAAATATTACATTAAAAAATATACTTTAAGTATTTCTCGATCAATGTGATTCTTGTGTTTGATGACCAGAAACAAACTTTTTAATATTCAGTTCTATTGCTGTGAGAGATAACCAAGATCAACTCTGTCTGTTATGTTAAGGCAATTCTGTGCTAGGCTGAGTAAATAATTCACAGGTGATCTTGAAGTGCATTTGATTTAATGTAATTTTCTGCTTTTATTAAAATTTGTAGACTCATGCAAGCACCCTGCTAGTGATCTTGAAACCAAGTATTGTCGGTGAACTATGTAGTGAATATAGAATACTTCTGCTACACCTTTAAAATATGCAATAAATCCTCTGTATCTACGTGTCATAGAAGCAGCACCATCAGTAGCACGGTCCAGAATGTTCTCAAGAGGGATATCTTTCTCACTGATGTACCTCTTTACTTCTTCAAAAATTGTTTCACCTTTTGTTTTAAGCTTTCAAGCAAACAGCATTTCTTCTTTCAATTTGTCATCATGCAAATCTCTTAACAGAAGCCATCAGGATGGCTTTGTTATCTGGAATACACAATTCATCAGTTTGGAAAGCAAACTTATGAACTTTTAACTGCGAGGCTAGTTGGTTTTCAATATTTATTGCCATTCCATCAATACACCTTGACACTGATTTATTGTTCAAAAGGATGGATTTGATAATTTCACAAGCATTTTGGTTCATAACGGTTGATATAACAGACACTGCTGGCAAAATCAAGGATTCCCCTTTCCTTGGCTATCAGTTTGGATATCTCATAAGATGTGATTAAACCGTTATCATTTAAAACTGATTTCTGAACAAACATTTTCTTCAATGTAGGTCTAGTTTCAAATTTATCTTGCAACGCTCGAAAATATTCCAGTGGTTTATCCTTCTTGTCATTATGTTTTCAAATGCTTCTGCAACTTACATGGATGCACTCTCATTGGAAAGTGTAGTCATACATATCAAACAAGTGGGGCAGATTGATGCAGAAAAATTCGATCTCATATTTTATGTAACAAAATTGAGTCAAATAATCATAAAAAATGCTTTATGCATGGCATAACTAATCAATATTATAAGAGCAATCAAAAGAACCATTAAAGTTAGAAGACAATGAGAATATAATGACCTTAGTAAAAAATGGGTTTTGTATCATTCTGCCCCATCTATGGGGCACTTAGATACATTGGATGGGGCACTTTGAAACAAAGCGTAAATTGTATGAGAATGGTATTTATTTACAAAAATTTAATGGAAAAAAATTAATTGTGAGAGATGATGTTCGATATGTGCCCTTTGAGAAATTTGGTTTTGGCAACTGCAAAACAACATCCTTGAAATCAACACTTGTCTTATCTTCTACAATGGGGAAGACAAACATACAAGATCCTGGCTTTTTCCTGAGATATGACACTTGATAATCGGTCATATTATATTTGGAAATGACTTTGGCCACATAGTAAACAAGTTTTTTTCTTTTCAAATTTAATGAGTAGGAAATCTCCAACATTTATATTTTCAGGATTGGGAACATCAAAATTTATATCCTCATCTTCTGAATTAGATGCAACTTCAAAATCTTCATCATCATCATCACCACCACCACTCAATTCCACAGATTCATTCCAACTTGTATTGGAGTCAGATTCTGAACATCTTTTCTTCTTAGTTTTTTTAGTTTCCATTAAACACAATCATTTTTTTGCCATTTTCAACTTTTTCTTTCTGCTTCATTTTAACTTGCTGTTTTCTTTTCTTCTCTTCATGCAATCTCTGTAATCTATCTTTTTTGGGCATATCAGTGAAGAGTCTCGATTTCCTTTCTCTCTTCCGCTATTCAAGGAAGAAGTATTTTTACCAATGACTTTTTTTTTATATGGTCTAACTACTTCAGGGGACAATATTGGCGTAGAGCCTGGTGGAACAACCTTAGGAGATAATGTTACATCCTCTTCCAATCGGTTGGCTTCAACAACTGGTATTTTGTCTTCTTCACAGTTTTCGAGAACCTCATCATTTTGGCTAATATCAATGTCCACAAAACCTAGCTCTTGTGTATTTTCTTCATTTGTCACATCCGTAACATCGGCAATATCTTGAGAACTCGAATCTAACATTTGCATTCGTGCAAAATCATCAGGCGTAAATTTGTTGTGCATTGTTACACGCTCATAATTGTCAAAAAAATCAGTGACTGCGGTTTTATTAAACACAAAACTTTGTGCTGCACTCATATTTTCTAGCTTTCTGGGGCTTCGATCCCGATTCCTCTTTCTAAATCCTGTTGCCCAATCTTTCCCAGCACATCTATTTTTTTTCCAGGATTCTGGATATCTACACCCCAAATATTCTGCATATTCATAAGCCAAAACCAAGACTTGCTGCAAAGACAGCCCGTAGTGCATTTTACTACAGTTCAATAAATATTCAGTAAATGCTTTCTCTTGTTCAGTTGAGAAAACCTGTGCAACAGTGTACTTGGACCCATATATATTAGAAGATGACGCTTCATTTTCTTCAGAAGTTTTTCGAAACTTTTCAATGCGATGTTGCAAAGTTGCAGCTTTGATCCTGTATTTGTCAGCTGCCCTCCGTATAGACAATCTCTTTGATATAACTTCAGATATAGCAGTCTTTACGTTCTCCTCATCGATACTTCCTCTATCAGTCTTAGGTTTATAAGTTCGCACCATTTTCTGGAAAACAGAATAACTAGTTTAGTGATTTCATGCAGACTTGTATATTGGGGCACTATTGTACACTGCAGGGCACTTTTATACATATCAATGTGCCCCGTTTCTTAGTGTATCAAAGTACCCCACAGACATTTTCAGAAAATAATTATTAGTAAAACCACTGAATCTATTTTAAAATCACGTGTAATCCTGATTACCTTTGGTATTTTAAAATCTTAACTAAATGATGTAAAACAGTGTCAGAACACTTACATTTCACGTAATTTTTTAGCTGGCCACGCTAAAAGCACAGCTACTCTCGTCAAACGCCAATGGCTAACTAGCGGACGGCATGGTTGCAGCTGTTGTACTCACACATGTATAGACACATTTTAGTGATGTCACGATACAAATAACATTTCTTGAAATTGAAATATTGTTGGTGCATCAATGTGCCCCGCCTCCCCCTAGGCCAGGCCTCCTCAACCTCGGCCTTCCACATGTTTTTGGCTTACAACTCCCATGAGTCCTAGCTAGAAGGACTAGTGGCCAGGGATGATGCGAATTGTAGTCTCAAAACATCTGGAGGGCTGAGGTTGAGGAAGCCTGCCCTAGGTATTGTGTAATCTTATGGTGACAGAAATCATAGCCAAGATACTCAACTGAGTATTGTAGGTTTCCTCTTTTTTTGTGGAGGTAGCTATGGGGTATCATAAAAGTAAAAAACTGAAACTTGATACATATGCCAAATAACTTTACGTATGTTTGCAACTAAAAATAATATCACTTCTCAGAAATAAAACAGCATTAGAACATCTGAACAAAGACAAATGCAAAGTTATTCCGATCTTGACAGATCTCTACGAGGAGAAGCAACTGAACACAGCAACCACAAAAGGAATGGCAAACATAATGCCTGCAGTCCTAGGGCTGCAATTCTTAACACTTACTGGGAAGTAATTCATTGAACACAGGACTTGCTTCTGAGAAAGCATGCATAGGCATGCACTGCATACTGTAGTCTGTGCAATGCCTTTTCACACTTTATGTTTTGATAATTGGATGTTTGAGCACTGTGATTTGTACAAAAAGAGGCTACAAATGGTCTTGAATGAATTTCTTGCTTTGGAATAAATGGAAAAGCGTTCTGTACACCAAATAAGAGTAAGGAAAAAACCAGTCACTTTTTCTGTTTTGCTCTAGGAGGAAAAGAATCTAAGTATGGAATGAATGGTTTTCTGGGAAATGGGTACAGAGGTAAGAAAGATGGGGTCCCTATCTTTCATAATTGCTGCTGTTTGCTATCCTTACTACTCAGTCTGTTGTACAAATCAGAGCTTCCATAGTTTGGTTCCTATCTGATCAGTTTCTATCCCCACCACATGCCTTTCTGCAACCTGTTTCTGGAAGTGCAAGGATGAAATATGGAACAATGCCTGCCTCTTTTTCTACATTTTCCCCCCTTCTGTTTTCTCAGGTCGCTGCTCTTCTGGAAAATGCTGAGGAATGATGTTACTGTGTGGAACTTTCTCTGCAGCAGGATTCAGGCATCCCGGCAACTTTTGGTGCTAAGTGTGATGATCAACGACAACCAAGTTTTCCAGTATAAATGATCCTATATTTCTTTTTCCTGTTTTTATTTTATCATTAGAAACCTTTCATTGTAAAAGAGAAGATTTTACCATGTTGGCTTCTAAAGCATTATTGAACACATTTTCTAAGGGCTGTTAGCATGTCAAGATCAGTGTTACAGAGATGGACACATGAAGTTGGAAACCCCTTTCCTTCCAAAGAGATTTGACTTATCAATTCCACTTCTTTGGAAGTAGCCTAGAGTTGATTCCCATCTTAGTGTGTATCTGGGTGCCCAGGCACAAGTGTCTTTTCAATTAAAAATAAGTAAATCCACAATTCTGTTGTCTTTATCATTCTTGGTGAAAGAATTGTAACATACCAAACCAACCATTGCCTTTCTTTAAACATTCATGTTTTGTTTTTCAGTTGCTGTGGGTTTTCTACATTCTAAACAATACTACCCAGCCCTAAGTCAAATTGAAATATTTACACTGGGTTTGTGCAAATGTTGTGAACAGTTAGAAATATAAAGAAAGATTTGGATCCCTGGGGTCACTTATAGAAATTTGAAAATGGGGAAAAGCAGGGGAAGGATACATGGGAAACCCAGATGTGTGCTAGCTATACAATCCAACCACAGCGATAACCAGCCTTCTTTGCTAGATGGAGCTGCTGCAATTCCAGATGGGCTTATAATTTTCTCCTAACCAACAGAAACTTCTGTGATCAAGTTTGGCACTTGGGGGTTTCTTTCATTCTCAGCTTCTTGGCCACACAGTTCTCAGAAACAGTACCGTATTTGAAAAAGTGGTACAGTAATGGCCACATATTAATTACATCAAAATAAATAATGAGTTAATGTTCTGGGACTCCCCGTTTCTTATGAACTATATTAACTCAATGTGAGGGGATTTAAGTATCATAAAACCACTTTAAAGTATGTAAAATGGCAATTTCATTTTTTAACAAGATTGTAATTTTGCCACACACACCTCAACCTGCTACCCAGGGCACATGAGTTTTCCCCTACACTGGTTCTATGTACAATTTGTGCTTGTTAACTCAAGCTTGACAGATGGGCTTTTAAAAAGTCTTTTTTTATTTTTATTTTGGCAGGCTGGCTCTCCCAGTCTGACCAAAGGGGTGCCCATCATGGAGCCATTTAGAACAACCCTTATTACTTATGTCAGTCAGGACAAGGGGATGGGGGTTTGCACTTTCCAGGTCAGCTGGGGCCCTTGGAGTTCCCCAGTACCTTACAAGTCTCCCCTAGCTTCACCACTTCAGCCGACATAGACAATACATCAGGTGAAGGCCCTTATGGTCTGACTGGTGGGGGGACACTGTTTCCCTTTGCACAGAAAACATCCAGGGAACCCAGAAAACCCAGGTGGATCAACTGAGGCTGAGAACACACCATATATTTAAAACATATCCCCCACTACACCAAAGAATCCTGGGAACCGTAACTTACTCTCACAAAACTACAATTCCCATCACCCCTAAACTACAGTTCCCACAGTTCTTGCTGGAGTGGGGGTGCTGCAAACGCGCTTTAAATGTATGGCATAGACAACGACCTGAGTCACTCTAAGGGGGAGTGAGCGTTGAATCAGAGGCTCTTCAGAGAGATCCAACGCAGGTTTCCGAGTTCTGGTTCGACCTGTTTGCCATACCACCCAACAAACAGAACCAGAGTTCGTTTTTCCCTTCGGGATCCTGGAACTGTCGAGTTGGAACGGACACCCTAGAGGTCATCTAGTCCAACTCCCCGTCATGCGCCGGATCTGGGCGCTAGGAAGGCAGGCGCTTCCAGCAGTTCCCTAGTCTCGGGGTGGGGGAGGGCGAGCAGCTGCATGTAGCCCCCGCCCCCCCAATTCCGACAGGCTCGGGTGGGGGCCCGGCCGCCCCGGTATTGTTCGCCCTTCCCCGGGATGCACTGCTTGCTCACACACACTTACCAGGGCTCCTCACTCGCGAGGAGACGGCAATTCTTCATTTACCGCGACTTCCCCCTCCCGCTCGAGCGAAGGAGGCCGCTTAGGCCCACCCGACCACCCGCTTCCAGTTCTTTCTCCTCAGGTGCCGCGTCCGACGTCGGGTCCCGCCTCCCCAAAGGCAAAAAAGCCTCGTCTGTTTCCTATCGAGTGGGCGGCCCAGGGACTCCTCGGCAAAGTCCCCGCTTGCAGGCTTGCCTCCGAGTCCGAGCGAGGCCTTTCCTCTTTCCTCAACCCAGCTGGCCTCGTCCACCCACCTGCCAACGCACTGACTGACTGGGGAAACAAAAAAATCGGGGGCTGACAGTTAAAGAGAGGCGTTTCCGTTGAAAGGAGCGCTCGCGCGCTCGCTTAGTCCATTCTGCCCGCAGCCTTTCACGCACGCATGCGCGGTGACGTCGGGACGCGGAAGTGGGCGAGGCCGTTTGGAATTTTGGCGCGAGAGCGCAAACCGGGCGTTGAGGGGATTCGCGCGCGCGCGCCGGGCAGGAATACACACACCTGAGGGAAGGGAGGGGGTGGGAAAAGGGCTGCTTCATCCGGGGACTCTCGGACGGACGGAACAAAGCGATTCCCTCGCTCGCACGTACGCGAGAGCCCTTGCTCTCCGGGGCTCCGAGGAAATTTAAAATTATAAAGAAGAAGGAGAAGAGAGGTAAGGCGCCGGTGCTTTTGCGTTTCCTCAGTGGCAGGAGCGGGTGTGGCGGTGATGTCGCCGACTAGGAGCAGGGGAAAGGGGGGGCGCCCCCCGCACCTGAGGTGAATTTCGGGGGAAGGCAGAGGCGGTGGCTGAGGGAACAGGGCCCTTCTCCGTGGAGGAGGGCGAGGCTGCCGGTGGTGGCTATCTATCACGGTTAGAATGATTAAACGTCGTATTGATTTCTATCCCGCCTTTTCCCCTGACAGGGACTCGAGGCGGCTTACAGAGGGAATAGGAAGCGGCCGAAACGTAGGTTGAGGTGGGGGGAGGGAGGGAACGACGATTAAAAAGCAAGTAAAAACATGGATAGAGCCGTGTTTCTGATAGGTCTGAGGGAAAGGAAGCTGAGGCAGGGGTCGAAAGGGGCTTATTCTAGCCAGGGTCACACTTGCAAGATGTTATAGGGCCTGGCGGGGGGTGGGGAGGTTGTGCCCAAGGCTTCGTGGAAAGTGTGAGGTATTTGAGGGCGTCCTGGGAGGCGGTCCCAAGCATAAGGCGGGTCGGAGGCAGCAGGGTTTCTGAATGCCAGTTGATGGGAATCACAAAATGCTCTAATCCTGCTCCTCGCGGGGTTTTCCCCACAGGCATTGGGTGGCCACTGGGAAGATAGGATGTGCATTAGATGGGCCATTGGCCTGATCCAGCATGGCTCTTCTTGTGTTTCTATAAGGAGCAGGAGAACTTTAGAGGGCTGAGAGTGATGGAGCTGGAGGGGCGAGGATGTCTCTTCCACAGCTGACATAACTCAAGCCCAGTTGTGGGGGACAGCTGGGCTCCTCTTTTAGTGGTGGTGTTGGTAAAATCAGAACAAGGCAAATTCCTGGGGGAATTCTCTAGTTGTCATTTTAATCCTACTCTTTTCTCAAGGAGTTCAGAGTACATAGCTCTTCTTCTTTCTCCTTTCCATACTGTTTTATTCTTGCCACAGCCCTGTAAGAGAGTTCAGGCTCAAAGACTGGCCTGAGATCACCCAGTGAACTTTGTGTGGATTTGAGCCTGGCTGCAGGGGCTCTTAAGTCAGATGTGATGTGGACGCCATATAGGCATCTGGTAGCTAAATGGAACCTCCATTTTTAGAGGCAGTGTACCTGTGAGTACCATGTGTTTCTAGAGAAAAACAGGAAACGGCCATCACCCTCATGACAAGGTTGTGACCTGGCTGCCTGGTGTTGGAAACAGAATATTTGTTCTCATCTGTTTGGCCTCCTGTTGTGTTATTACCATCTCTGGTTGCACACACCCGGGACTGAGGTAAGGACAGCCCAATTGTATCATCATCATCATCATCAGTCTACCTAAGGAAAGAGAAAAAAACCCACACATGCTCTGCTAAAGGGTTAGAAATATAGCAATATTTTTATGTAATGCCCTATTTATTTTGAAGATGCACAGGGCAGTCTTAATTTTAAAATCTTTGTGTTCAGTATGGCTTCCTCAAAGGAAATTGTGTATAGGTTTGTATCCAAATGCTCTGCTGTTCACATAGACATTTAAGCAGCTTATGATAATGTAAATATGAATTCCTTGTTTGAATCGATACTTTGAAACTCTTCATATCTTCCTGTTAGTGCTCCACTTAGTGTTTTTTTCTTTGTGACTCTGCTGACTGCTTTGTTTGTTTTCCTTTGAGTGCCTCTAAAGATTCTGATCCCAGACTTGTCAGTTTCATCTGACTGTCACATGATTTATCAGGACTCACTAAGGCCATTACAAACTCCATCACAATTACTGATGGTTCCAGGACAGTTGGAGTAGATGGATGAAAGGCATCTTAACCTAAAATGCGTCCCAAATGGCCAGAGCCTGGAGACAGCAGCCCACAGGGCATTGATCTTCTAAGATGGAATTCTAGGAACTGATTGGGAGGCATGAGTTATTGAAGCCTCTGCCTGATAGACAGAACCTTAAAATGGGTGGTTGTTTTTGTTTTTGCAAAAGACAAAAATAAACACGTCCCTTCCTGCTGTGAATACAAGCTACGAAGGTACATAAAGATACAGCTCTGGGCTTGTGGTCCCAGAACTGGAATGTAAAAATGAATAGTGGGAGTTAGAATGCTTTTCAGGTTCCAGGGCTTCTGAACATCATTGTTGCATACAGTGAAATACTGTATTAAAATTGAATGTATCCTCCTGTTCTTGCAGTTTATCCTTTGGGCTATGCATGTGGGGAGGCTTCTTTCCCCATCACTTGAGACTCTACTATCAGTCTCTTCAGGTCAGCAAACTGAAAATATTTACCTTTTTCTTGGTTAGTGAATTTTAAATGTGCCTTAGCAGCCCAACACAAAAGACTCGCTGACTGCAACTTTGAATCATTGAGGAAATGATAATGTAATTTCAATAACTATGCATTCTGCTTTCAGACATGCCACTACCTCTTGACTATGGAGGGGCTGAGTCCCAGATGAGTCACACTCCTCTTCCAGTGCCTGCCTTCTTCCGGGAAGCAGAAAGCAGTTTTTCAGCCAAGAGAGCTCGTAAGCCACTCAGCTATACCCTCCCACCACGCCCACGCCACAAGAGCTCACTCACTGTGAGCAGGATTTTCTCTGACCGCCGGCAGCAACCGTGGACCAAGCTCCAGCCACACAGTGTTTCCTTCCATGGCGCACAGAGGAAACAGACACCCCTGCGTAGTCACCTGTATGATGCTTCCAAAAGAGAGCTGTTTTTCAGGCAGTGTTTCCAGCAGCTAAGCCGTCTTGGCAGAGGGTCTTTTGGTGAAGTGTACAAGGTAAGGCAGTAGCAGACAGGCTACTAATCTCTTGGGACACATCTACACTAGCCATTTAAAATACATTTCTTCCCCAAAATATTCCCGTGAACTATAGTTTATTAAGCGTACTGTGAAATGCGGCTCTGTGAGATGAGTTCCAGTTCCCAGAATTCTTTATGGGAAGCCATGCTCTTTAAATATAAGGTATGGACACAGTCTGTGTGGAAGAAATGAATTCACGCAAGGCATAATTAAGATTCCTCCCCCTCACAGTTTGTGGTGGTGACCACTGGTTAGATGGCTTTGAAAATGAATTAGACAAATACATGGAAGATCTGCCTATGAGTGGATTACATTAAAATGAGACTTCCATGTTCAGAGGTGGTGACTGTGGCAGGGGGCTGTTGCCACCATGCCCTGCTTGTGGGCTTCCAGGAGGAATCTGGCAGGCCATACTGTAGGAAGTGGGGTGCTGACTACAATGCATTGTCTTAAATACACAGCCCCACACTGCGGGTGCCTCCAGATTTTGGGAGAAGGATTTAAGTGCATGCTACAACATTAGGTTTGTGCAGTTAAAGGGCTCTGTCCCCTTAGTGCAACAAATCAACTTTAAAAAAGAAGCATGCTTTTTGCAATTTGGAAAGTGATGGGAGAATGCATTGAAGAGTGCAGGATGAACAAATGACTAACAGAATGATTTATAAACACCCCACAAGTAAATCAGGATGAATGCAGAACGAATGCTAATTGTGCAGGCTTTGTTCTTATTTCTTTGCTGGGTGATTTTATGACAAGGTGACATGAATATAATTTCTCATCACAGAATCTGGATGTTCTTGGCAAGCTTACCACTCACAGTTCCTGAACACCCCTTGTGCTGGGAGTTCTTGCATGGAAGGGCCAGGATCCTCTTCAGTCTACAGGATGTAATAACTTGTTTCATCTTCCCTACAGGTGCGCTGTAGGGAAGATGGACAGCTATATGCTGTGAAGCGTTCTGTGGAGCCATTCCGTGGTGAGAGTGATAGGCAGCGCAAACTGGCTGAGGTGCGCAAGCACGAGCGCGTGGGGCACCATCCCAACTGTGTGAGCTTCGTACAGGCCTGGGAAGAGCGTGGGCAGCTCTACATACAGACGGAGTTGTGCCCAAACAACCTGTTGCAGTATTGTGAGGAGTATGGGCCACTGCCCGAATGGCAAGTGCGAGCGTTCCTCTGGGACTTACTGCAGGGACTGCGTCACTTACACGACCGCAACCTTTTACACATGGATGTCAAGCCAGCTAACATCTTCCTCTCGTCCAGCAATGTCTGCAAGCTAGGTGATTTTGGGCTTATGCTGGAGTTGGACTCTAGGGATCTGAATGATGCTCAAGAAGGCGATCCCCGCTACATGGCACCTGAGCTGCTCCGTGGGGAATACACCAAGGCTGCTGACATCTTCAGGTGTGGGATGAGATGGGAAGTAGGGATGCTAATATTTCCAGTGCCTGAGATAGCCAGCAGCTTCACAGTTGTGGCTTTTGCTCCCCTGCCTCAAAATTTAACTTGTTGCGGGGTTCAAATTAGCACTACAGATAAGCAATGTTGTGCTGCTCCTGTTACTTCATCTGTGTGCTTCTGTCCTTCCAGCCTAGGCATAACCATCTTAGAGATTGCTTGCAATATGGAGCTTCCTAATGGAGGTGAAGGTTGGCAACAACTGAGACAGGGCTATATGCCCCCTGAGTTCACTGCAGGTGAGCAGAAACAAAGGGAACATTTCTGCATGCAGCACTTGCATATGCCAACTCAACCGCTAATCCTCATGGAAGGAGGCAAAGTGGCTGTCAAAACTAGGAGGGTCTGGGGAAAGAGCTGGTGGCATGTGAAATTCAATATATTGCAGAAAGCAAAGTAAGCAGTGGAATATTCTTGCCCTTCCCAGATCTCTCTGCTGAGCTGCGGACTCTCCTAGTTGCCATGTTGGAACCCAACCATCTGCTCCGGCCCTCGGTGGAGACGCTGCTTGGTTCCAGCCTCATGCAGAAGACAGGGAGGTGGCGGAAGCTGATGCTGCTGGCACAGTCTGGGATCCAGCAAGGAGTTTCCATGTGCAAGGTGATCAAGGCCCTGGCCAGAGATCCTCACAATGCTAATCTGCAGTGCTCCTTGAGCGCACTCTCCACAGCATTACCAAATCATCTTCCTAGAACTATGCCACTGCTTTGCGCCCCTTTTTTGTTGTTCTGGACAAAGGCATCCTTATCAGAAAACAGCCTATCAGTTATTTATGGGTGAATCACACTGAGCTAGTTCCATGTGTTGCTCAGCCTAAATGCCTTTGGGGCGGGGTTTGCCGGCCTAGTTGAGGGTGTGTCTTTGTTTTGTGATGTTTTATGTACCCAGTTGCAAGAGCAGCACTGACTGACAGCAAAGGGCTGGAGACCTTTTCTGGTGCCCTAGCCTCCAGTTTGCAGTAGGGAGAGTATCTACAGTGGTGCCTCACAAGACGAAATTAATTCGTTCCGCGAGTTTTGTCGTCTTGCGATTTTTTTCGTCTTGCGAAGCACGGTGTCGGGAAAGTTTTGGAAAAGCTTCAAAAATCACCAAAGTCTTTAAAAACCTCAAAACAGGCTACCACACCACGTTCTATGAGTTGCTCCTCGAAGTCAAGTCGCAACTGTATTAACAGTGTTAAGAAAAAGGAAACAAACTTGCAAGATGTTTCCATCTTGTGAAGCAAGCCCATAGGGAAAATCGTCTTGCGAAGCAGCTCAAAAAACAAAAAACCCTTTCGTCTAGCGAGTTTTTTGTCTTGCGAGGCATTCGTCTTGCGAGGTACCACTGTATTGCCAGATTTGGGAAGTGCCTCATGCCAGCATGCTGTGCCCCATCAATTGCTTTGTTACGGTGTTTCCATGCGCTCTGGCACTCACCATGGTATTCCATTGCGCCAGAAGCGGTTTAGTCATGCTGGCCACATGACCCTGAAAGCTGTCTGTGGACAAACGCCAGCTCCCTTGGCCTGAAAAGTGAGAGGAGCCGGCGTGATGTAGTGGTTAAGAGCGGTTGACTCATAATCTGGTGAACCAGGTTTGCTTCCCCACTTCTCCACATGCAGCTGCTGGGTGACCTTAGGCTAGTCACACTTCTCTGAAGTCTCTCAGCCTCACTCACCTCACAGAGTGTTTGTTGTGGGGGATGAAGGGAAAGGAGATTGTTAGCCATTTTAAGACTCCTTAAGGGGAGTGAAAGGCGGGATATCAAGTCCAAACTCTTCTTCACCCCATAGTCACCTTTGAATGGACTTAACCGTCCAGGAGTCCTTTACCTTTATCTTAATGCCAGCATGTTATTACTCCATCGATTGCTTTCTAAATGTGTGAATTCTCCCCATCTGTTTATTTCAGATCCTCTTCAGATTCATGCAGTGGCTCTGGGGGTCTGTGAGCAGCCCGGTTCACTGGCTACTGTTTTGGCATCGGAATATTCCAGTCACCCCCCCAAATTCGCCCCTTGTCCTTCCCCCAGAAGACAGCAGCCTCTCTAGTGGTTGGGGTGAGGAGGAAGAGGATGCCGAAGAGAGCCTTGGTGAGGATGTCTTTGAACTAACGGAGACAGTTGGGCGACATAACCACACTTGCCCTGAGCTGCAGTCTTCTGACAAGTAAGTAGAAGAAGAAGATAGGACCGCTCCTACTTTCAGACAGTAACAGGTTGGAAGTAGAGAGTACATGTGCGCAAGGTGCCCCCCATCAGAGAAAACAGTGTGGTAGACCAATCCAGATGTCTGAAGCAAGTGATTTGTCTGTCTGTCTGGGAAGGCTAATAGACATCCACTCAAATATCCAGGATTGCTAGCCAGTCTGACCTGGGCCAGGGAGGGCTCAATGAGTTAGATCTGTAATGTGAAGCAAATTCCATTCACTATTCTCTTGAGAAAATGTTTGTTTTGGGGTTTTTTAAATCTAAATTTAGTTTGTTACACCGTGCCAATCCCTCTGATGTTCTGTAGCGCAATCATGTCCTCCCCATCAGCCTTTTTTTTAAAGCTAAACTAAACAGGCCAAACTCTCAATCTCCTTTCCTAAAATAATGAACATCCCCGAATCCTTCAGGTGCTTTTCTTTGCACCAGCTTCTGCATAAAGCTCACCTTATCAACGGCAGGTGGCCAAGAATGACACTATTTTTTCTATTAAGCATGGGAAGAATGGTTCCTGTTATGCATGTAGAGAGAAAACAAGTCTCCAGCCTCTAAAAGGTAGGAGAGCAAGTGGCTGTCCAGCTTCCCTTCTGAATGTGAGCTGCGGCAGGTCATCTGTTCAAGCACATGTGCGCTCTCTTTCACTACAGGAAGCTAGTCTGGATTCCCCACTACCACCTCTGTCACACATCTGAATTCTGTTTGACTCCTACTAGCCTGATGATATTAAAATGAATGCTTGAAAGCATAGGTAACTTCAGATTGCTGCTTCTCTTCCAGACAACCTGGTTCTCCTCTGCTGAGCATCTGCCCTTGTGTAGGAAACACCTCCACGCCACGGCACCCCTCACCCCAGCAAACTGGTGGCAGGAAGACCAGGTGAGCTGATGGTCAAGGGGTAGCTGTAGGGGAGGCAACAGCAGAGCTGCTTGAGGTTTTCCGACAACTCCTTGTGGTCCCTTGCAATTCTTTGATTCTGCATGTAAGCGGAGGGTTCAGAGAAATGTGCAGACTTGTTAATGTCTTTTAGCTGTTAATAACTTTTAGCTTCTCAAAAGATATCTTCCCCCTTTGGCACTGTAGAGGGCGCAATGGTTTGAACCATGCATATTTATCGGAATATTTTGCTGCGAAGTTGTGATCTAGAGTATGTTGTCTTTCCCAGTGCTGAACTATATCTCAGATAGGAGGTCCTGACGCAGCACCCAACACCTTATTTTTATCACCTGTCTTTTTCTGTTTGGTCACCCACAGGTCTTTGGTACTCCAAGGCAGCCCTAACCTCAGCCACATCAGCCCAGAGTCCCCCAATAGCAGACACGCCACACCAGGCTCTCTGAATGCGAACAGCTTGCGTCGCACACTAGCTTTTGAAGATGAGGATGAATGGGAGTCACTTGTTCCCCAGTGCTCAAAGCAGTGCTCTACTTTTGAGCCAAAAAACTTGCTGAGCTTGTTTGAAGACTCCATGGCATCTGAGCAGAAGTGCCAGAGCTGAGAGGAACTTCTTTTCTTTACTTACTGGCTTGCATAGGCCCTTACTGGGTGAAGGGAGGAAACCCCTCCCATTGATATTGCACACTTGGCCAGTATGCTCAGTGGGGCTGGGCTGTGACATAGAGCTAAGTTTAGCAAAAGGGAGGCAGGATTTCTAGGGTTGCTTCCCTGTGCGTAACTTCTCTGCTTGAGCCCTCTGATGATGATGCTTTTGAGATGCATATTCTTGTATTCCAAAATTTAGACTGGTATCTGCTGGCAGGCAGTAGAAAATAGGGTGTATTGTCAGAGGTCACTTGAGGGGAAAATTGTTTTATATGGGGAATGAGGGTGGAATCTATATTTTCTTTTAAAGTTTTGTCTTCTAATATTTGTGTGCTAGGAATGTGTTGCCATTTGTGGGAACTGGCATGGGGAATGGGGAATATAAACTCCCTTTCATACTAGGGTTTTGCAAAGGTGGCAGCTGTAAGACTTGACAATAAAAGCATTTTCAACTTTCCCTTGAATTTTGTGTTTTTTTGTGACTTGAAATATTAATCAAGTTAGAACACCATTCTGACAAAAGAACAGTGAGAGATGAAGTTGCAAATCGCCACACAAGGAAATTAAATCATCAATTTGATTTGAACTGATTTTAGAATGAATTGATTTTAGAATGCTGTATTATTTTACTGTTGTTAGCCACTCTGAGCCCGGCTTTGGTTGGGGAGGGCGGGATATAAATTAAATTTTATTATTATTAATATTAATATTAAAAGTTTGAAAGAAAGAAAGAAATCCTGAAAGTACAGGCTGTTTTTTTGCTGAAGCCTCAGAGAAACAGCTGAATAAATAGTGGGTGTGAGCTGGACAGGTCTTGAAGATATACTTTAGAATCCAAATCTTGCTTATTCACAGTATCTAGTGCAGGGGGTTAACTTTTTTGGGACTGCAGGGGCAGGGGCATTTGGAATGAGACTGTGCTACAGACACTATTCCCCACCAGACAGAAAGCATCCAAAACTTCTTTTCAAAGTCATCTGTGAAAGTTGGATCCAATAGTAATAAAACAGATCCCTGCAAAAACCAATACTGAATTAAAGCTTAGAGGAGTAAAAACACACAGATCCAGTGCCTGCCAGCACCATAAGAACATTGATCCAAGGCACGAATCCTCAAATTGCTTTTGTAAATAGGATGACAACAAAACCAACCAAGCACTTAAACACACTTAGAGGAGACCTGTGATTTGATCATGGTTTTGAGGGGATTGTTCCTTGTTAAATTGTATGTTTGCCTCAGCTCCCATGTTTTTGTGCCAGGGTACCACTGGATTTGGTGGTGGACCTTTGGAAAAATTAAGTTTCAAGAAGATTTGCTGGATACAACTTGTGTATGTGTGTCTTCTCCTTCTGGCAGTCTGTTATTTTCAGCTCTGTACTTTTTTGAGGGGGGTGGGCGGGCAAGATAATGTAACCTACCTTGTTGCCTCATCATGGAGGCAGTGAGGGGCCACACAGAGGCTTAACACATGCCAAGGGAAGTTCTCAAGGCTGCCCTGCCATGTTGGCAACCCCGGGTCTGCATCGCAATTGCCTTCCATATTTTGCAGTGTAACGTAATACTGCAGTAGCTTAAGCAGGGTGGGGGTGGTGAGGGAATTTTTAAAATAAAGAAAGGAGCTTGTCTCCAAGATAGTCAAATTAGATTTAAAAAATAAACATGTCTAGAAGCTTGTGTAACTTATTCTACTTGTCCTTTAGATTGAAGTGAAAAACTGCAGCCCTGTGTATCTGGGAGTGAAACTGACTGAACTCAGTGAGGCAATACTTAGGTGGAAGCATGCATAGATTGGGCTGTATGTATTCCCCACTCCATTTTCTTAAAGGCTAGAGTAGCAAGCAATTTGTTTAATTTTAAAATTTGTGTGTGCTAAAAACATACATAATGACTTGCTTAATTTTATGTGGCTTACTTCCTTGCTGTACTTAAATTCATGTAGGCAAAGAGGTTCAACCTTCTTGAATAATATGGTTTACCTCAGGACAGATGGTTCTACCTCCATTCCACAGTCCATAAGGTGAGAACGACCTTCAAGCACCATAGTTAATTCAGTCCGGACTGTTTTGGTTCCTGTGCTGTAGCAGAAAATAAAATAAATAAAATAATAGCAGGAAAGGGAGTGTTAAATTTCAACCCAGGCCTAAGTATCTGGATGTTGAATAATGGCTCAAGCCACTTTCAACATTATTAAAAAAAAGTGTGATCTTGGTGTGTCAAGTGGCAGGCAAGTGGTCTAAGCAGAATAAAGAAATCAAACCACTGGCTACCATACAGCAAATGCAGGGAACAATCTCACACTAGTTATACTAAAGTTCCATTGAAAGTGATTAAAATATTGAAGGGTAGTTAGATGATCGACTGTATACAATTTGGTTGCTTTTGATATATTTAATCACTTGATGTCAAACTGTAATTTCATTTTTCTGCACTGGGAGATGAAAGCTCTTCTAATGTTACGTGAAAAATACACCTGACATGTCAGCAGGAGAGCCGTATTCCAGGACCTAGATGAACATCTGTGTAGCATCTCTAAGATAACTGGAGGGTACTTCTGGATTGAAACCTGGATGAATTATCTCTTCCTACAGGGAAAACACATCCTAGTGGAAGAGGTTGCAACCATCAGGAACCTTTTGCAACACTTTGAAAGAATAAGTACCACTTATGACAGGCCAGGAAAAAGATGAGTCTTCCTTAGACAGCTCTCTTTATTAGAAGCCCAGACCTGCCATCTGCCCAATGAGGTTCTGGACCATAAAGCACCTACAGTTCCCTTCTTTCCCTCCCTCCTGCATGGAGTGCATTTTAAAAATTTTTTTGGTGCCTTGCTCTTATATTTTAAGATGATATGTAGCTTCAGCCCAAAGAAGCTGCGAACATTAACCATGTCCGTCTACCCTGAGATAGCAAGAGACAAGACTAGGCTGCTGGCAGCAAGTGAAACCCCAGCCCATAACAGTTGAGAGCAGAAAAACACAAGACACTTCCCACCCCACTGTGGAAGGCTTAATTCAGCCATAATGAAGACCGGGTCACACCACTGATACATCATCTTTCTGCATTTGCAGACAACAACATGTGACACACAACAAACAGAAGGCTCAAACTCACTGCCCCTCCCTGAGCACACACACACACACACACGTGCACACACCCACCCCATGAGATCTGCCCTACTTGTGGTCATTTCAGATCCTCAGTCAGTTGTACCTCACCTCCAGCAGCTGAGTTATCTGTTCTAAAGTTGACTGAGATTCAAAGCAATATGACACATATTTATCTTTCCCTGACTTAAAAAAAAAAGCTAACACACACAATCTGCCTCAGGCACCTGCAAGTTGAAACAGAAGAGGTAGGGGGGGCATGCTGATCCCTTTACAATCTGTCTCTTGGTTGTTTTTCTGCTCAGAGTCACAGGGCCTCCCCTTCAAAATGGGGAAAGTTCCAGAGTTAACGCTTTCATTTCTCTACCCACTCACATTCACAGAAAGACACATCGACATACCTTGTTTGGCCCTAAATCAGAATGAAATCCAGAAGGACTTGCGTCCTCCACTGAAAAACTAGCTATCAGTCTGGATCATCAGAATAGGTTTGAACTATTTGCAGGCATGCTCCACTATTCAGCCCCTTATACAGTACAGATTTCAGATTAAGGTGGTGCTGCTGCATAGAAAATATAGAAACCCCACCTTCTGTTAATATGTGGCTTTTTAAAAAGCGGCACAATTGTAACCTAGGTAAATACATTTGTTAAATTTATAATTAAAATATTTCTTTATTCATAAGGGCTACCCAACATGGATTGGGATGCTGATTTCCGTGAACTAGTTTGGGTGTGTTCCATTGAGGCCAAACAAAAGACATGGGGACTTAAAAACTTCTGCCATAAAAATTAGAACGAACTCTAGCTGAAGAACCATTCACCTTATCATTTAGAGCCCAAATGTGGAAGAGTGTTCTATGGGCCCAGTACATCAAGAAACAAGTTTAAAAACTGTGGATTATTTTCCCCACTTGCAATGGCTGAGTACCTATATCAGCCTTCCCCAGCCTGCTGCCTTCTATATATCTTGGGAGTACAAATCTTATCAGCTGCAGCCAGCACACAGTTGCACTTGTGTTGCAGACTAAAACATCTGGAGGGTAGCTAGCTGGAAAAGGGTGACCTAAATTATGGCTCAGGTCCCTGGGCCAAACAAGACGGCCACGGCGTTTGCTAGAAGGCCACAGGGGTGCAGCCTTTTGTCCCCATGCTTGCAGAATGGACCACTCAGAAATCTAGTTGCTGACCACAGCCCTAAGTTAAAAATGTAGCTATTTCTTCTTCTCATAACTGACCAGGTAGGCCAGCTGGACTAATTCCGCAGCCCGTGAAGGAAGTGAACTGGAATTTGGAAATATGGGTAGGTGGCCTTCTGTCCAACCGTGAACAGGAAGACAGGGTAAGAAGATAGCAGCAACTGACTTAGGTTAGCGGCAGCTGCAGTCATCTCTATCAAGAAATGGAGAAAGACCTTTTCCCATTTTATGCTGAACTAAGCTCTGGAAAGTACTCACTCGGCCTAATAGGTATAGCTACGAAAGCAGTAGGTGGGGTTCAACAGGCAAACAGACATTGCAAGGTGATCCCCAAATCCCTCCCCCCGGAGAGAAAGGGGAAGCTGAAGCATGTTGCAAGTCAGCCATAGACCCAGATTTGGTGAGAAGAACCAGAAGTGGAAATCTGGACTCTAGACCTTCCTTCCACCCAATCTAGTTTCAAGGCCGCTAATTACCCCTCCGGAGGAGTGGGGGGGGGGGGAGCTGGTTCAGTGCTTCAAGTTATTTCAGAGCAAATGAATGTATACAGAGCATCTTCCATAATAGACTAGCTGTATCCCACCCCATTCCTTTCCTCAAGGTCCTCACCAACACTCAGTGCAGCAGACCTCAATACCCAGGTGTCTAACCAGCCCTTAAAAAAAAAAAAAAGTATTGCATGGTGTCTGAAAGATACCTGGATAAAAAGTCTATTTAAATAACTCGTCTCTATAAAGCAGAGAGGCTGTACTCAGAACAAGTGTATTCCATTGAATTCCTATTCGCCCAGTGCATACGTCACCCTCAAAACAGGTGAAAAAGATGTCCAAAACAATGGCGTTCTTCCTTGACCACCACCAAAGCTAAGGAAGTCTAGCTTTGATGCAGAAAAGCCTGCAGCCAGCAAGGATTGATGCAAGAGGCTTCGAGTACGGATAACCTTTGCTAGCGCCATCAATAGCTTCTCACAAGTTACAAGGCTACAGGTCAGCAATTTAGAATTCTTCTTAACCCAAGAATGTTTACAAGGCCATCCACCCTGGATGGCAATTTGGAAGAACAGCTGAACACCACAATCTAGAAGCACCTCAACCAATGGAAATCCATTGCCGTAGACCCCAAGGTTTCCAGATCCTATATATGTTTATCCACAGATACTCAAAGCAATGGAAAACCATAACCCCAAGAACGAAAAAATAACACCACCCTGTTCTAAGTGAGTTGTATAAAAAAGAAAAGAAAAAACGTCCTTCCTTGTCTGTCAGCCCTTGTCAAAGACTTTGATTGACGGGAACTTGTGGCCTACCCCACGTCTTAAATCTGTGGGGTTCTTCGATGGGAAGGGTAGGATCCGGACATGATGCAGTCATTCATTCCATGGGGCAGGCGTGGTTGCCAATCCACTGCAGATCAGCCACTACTCCCCAGTGGAGATAAAGGATGCTGACCACCACCAGCACGTGCATTATTTGATGGCTGTTGAACCAGTAGTCAAAGCGGCCCGGCTTCCAGCGCTCAGGCACCCGCGAGATGTTGATGACGCCCCCGAGAAAGGCCAAGCCGTCCATTATGAGGTATGAGCGCAGAGAGGAGGGGTGGCCGGTGCCCAGTCCCACCCATCGCAGGTAGAAGAAGAAGAAGCGGAAGAGGGCTTGCCAGGCAAAAGCCCGCAGGCGCCGGACACTGGAGCTGGCAGTCACTGCGCAGAAAATGCCGTAGCTCGACAAGCCCGTGTAGGCCAGCAGGGCAGCCGTGCGGGGAATCGGGGTGCAGGCCAGCGTGCAATAGATGATGGGGAGAGCACCTGCAGGGAAGAGAGAGGAACACAGTCTGCCCATCAGGAAGTTAAGGGCAGGGTGGGGTGAGGGGGAAGCTGGTAATTATAATTGTCATTTGTGTGGCCAGCCTCCACCACTGGTAGGATGGTCATGCTGCTGCCCCCACACTCTCAGGCATACCCCTAGGACCCCTCAGTTCTGAATCTAACCGAACTCTACGTCCTCTCCCTTGCCAGATTTCTACCACTCCCAAATGAACTTTGGCTGCTCACGGCACATTATTATTATTATTATTATTATTATCATCATCATTATTAATTGAATTTACATGCCCGATTCAGTTTGGCTCCCACATCCCACACACTAGCCCGCTCCTGCCTTCCAGGCACTTGTTTTGTTGCTCTGCACTTTGTTCAGGCCTTCAGGAAGTGCTCTCCCTCCTCTGCCGCTCCCCTTTTGCTGTGTGTCTTGTCTTTTTAGTTTGTAAGCCTGGATTCCGCTTCCCCCTCCCCCCCTCAACTTCTTAAACATTATTTATTGATGTGAGCCACTGTGAGACACAACCATTTTTATGGCTATTTTGGGGTAAGTAAGGCTTCCCAAGTTCTATCCCTGGTATCTACAGTTAAAAGGGTCATGTAGGCTCTGGGATGGGCCTCTACCCGAGACCTGCTGCCATTCAGCCTGGGCAGGACTGGGCTAAACTGGACCAATCATCTGATCTGGTACCTAAGCTTCCTAAACATCATCCGCCATAGAGAACATTTTTGGCTCTTATCAGGATCTGCCTAGCTGGCAGAACAGGTACATAGCCCACACAGGATTTGGCCCAACCCTCCCACCCACCAGGTGACAGGTTATGGTTTGGGGAAAAGAGCCTCATGGGCAAAGATTGGCCCAAGATTGACCCAAGGGGGTCGCCATCGAATTTTGTCTCGTTCTAGGATCTGCCCTCTGTGATATCTGTCAGTACCTATGTGCCATTGTCCCCATCAAAAGTAGACCTCTCCTTTCCAGCTTCTCACGTCTCCTCTGTGCCAGAGTTCGGTCGCTACCTGCATCCCAGTAAACCAGGGAGGAGACCACTATTAACTTACCCAAGGTGTTGACCATGCATACCCCACACATATCAAGGGTGAGCAAGGTATGGTAGACAGCAGGGCCTCCCTCGTGGTTCATGAAGAGGTGGTAGAGCACACTGCCGAGCTGTGGGAAGACGCAAGCCAGGTAGTGCGCTATTCCTAGCCATGAGACGGAGAGTCGGGTCCACGGAATGGTCAAGGGCAACACAAAGAGACACCCCAGCAGAGGGATACCTGAAAGAGAGAAGAAGAGAGCTGGCCTAGTATCCCATCTCCAATCAGGGACAGCCCTGGGACTCCACCATCTTCACAACTCTTCCCACAGAGTGCCCCACTCTAACAGTTAGCACCAGGTGTATCTTCTCCAGTTTTCAGGCCCTTGGCATCTCTCTCCCCCTCCCAACCCACATCCTCTGCTCCTGCTATCCCATTTGTTATGTCAGAACACAGTTGGAAGAAAAATCGTGGAGCATCAAAGCGGCATCGGGAAAGCCACCATTAAAGCATTTTTGGACAGGGGCAGCCTGCTCGTCTTAAGCAATGAACACCCTTTGACACGGTTTATCCATGCTCCTCTTGCAAAGCGACGGCTCCGTTGAGGAATCTTTGATAAGACCCTGAAGGCCACCTGTTCTAGTACTCTACCAGGTACAGAAGCATGGATTGAGCACACTCTCTCTCACTCTGTGTGTAAACATTAAAGCAACAGCCCTTTCCCACTCCCCCTGAAATTTTGTTTCTGACAGTGAAAAAAGTTTGAAGCGAATGGTGTGCGCTTGCAATTTCCCCAAGCATCACCTGTTCAATGTGTACTATGGAAACTTTTGCAGCATTGAAAAACATTTTAATGAGCTAAATCTTCCTCAATAATTACAACCGGGGGGGGGGGGGGGGAGCAGGCCAACGCCATGTTCCTCCCAATGGGGCACGGACTGGATTTCTTTTCTCTCCACCGCCAAAATGCAGCAGCCTGGTAGATTCTTGACCTGTGGATCCAGCCTGCCCTACCCTCACTCTTCCTTATCCCCGCTGAGCCTCAACTCTCCCCTCTCTCACCCTCCATTTCCCCCAGAGGCCACAGCTTTACACAAACAGATTAGGTCTCCCTGAACCCAATTACTGTGCTAATTGAGGCTGCCCGAAGCCAGATCTCAATTAGGAACATGATAAACATTCATTAAGAGGCCAGAAATACTCCTTTAGAAAGAGGCAGGGGAGAAACAGAAGAGAATCTCCCAGGGAGACTGAGTCAGCCCCCCGGCCCCAAGGGGCCTGTCACCTAGCCCACAGCTAGCGAGAGAAGAGTTGCTGCTACCAACTTTTTTTCTTCCCTCCTAGCAGGTCAGTGCCCTTTGTTACCCCATTACCGCAATCTCACTTGCCAGGAAAAGCTGCACCTCTTCTCAGTTTCTGCCTGAAAAACAGTTCGCTTCAGTCGGGAATCGGGATACACACACTGAAGCAGAGGGGGGAGTCTTAGGCTGAATATACGCCATACATTTTGAACAAATGACTTCCCCCAGAGAATCCTGGAAGTGTAGTTTACCCCTCACAGATCCACAATTCTCAGCACCCTCCTTTCCCAGGATTCTTTGGGTTAGATTCCCAAGTGGTCACTCCCCCGCCATGTGAGATTATCTGCTTCTCCAACACATACAAGGGACAGAGAAATGCAACAGGTGCCTCTTATTTGCACAGTGAAGCTCCAGGATACAAAACACATGCAACCCTACTCTTTTATGCAATTGGCGAACATGCAAGCTTGGGCCAGGGCACCTTTGTGTTCCCCCTGCCCAGGTGTTGCTGTTGTACTTCAACTCCCACCATGGGCATAGCCAAGAGGGGGACAGGGAGGGGCAGCTGCCCCCCTCAAATCAATAAAAAGGGATTCTTTCCCCCGCCCTACAAAAGCCCTGGTTACACCCATGACTCCCATCACCCCCAGCCAATTTGACCAATGACCAGGGATGATGGGAGGCAGAGTTCCAAAGTTATCAAAGACCATGAGTTCCCAAGCCTTAGAATCCCTTTTGCCAGCCTGCTGCTGGACAGAGAATCTGAGTTTTTCAGGCAGTCACATGAGTAGTAGTGAGGCGGAAGTGGGACATAATGAAGCCGCCTTATCTAGTCTAGTATTGCCTGTTCTCACTGATAGCAGGTCTCCAAGTTCTCAAGCACAGCCCTTTTGCAGACTTTACCCTTTCCTTTTAAATAAATAATAATAATTTCAAAAAATTCCAGTGGAGATGCCACAGATGGTATCAGGAGCAGGTGCCAGGTAAGCCATAAATCACACGGCATCAGTAAAGTTAATTCTTTATTCAAAAAACAAGGTTGACACGTTAGGCCAGGCCTAGTGACAAGAGCAACTCTTCCTAGTAGATCTTGCCCCTATGAGGCAGTTCCCACAGTTCCCTAAGTCTCCTATACTCCCAGGTCTTTCCGAAGCAATCTGAGACTCAGTTGTGTGCCTGCCTTTGCTCCACCCTATTCATACCTCTTCTGGTTCTGGGAGACCAGAGGGAAGGGAGCTTGCCACAGCAGGAGGGGGAGACTCCCTGGCTTCTTCACCAGCCTGACTCACCTCTGCCTCTTAGCCCCTTCCTGTCCAGCCTCTGCTTCTGTTTCTGATTCTGGACTGCACTCTACCACTGCCTCTTCCTACTCACTAAACCCTGTTACTGCTTCAGCTTCTGACACCTCCTCCTCCCAGCCTGCTCTCGCTTCTCCCTCTGACCACTCATCGTCATCCCACCACCAATCCCCTGGCTCTGAACCTTCTTCCCCTGGGGGTTCCCCAGCTGGGGCCTCCCACCACTCCTCTGCACTCAGACATCTGGGGCCTAGGCTCCTGGCTAGGGGGCGCTATGCCACTACATGGTTCTCTCCTACTCCTGCCACAACTACCCTGGAGAGTATGTGACTGGGCCCAAGGTCACCCAGCAAATTTCGTGGCTGGGGAGGGCAGGGAGCATTTGAAGTCAGGTCTCCCCAGTCCGAGTCAGATTTTCTTGAATGGTATACTAACAGCAGCTGTTTCCCCAAACTTTGGCAAGAGGGTGGACATGGCAACACAATGAGTAAACCCATTGGCTCCCCATGTTGTTGGTAGTGCAGTGGTTAGGGTGATTGACTAGCACCCAGGAGCCCAGGGTTCAAATCCCCACTCAGCCATGAAGCTCCCTGGGTGACCTTGCATCAGTGCTTCTCAGCTTAACTACCTCGCAGGGTTGTTGTGAAGATAAAAACAGAGGGTGGGGAAGAACCATATGTGCCACCTTGAGAAAGTGGGTTATAAATGTTCTAAATAAAATTGACAAACAGGTTAGGCAGCTGGGGGCAAGCTTATAACCTCAAAAACATAGGAAGCTTCCTTATACAGAGTCAGGCCATTAGCCTGTCTAAGTCAGTATCACCTACACTGACTGGCAGTGCCTCTCTAGGCTCTGGGCAGAGGTTGCTCCCATCCTTACCTGGAGATGTGGGGATTGCATTGCACGTGGCTGTGATCTAGCCAAAGTCAAGATGAGCTAGGATGACTTTCATCTCTCGCACAGCAGAGACTATGACGATTTAATCTAAGCTTTTGGGCTACAGAGCAGGGAGCAATGGCCGCCACAGGGCATAAGCCAAGCACACCTGCCCCCCACCTCCCCAAAGCCAGCGTTTTGGTAAATAGCCAGGCTGTTTTCTACCCCCACCCCCGACGGCTCCCAGCATCCCCACCTGACGGGACGACGGTCCCAAGGACGACGGGGAGGGCCGTGTCAGCAAATAACTTGGAAGCCTGCATTTTGCTGACGGCGGGGATTGTGGTACCCACGCGCCAGCTGCACAACCGCAAAATGCCTCCAAAATGCAGCCAGGCCATTTAAAGAAGCCACGCAGCAACTTGGCACCCGGGGGCTGGGAAGGTACATTTTAACTCACAGTGCCACCTGAAGAGGCTGTTCTGCTGCACACATCCCAAGAGGCAAGGTGGCAGAGGAGAACCACTCTCTCCAAGCCCTGAGGAAGGGAACGGCCTCAGGCCTGCTCCAAAATCCACACACGGGAACAAAATGGGAAACAGAACCCTCTCTTTGCCAATCGGATGTTTTCTACACAAAAAGGGGGGGTGGCAAACAGAGGTATGAAAAGGAGTAGGGGAATAACTGTCAAGGTCAGGTGGCTCTCACAAACTACACTACCAAACGGGTTTGGGTACAGAATTCAGCAAGCTAAGAACTCCCAGCTGCTGGTTTTTTTTTAATAGTTTCTAACCTGAGGCTCCAATACTTTGGCCACCTCATGAGAAGAGAAGACTCCCTGGAAAAGACCCTGATGCTGGGAAAGATGGAGGGCACACAGAGAAGGGGATGACAGAGGACGAGATGGTTGGACAGTGTTCTCGAAGCTACCAGCATGAGTTTGACCAAACTGCGGAAGGCAGTGGAAGACAGGAGTGCCTGGCGTGCTCTGGTCCATGGGGTCACGAAGAGTCGGACACGACTAAACGACTAAACAACAACAAACCCTCAAGACTAAAAGTGTAATGCAGTGACTACTGAAGCTCCTGAAAGGTTTCCTGATCGACCACAAAGCACAGATAGAAATCATGGATAAGCCTTCTCTATCACCTATGCCTACCTCATAAGGTTGTTGTGATCTTTTATTCTGATTCTGTTTATTTATTGTGCGGATTTGTTATTTTATTTCTATCGTAAATGTTATTGTTGTTAGCAGTCTTGGACGTTTTAATGGAAGGGTTAGGGTATAAATCTAATGAACAGCAATAAGAAAAAAATGAATGCTCCCATCTATTCTGCCCCTGAATTCCTTCCAGCGGGACTACAGGGAAGGAAATGTGATAAGTACATACCGACCTGAGGGTCTACATAGAAACGATAGCAAGATCTCAGAAGCCAGAGTTTGGAGAAGGGGAGCAGGACTTGTCTGCCTCCTCATGACTGGCAGGAGAAAAAGGGTTTGCAAAATTCACACAGATCCACTTAACACCGTTTGCAGAATTCAGCCATCCTCGGCACAACATTTAGTGTTGTGTTTTCCCCCCCAGCGCACACGTACACAAAATCCTGACAACTGTCCCCTGCAGAGTTATCAAGGCTCGGCCATTGAACTCTGCCACTGAAGTGGCAGGAGCCTTGCAGCGAGATCTGGCAAACTTCCCAGAGGATATCTTGCTTCAGGGCAGATGCTTGTGTTGGTTGCCCAAAGCAGACTCCAGGCCACACTTCAAAAAATAAAGATAGGGACACGGTGGAGGGGAGAGGGCAGCGTTGCTGTTTTCCCACATGAATAAAGCAAGTTACACCTGAAATAGTCTTACTCTTTGTCCTTGTCTCCAGGCCCTAGCACCAGCATCGGGGACATCCAAGTTTATTCTCATTTTCCCACCCCTGCACACCCAGCTCTGCCTTTCCTGTTCTCAGTTTCTGCAATCGCTGCTACAGACCTGTCACAGAAGCACAATCCCGGCCTTGCTCTCCTCCCCAGGGACATGTTAGGGATCGGATAACAGACCCGGAAGCGTCAGGACTCTGTAACATTAAACAGTCATGATTTCACGGTCTGAGCCAAAGACTCGGGGCAGGGGAATATACACCGTGAAACGCTGACGTTGTGCGATTCTGGCTCTACACACACAAACCCATTCTCAGAGCCAGGGATGTTCCCTTCTCACTCTCTCTCCTTTTATTACATTTCACTGTCATTTCCAGAGGCTTAATCAAGGGTAACCTCATTTTTCAGAGAGCTGAACCAATCCGCCTGTTACACCTATTATTCATACAGCCCAATCAATGCAGCCCCCCCCCATTTTTTTACAAGAGTCCCAGACCCAGATAGATGCTAATCCAGTCCTTAATAGAGGGGTGGGCAAGAGGAGGAGGAAAGGGACAGAGATCAGGAGGAAGGATTTGTGTGTACTGTATGCAGAAATGCAGGTGCACATGAGGCTCTCACGCTTTTGTGTTAAACCTCAAAGGCCCACCTACTGCCAGAGTTCAGTCTGGGCTCTGCTTGCCACCTCTGAGGTCAGCTGCTCAAGTGTAAGCCACTTATCCCAGGAACTGCTATTTCAGCATCTGGGACAGGATACGTCCTGGCACTTGTATGGGGTGGGAGGATGCATGACGTTGGACCCCCTGGCAGGATGGAAGGGGCGGGGAAGAGAAAAAAACACTGAGCCTATAATTGGATCATCATTAACTACCTGGAAGGAGCTAAATAAATACAGTTCCTGAAGACGGATAGAAAGTGGGAGGCTCAAGGCTGTCTCTGTAGGAAAAGACAGGGGCACATGGCATCAGGAAGCGGCACTATCGCCTCTTAGCGCCAGGGTTGGTCCTTGGCCATAGCAGTAAAGAGTTGAAGGGTGAGGATGTGTGCCAGAAGGTGCAAACAAGGTGTATTTCTTCCTCATGCACAATTTCCACAAAATGCAGCAAAGTCCACTCATTTACCAGCAGTTGGTTTTTTTAAAATGGATTTGAGCCAACAAATCCATAGCAGATTTGCCCATCAATGGTGTTTAAACCCAACCAGCAGGCCCTGCAACAAAATGTTGCAGCGTGCAGTGCTCTTGTTCACTGAGCCAGCCTTGCCCTCTGTGAAGCTGCATTTTATTCCCGCTTCCTTCCCACCCATTTTTCCATTTGCTCTCCCACACGACGGTCAGTCAGCATTCTCTGGCCAGTGAGAATGCTCAGTCCTCACTGGGCTATGGGGGGGGGGGATCTTCCCTCACTTTTCTCTCATGAAGGCTTTATTTGCGGGGGGGGGGGGTATTTCTGTAAACCTTGGGGTATCCTTGAACTTTTCAGTCCCTCCCTCTTATATGTATGTGGCGCCATTTTGGCTATATAAGCACTCACTTCTGAACACAAGAAATAGAGGGAATTGGTTAAAAAAAATTGAACCTCCATGTTTAGGAGGAGTATACCACCCATTAACAGATACTGGGGCCAAACAACAAAGGATGTCCATCTCCGTGACCTACTTTGAGATCTTTCTAGTAACATCTGGCTTGGCCACTGTTGCACAGGTAAGCTGGATAAGGTGAATTTTGGCTTGAGCCAGAAAGACAGTTGCGAGGTGCTTCTGTAGGTGTCTTCACCTTCGGAGATTAGGCAGGTGATATTGCAACACACACACCCAACCACATTTGCCTGGCACCGTCATCTTTCAGACAAGAAACCAGGCTCAATCAGCCCTGTTTTTCATGAGCCTTCAAACAGCAATTAATATTCTCCTAGCCACCGTCTACCTCTTTATTTGCTTTTAGACTATAAAATTTAATTTGTCAGGTTGCTTATTCAATTTGTTTTACTGCCGACACTTGATACCATTTAAATTGTAAGTTATCTCGAGGATGCAAACAACGGAAAGTGGGGGACGAAAATCCTTCTCTTAAAAAAAATGAAATCAATCTGCCTTGTGTGGTCCTGGCTGAAACGGCAGCCTCAGTTCCCCCCATCTGTGAAAGGGAAGGGAAAGCTTCGCTCAACTCACTAAGTGACACACGATGAAGAAGAAAACCGGGATCACTTTATAAAAAGGATTAGTAGCCAGAGCAGTATGCTGCAATGGTATTGAATCTCTCACGCTATTTGAATGACATCCTGCGAGCCAAAAGGGGTGTGTGTTAAGCCCAGTCTTACTTTCGGCCAAATGCAGGGGGTAGCATTTAGGGGTGGGCGAAATTCTGCACAGTGTCCTCATCCTACCTCTTGGCTGCACAATGTCACTGAGGTCAAGAGAATCCGGAACAGCTCACATTACCCACACAGCTGCCTCCCTCCCAGAAGAGTGTGGGTACTGCCCACCACATCCTCTCAGCAATACAAAAACCTCCCAGATTCCCAGCCCGCTGCAACACCACCTTTCCTGCTGGATCCACTACGATATCTCCAGGGCCCTTTGCAGTCCCCTCACTCTCTGCACAGCATCTATGCCCACCAGCCAGTAGAGCTAACCTTAAATCCCACTCATCCATTTATCAAAACGCCTACCTGTATTTCTGCACCACCACCACCCGCTCCAGACAGACTGCTGTTCCTATCCAGGTCTCTGTTTTCCATGTACCTGTCAAGAGCCAGCAAGGTGTAGGTAGAGTCATAGAATTGTAGCTCTGCAAGGGAGACCCCGAGGGTCATCTAGTCCAACCCCCTGCAATGCAGGAAGCTCAACACATGGTCTTCCCCATCCCGTTTGAAAACATACCAGTCCCTGCTTAAGCTTTGCAAACGTGCTAGCAGGTAGGTAGTTATCAGGTGCTGAAGTAGGATGGGGAAGATCCGGGTTCAAATCCCGACTTAGCCAGGAAGGTTATTGTGGGCAAAGAGAAGGCCATGTAAGGCATCCTGAGGACTGTATATGCATACACACACGGCTTGGTTTTGTGAGAGGCAGTATTTACTGGTACAGAGTACCAGAGCCTGTTTTTCCCTGCCAGTAGCGGACGGCACTCTCCTCAGAGGCCGGATCTGTCGCTTGAGGTGACTGCCTCGCCTCATGGACAGGCAGACCACGCCAAGAGAAGCCAAGATTCCTGGATTTTATCCCTCACCATTCTCTTCTTCTCACCTGTGGACCATATTCTAATACCCTTTGTCCTTCAAAGTAGGAGGGAGTTGAATATATAGATATATTTTTTAAAAAAGCTATTTCCAGGGCAGCTGAAATGCAGGCCCTTCTAATCCCCTGGGAACTGTGACTCCATAGCTGCTCCCTGCCCCCAGGTCTTAAATGTTGGGCCAGGAGAGCAGAACAAGACTCAATCTCTCCGTTGCCTGGATTAGCCAGGATCAACGGCTGCTTAGCCCCCAGAGGGCTGGAAAGGTAATTCCCAGCAGGGCTCCTGGGTTCCGTGAGGGGAGAAAATGAGCAAGAATTAACCAGAGGAAGATGCTCTCTCTCCAGGGCCCGTGCAAGATTTTGGGCTGCCTGAGGCAAAGGACACAATGGGGCATCCCTCCCACCATAGACAGAAGCCGATATGAGCAGCAGTCACCTCTTGCTTCAACACTGGGGACGGGATAACACCCTCTACTGCACCTGAGAGCACCAGACTTTTTTAGGGGTGAATGACAGAAGAAGAAGAAGAAGAAGAAGAAGAAGAAGAAGAAGAAGAAGAAGAAGAAGAAGAAGAAGATTTGATATCCCGCCTTTCACTCCCCTTAAGGAGTCTCAAAGCGGCTAACATTCTCCTTTCCCTTCCTCCCCCAACAACAAACACTCTGTGAGGTGAGTGGGGCTGAGAGACTTCAGAGAAGTGTGACTGGCCCAAGGTCACCCAGCAGCTGCATGTGGAGGAGCGGAGACGCAAACCCGGTTCCCCAGATTACAAGACTACCGCTCTTAACCACTACACCACACTGGCTCTCGGGCCATGTAGAATACGCAGCTCTGTTTTCCGAAAGGAGGCCACATCTGCGCCAGAAATTTAAAGCACCAACATGCCACAGTTTATTAAGGGTGCCAAGAGTTGTTGGAGACCCCCGATTCCCCTCACAATGCTCCCAGTTCCCAGAGTGGTTTGACAGTCCATCCTTCTTCCTGAGGAACTCTGGGAATTGTAGCTCTGTGAAAGGAATAGGGATATCCTAACAGCTCTCAGGGTGTTTCAAGTGGAATGATAGTGCTTTAAATGTCTGGGGCAGATGTGGTGTGAATGGCCAGGGGGCTTGGGAGAATCAGCCACCACAGCCCCATAAGTATATGGGCTATAGGCTATAGGCACGCTCTGACTAATAACAGGGTGGGCCCTGAGCCTCTCACAGACATATGAGGCTGGCTTACACCATCAGGCTACTGGTTTATCTAGATTCCAGAACAATATGGTTTTACTCTTAACAGGCAGTGGCTTTCCAAAAACTTGAGTTCTTTCATAGAACCCTAGAGCTGGAAGAGACCACAAGGGTCATCTAGTCCAAACCTCCGCAATGCAGAAATCATTTGGCCAAAGTGGGATTCAAACACATGCCTTTGAAATTAAGAGTCTCATGCTCTACTGACTGAGCTATACTGCAGGTATCCTTTCACAAGGCATTGAACCTGGGATATTTTGAACAGAAGGAAAGACTCTGCCCTCAAGCTGTGGACCCAACAACTCAATAGAAACTGAACTGTACCTCCATATGCAGGTACAGTATACCCCTCCCCAAAAAACCCAGATCAATCATGGCTGCCATCATTTTCATGCATTGTTTTTGAGTCTCCCCAAGGCTATTGATAACACAGTGTTGGACGAGTTCAACCTTTGGCCTCATCTAGTGAAGAAGTACTTATGTTCCTACTCCTGCCTGATTTGTTCCCTGCGATTTATTGGAAGCCGGCCATGGGCACGGATGCTGCCAAGCAGTTCCCAGGTGCCGGTACATGCCGCTCCCTGGAGATTCCCCACCCTGACGATGCTGCCAGACCAACAGCATGGTATCCGCGAGGCAATTCCCCTGGGAAGCTGGCATAAGCAAGTTTACACATATACAAAAGTTCCACTTGCCTCAGCGGAACAGAAACAAAACAACTTTCATGGCCCTGTTGGCTTCTTCTAAGAAAACGCCTACAACCGCCGTCGTTTTGGGCAAAATAGACCTGGCTCATATGCACACAACGCACGGAAATCCCTTCTAAAACCAGGGCAGCTTCCCCAAACTATTTCCCATAATTCCTTGAGGAGAAGGATGGGAAACAGTGGACAAGATCCTCAAAAGACCACCTGCCCACCATTTGGTCCCATTCAGAGAAACAGCCATGGGAGAGGGTTGGATATGTACAAGTATGCCCAGCTTAAAATAGACCTGGCCTCATACAAAAACAGGCCTCGCACATCCCAGAATCCTTTGCAGCATGCAAGGATTTCATGGCAGGCATAGAGGGATTGCCTTGAGAGAGAAAACAATTCCTTTAGAGTAGGAATTTGAAACCTAATTCTCTTAGCCAGGGACCTACTCCCTTCTAACACCAAGGAAGGAAGCCACAAATTCAGTCTTTCTTTAGGATATTGATCCATTAAACTCCCACACCCCATCAGGTGTGTCAAATCTCAAAATGACGTGGCTCAGGCTACTTTATTCTAACCTTTGAAGCCTGTTAGCTATATGTCAAAGCTGGCAAACAGCTTTATTGGTCCCCTAGAAGTGCCCTTCAACGCTTCAGCACACCCATAATTGCTCCATGTTGCTCTTTGCCCTCATTTGACACCGGCAGTTGGAGAACAATTTCCTTCCTCAAGTCAGGCTCTTGCCACAACATGTGTGTAGGAGCAAATACTTAAAAAGTCAGATATTTGAGCAGGAAATCACCGGGGGGGGGGGGCTGTGTGTGTATTGTACCACAATTCTGCAGGAATGCAGGGGGGAATGTGCAGAATGCAACATGAGGACTATTCTGAGAATCTCAGCCTTCACAAAAAAAGAAAAGGGGTGGGGAGGAAAGAGGAGCAATCCAGCCCATATGGTTGCAAATAAACACTGGAGAGCATGTGGGCAAAACAGTGCTTACAGATCTTCACCAGAAGACACAACACACACACACACACACACACACACACACACACACACAGTAAGGGGTAAGCAGTGAGGTGGTGAAATTTGCTGATAGTACTGTTCAGGGTCATTAAAACAAAAAGAGAGATTGTGAAGCGTTCCAAAAGAACCTCTCCAAACTGAGTGAACAAGCAGTCAAAAGGCAAATGCAACTGAATGTAAACAAGTGTAAAGTGATGCATGTTGGGGCAAAAAATATTAATTTCACATATTTGCTTATGGGACCTGAACTTGGGGTGACTGACCAGGAACGTGACCTTGGGATCATAGTGAATAGCTTGCTGAAGACGTTGATCCAGTGTGCGGCAGCAGTGAAAAAAGCAAATTTCATGCTAAGGATCGTTAGGAAAGGAATTGGGAAAAAAACTACTGATACCCTAATGCTGTGATAGAAGTCTATGGTGTGACTGTATTTGGAATACTGTGCAGAGGTCTGGCCACCTCAGCTCAAAAAGGATATTGCAAAGTTGGGAAAGTTTCAGGAAATGGCAAGTGAAACGTTCAAAGGGATGGAGCAACATTCCTGTGCAGCAAAGGTTGCAGCATTGGGGACTTTTTAGTTTAGAGAAAAAGTGAGGAAGAGGTGACATGTGTACAATTATGCATGGAATGGACAAAGTGGATGGAGAGAAGTTTTTCTCCCTCTCATATAACACTAGATCTCGTGGAAATCAAATGAAGCTGAATGCTGAAAGATTCAGGACAGACCAAAGAAAGTACAGTGGTACCTCAGGTTACAGACGCTTCAGGTTACAGACTCCGCTAACCCAGAAATAGTGCTTCAGGTTAAGAACTTTGCTTCAGGATGAGAACAGAAATCGTGCTCCGGAGGCACGGCAGCAGCAGGAGGCCCCATTAGCTAAAGTGGTGCTTCAGGTTAAGAACAGTTTCAGGTTAAGAACAGACCTCCGGAACGAATTAAGTACTTAACCCGAGGTACTACTGTACTTCCTGCAGCGCATAGTTAAAACTATGGAAGGCCGTGACGGGCCCCAACTTGGAGGACTTTAAAAGAGGATTGGACCACTTCATGGACAACAAAGCTATCAATAGAACCAGCCACAATGGCCATGTTCTACCTCCATTGTTGGAGGCAGTGAATACTTCTGAATACCATTTGCACAAGATGGGAGAGTGCTGTTATTCTCATGTCTTGCTTGCAAGCTTCCCTGGGACACTTGGTTGGCCACTGTGAGAATCGGATGCTGGACTAATGGGCCATTGGCAGGCTCTTCTCATGTTCCCAATAATGGACTACAGGTGAATCAAGGCAGCTTTGGGTGTTCCTGAAGAAATGTGAACACTCAGAAAGCACTGCCCTAGACAAGGAAGAGAAACAAGGAAAAGGAAGCTTTGGCCCTTCAGAGCTCACAGGACTACACCTCCTCATTCCTGAACCCTGGCATGTTGGCTGGGCCTGATAGGAGCTGGAGGCAGAGAGTTGGACTCTCTGCTTCTTTGTTAGATATTCAATAAGGGAAGAAATGTGTTCAGGTGGTACACGTCAACAGCCACCAAAGCCAAGCAAACGCCTGACCTCCGCTGCAGTTCTCAGGGAATCCATTTCAAGAATATCCAGCCTGTTAACTGACCCCACCCTACTCCACCCAGTGAGCTGGGGCAGGCTGAAGCCATTCCCCAAAAGATGCTTTCGTTTGGGCTTGCTGCTGCCCGCTCCCTCCCTCATCCATGGTGAGTAAGAGCGCACAGCTTGCACAATATGCTGAGCCTATGCTTGTGACACATGAAAGGGGTCCTGTGGGCAGGAGAGCTCGTAAAAGGGCAGTTTGCCCTTACAGGGGAGACCGGATTATTTCATGAGCTCACGAGAACAGTGAGGAGGAGGAGGAAATCCTGCAACCTCAACTCTGCGGCTTGCTCAATTGCCCAACTGGTCCTGCTCTCTGCTCTCATTACCCAGGCAAATTCATTTCTCTGGCCGTGTGAGCATTTTCCTTCCTTATTCCCCTAATACAGGGCAGTGGGAGAGCAGAGTGATTTGTTTCTTAAGAGGTGCTGGGAAACTGTACCCTAGTTACTCATCACTGACATGGGGGGAATGGCTGCAGCAGCTCAGTGCCAAGGGGGGGGACACACTCTGCATGTGGTCAAAAGCTACTTGCTCTTATTTCATATTCATATCCCACCTTTTATTCACAAAAGACGATGTACATGAGATTTCCAGGAAGCCACCCATCCACTCAGGCACTATTCACTCAGTGCTCTGAATGCTCGAAGACTGTAGCTGAGGGGGCTGCAATAGATGCCTACAGATCATACCTGGGATGGTGTGTTAGGAGGAGGTCAGGGGTCCAGGCCCCAGGTCTTTTTGTACCAGACCCAAGATCTTCTAGCCCTTCCCTTCTTTCTTACTTTCTGTAAACTTAAAGTACTTATTTTAAAAATGATTACAAGGCACATTTCCTCTAGAAGTCATGCTCAATTTGCATAGAATTGCAGAGTTGGGTGGGACCTTGAGGATCATCAAGTCAAATTCCTTGCAATGCAGGAATTTTTCACCTAACACCCACGACCCTGAGATTAAGAGTCTCATAAATGGCATGCAAATTTCTGTCACAGGGCTGTTGCTCCAAGCCCTTTAAGGTTCAAGCAACACACCTGGCCTGGGACATGACATGATTATTACTTTCCCAAGTTCCACAGGTGGCATAAAAACAGGTTCTGGGTGAGAAAATGTGCAATAAGGAGGCCTAAGGGGTAGGAAAGCATTGCAGAACCACCTACATACTTGCACAATAGGTTTATGCATTACTTTCAGTGAGCAGGATATAATCCTGCCTGCATGGTTTTTGTTATATCTCTACAAGGTTAGAAGCCTTTTTCCCAAAATGAAATATTTTAAATAAAGTACATACATGCTGTTTAGGAATGGGGAGCAGAATATTTCAAAAGTTTCAAGGGCTGTTGTGGTTACAGCTCTGGACTGAACTCTGACAGCAGTTATCTTCTTCATACTTTTATCACAGCCTTTCCCAACCTGGTGCCCTCTAGATGTTATGGAGCACAATGTCCACTCTGCTTGGGGCCAATATGAGCAAAACATATGCATGGCAACAGATTGGAGGAAGGCTGATTTATGACATCCTTTCCAATAGGAGAGCTAAAGAAGGGCAGTCACTAAGAAGCCTAGGGATGCTGGCTATTGAACCACAGGCCTTTTGCCTGCAATCTGAGCAACCAGGAAGTGTTCTGAATGCTATATATTCATGCTTACTGTTTCTCTTTCATCTGGCTAAAGCAGGTTGGCTCAGTTTAAGAACTTAAGAAGAGTCCTGTTGGATCAGGTCGATGGCTCATCTATCCTGCTCCCCCAGTGTCCAACCAGATGCCTATAGGAAACTGGAAACAGAAACTGAGCACAACAGCGCTCTCCCCCCTTTTGTCATTCTCCGCAACTGATACTGCCTTTGATAGCAAAAGAGCACAGCCCTCATGGCTATGTAGCCCAGGATAGCCTGATCCTCCATGAATTAGTCTAATCCTCTTTTGAAGCCATCCAAGTTGGTGGCCATTGCTACAATTTGTCACCACCACCCCAAGCCAAACAGCCCACCAGCCAGATGGTGTGGTTTGCCAGGTGTTGAGCCACATCCTCATTTTTTGTATTCCCAGGTGGGCAGCAAGAACAGAAGGTGTAACAAACTAGTGGGTCCCAAGGTGTCCAGGCCTTACATGCAAGCTACTTTTTCAGATACAGAATTTATCTTGTCCTGATCTGTTGTTGTTGTTTTACCTCTTTTTATGTTACACTCCTATTTTCCTAGGCAGCCTCCCATCCAGGCACTGACTAGACTCAGGTCCGCCTAGGTTCAGCAGGTTTGCAGCAGTAGCAGACTTCAAACCATCCCCTAAGTACTGAAGGTGCAACCAAATTGTTCATGTTGCTATGTTGCAAGGAGGAATGGGCACATGAAACAATGAGGTGAGAGCTAGTCACTTTTGTGGATGTGATTTGCACAACTGTACTCTTGCAATAAGAAACCTCCAGAATAGAAGCTCTCCCCATACAGAAGAGTTTATGGCTGTGTGAATATGAGCCTATAATTTCTGCCCAAACACCCCAGAATAGAGCTTTTCAGCTCAGCCTCCTCTAGCATAGCCACAGGTGCTTGTGTCCAGAACAATCCCCATTGAAACCAATGACAAAAGCACATTGTGTGTTTTGCCCAAACTCAGCTTTGCAATGAATGGGAAGCGGGCGGAGAGTTCTAAAACATTCCACCCCCCATTGCCATAAGTCAGACAACAACAACAAAACAAAGCTGAATGAGTGAAGGGGTGACAGGGAGTCATAGCTGGCTCCTTGATGCTCCAACCTAACATGCCTCATAACAACAAGGCGCTTGAAAACCCTCTTTGATTATCGCCAGCCTTTGGGTCCATCTAACCCAGACTCTTCCTGCTCCACCACATGAGATGTTCCTTTCAAGGCATCCAAGACTGAACTTGGCTTTTCGGCATGCAAAACATGCCCTCCGCAGCTAAGCCTCTCTTTCGCAGGAAGTCAGCTGCTCTCCCACAAACCCACACAGGATAATACAAAGTTAAGGCTGCCATAGAAACCCTACCAGGAAACAGGGCACACAGCTAATAAGCGAAGTGAAACTCCCGTGGCCAATGTTAGCTCAGCAACTTTGCTCCGACTCCGGCAAACAGTCACCTAAGCCCAGAAAAATAAACTTGTAATTATTCACCATTTGAAGGGGTGGCTCGTTGGAAACGGACAAGGAAAGCAGAATGAATGAGCACTGACATCCGAGGGGGCACGAAAGCCGGGGTTGAGGGAGGAGAGGGAGAAAAAATATGCAGAGCGTGGGGACAGGCATCTAAATTGCCCACGGAGAGCTAGCTAGGTTGCAGTGGGGCTGTCGCGTGCGTGACACTGAGGTTGTCCATGGACCCTCCGGCGGCCAGGATGCTGCCAGTCTGTCTAGGGATCAGGGCGCAATGGAACTGGAGGACAGAGATTGGCGGCTGGGGGAGAGGGAAGAGGCATGAAAAGGGACGCGCGGCTCTCAAACTCCGTCGGGTGGGGGAGAGCCAGGCCCTGCGAAAAGGGTCCACGCCAACGCTGTGGGACCGGGCAAGAAAAACGGAAGCAGCAGCAGCAGCCGAGGGATGCCGAAATGCACCAGGAACAGACCAAAGCAAGGGTACAAGAGCTCTGGGCAGCCGGGCGGAGGTAGAGGTACCTCTGGATGCCCGCTGCACGCCTAGGGCTAGAGGGCTGGCATCCGGTGCAATCGCAGGGAGGGCCCTGCGGGAGAGCAAGCACGGAGATCGGAGGGCATCGGAGCCCGGCGGGAGAAAGCGCGGCCGACGGCGGCGGGGTGGTGGAGAGGCCGGTGCTAGACACGGGCTGCGGGGAGCAAGGCAGGGAAGGCTGCGGGGACTCACCATGGGTGTAGATGTTGCCCAATTCGTTGTGCAGGTAGAAGAGGCTGCGGAGGCAGCCGGACCCGGTGCTGATCGGCCGGTAGCCCGTCAGCACGAAGCGGTTGAACTGCAGGTGAGGGGGGGAGCTGGCCCAGTCCAGGAGCCGGGGCCCCCCCAGGAAGGCCATGGCCGGGCTCCCCCCCCGGGGTCAGCTTCTGGCCGGGCTCTGCATCCTCTTCCTCCTCTTCTTCCTCCTTCCTCCTGCTGCTGCCGTTGCTGATGCTGCCGCTGCAACGAGCAGCTCCTCCTTGGGCTTCCCCCTCGCTTCGCTCCCCTCCTCGGGCTGAGCTCACAATCCGGCCCCGCCCACCGCCCTCATTAACATAATACATGCGGGTACCACTGCTCCCCTCCTCCTCCCCTGCCGCCTTTTCTCACGCCGGGCCGGTCCCCCTATCTGCAAGGCTTCCGCGCAAGCCCCGCCCACGACCCTGCCGCTCATTTGCATAATCTCTGCACCGCAGTCGCTCTGACTCGCACATGGCTGCCCGGATCAGGGTTCTGCACTCTGCATAAAAATGACAATATATGCAAGCCACGCCCTTCCTCTCCGGGGCCTACCAACCGCCCGAGCTTGACTAAGAACTGTCGTTCCGTTATTAGCATAACGGACGCCCCGCCCTCCCTGCGGTGGGTGTTAATAGGGCGTCCCGAGTCCTTGAAATTCGATTATTTGCATAACCCATTGAGACACGCCCCCAGCAGCTTGTCAGCGATGTCCGTGATTGGACGCGCGGAAGATAGGCCCAATTGTAAACCCCAAAGCAGACAAAAGACGCCCCCGAAAGGCAGGAGGGTGTATAGGTTTGACGCGGTTATGAAATTAATTCCTAAATCCTTAAAAGTCACGCCCCTAAACTGCGTGGTGGCCCGTCACATAACAGGACACCTTTGGTTTTTTGTTTTTTTTTTAAGTAATCCCCAAAGCGCTATTGCAATAACGTTGTTTGTGCAAGGAGATCTAATATTATAATAAGTATTTGCATGTGTTTCATAATGCAGTGATTTCCTACGCATTTATAGTGCCTTGTGAGTTTTCGGCTTTCAGAGACATAACGTGATCCAGTCATCCTTGCAACAACCTTGTATAGATGTCCAGCGTTATCCCCATATTACAGAAGCGGGACTGAGGCTGAGAGAGCGGTTTGCCTATAACCGCGAGGGGGGCGTCTCGCAGGAGTGAGGTTTGATTGAGAAACTGCCAGGTTCATAGTTCAGTCTGCGGGCTGGCAGCCACTAAGCTACACAGCAGTTTTATTAATAGAAATATAACTCACGCGGGTGATTCTCCTCTTTATTAAAGCAATAAGTAACTGGGAGGAAAGGCTGGCGGAGGGGTGGGAACGCTGTAACAATATTTGCACAACGTAGGATACAGCTTTCCTTTTACCTCTTGATTAGTAATAATTTGGGTACGTTATTGTCATGTTCATCTCAGACTACTTGCACATTCCAGATTAATGCATTAAACTCATCCTGCCCAGGCAGAACATAAGGAAAGCTAGTGGAACAGACATGAATTACAATAATTCATTAATTACTCTCTCAGCATTGCCTCATTAATCCAACTGCGTTTGGAGTCTCCCTTTCTCAGGTGCTACTGGCAGGAGGAGGGTAACAAAGTTTCCCTCTCCAGCATGGAAGGCAATTAACATTATACAATACAGTGGTACCTCGGGTTACATACGCTTCAGGTTACATACGCTTCAGGTTTCAGACTCCGCTAACCCAGAAATAGTGCTTCAGGTTAAGAACTTTGCTTCAGGATGAGAACAGAAATTGTGCTCCAGCAGCAGCAGGAGGCCCCATTAGCTAAAGTGGTGCTTCAGGTTAAGAACAGTTTCAGGTTAAGTACGGACCTCCGGAACGAATTAAGTACTTAACCCGAGGTACCACTGTACGGAAAAGTATGAGGGGAAGGGGGTTACAGCACAACCCTATGAATGATTAATCAAAAGTTCAGTGGGACTTCTTTTATTTATTTTTACATTTGTATCCCACCTTTCCTCCAAGGACCTCAAGCAGGCACTTCTCTCCATTTTATCTTCACAACAACCCTGTGAGGTAGGTTAGGCTGAGAGACCGTTCCTTCCAAGGCAGTGTGTATAAGATTGCAGCTGTAATTCCTTTTGTTTTGTTTTGAAATGCAAAACTCAACTTAATACATTTGAATGTGTATTTAATTAAATATGTAAACTCACAACCTTGGCCCACATCTAAATTTGACTTCCCTCAAATTTGCATGCAAATTAAACATGAATCTTCCACTCGCTGCATTTCCATTTGTTTCCGTTTGGAATTATGATTTAATATGAATGGGAATAATTCATATTAAATGAGTTTGGGTGCTCAATGTGATTGGATGTTCATTACATTTACGGCTGTTTTCCTTTTTTTGGCCAGGTATGGCATGTTGAAAATCCAAAACAACTGTTGGATTGCAGTCAAGATTTTGAACTCATACCTGATTTGGGCCTGTTCATTAAAACTTCTGAACAAACATGAGGGAAAACACATTTTTTATGTATGTTAGGTTGTGAACATTTCTAAAACAAGGTACTGTTCCTCTGATGTCTCAATCTAGAAATTACACCAGTGTTCTTTGAAACCCTTACTTGTGAAAGCAGGAAGTCTGTGTGGTCGGTGACGGCTAGTCAGACCCAGCACCGACACCCAGTACCTTTGGGCCGTTGCTGGTGTTTGCTGGTGTTGCACTCATGCCTCGTGTAGGGTGGCTGGGCCTTCAAGCTGTCATTAAAAATACAGTGGTACCTCGAGTTACATACGCTTCAGGTTACATACACTTCAGGTTACATACGCTTCAGGTTACAGACTCCGCTAACCCAGAAATAGTGCTTCAGGTTAAGAACTTTGCTTCAGGATGAGAACAGAAACTGTGCTCCGGTGGTGCAGCGGCAACAGGAGGCCCCATTAGCTAAAGTGGTGCTTCAGGTTAAGAACAGTTTCAGGTTAAGAACGGACCTCCAGAACAAATTAAGTACCGGTACTTAACCTGAGGTACCACTGTATCCCAAAATGCAAAGTATTTTGGGAGTTACTGTGGAAAATTCACACATGCTCAGAGCACCCTCTTTGTATTGTTTCACATATGGGCCCAAGAGCTAAAAACAAAACATAAAAGTTGTTGCCCCAGAATTTAGTTTATTGCTGGCAAAAGAAATATGTGAGGGGATTTGGAGGGGGCAGGTTGGAGGAGGAGGGGTCACTGCAGGGCGGTGGGAGTGGAAACTTTTGGGCTCCACAGACCTGATCCTTACCAGGATTGGCTTTGCAAGTAAAACCACCTAACTAGCAATCGTCTAGCATCACCATGAGGCAGCGGTCAGCAAGGCGCTGCTGCTAAAATGGAGAAAACAAACATCATTTTAGCAGGGGCTTCAGTAAAGGGGTTTGCATTGAATCTGTCAAGATGAGCAGGATTTAACGCCCCCTCTCAACAGCTGGTGAGCTGGAGTGTCAAATCCTGCCACAATGGCTGCACGCACAGCCAAAACAGAATTGAACCCTGCCCATCAGCTGGCATCACCCACCTATTGGAGTGGTGTTAGGTGGTTGATAGGGTATGTGTGGTTTTGGAAGGAGGGAATGGCTTGATGGGCCAAGGTTGGCTGATGGGTCGGAGATGCCCCATCCTTGCTTCAAGGAATGGAAAATTTAAATGGTAGCTCCCCAACTGACCCAAACTTCTCCAGGGCTGATCAAAACTTGGGAGATAATTAACATTGTGTCTAGGGCAGGTCAGTGGTAAGCTTTGTCAGGGCCCAAGATCTACAGCAGCTGCTCAAGGATAATAGAATCATATACAGTCATACCTTGGATCCCGAACGCCTTGGTACTCGGACATTTTGGCTCCTGAGCGCCACAAACCCGGAAGTGAGGGTTCCAGTTTGCGAACGTTCTTTGGAACCTGAACATCTGACGGGGCTTCCACGGCTTCCGATGGGCTGCAGGAGCTTCCTGCAGCCAATCAGAAGCCGTGCTTTGGTTTCCAAATGTTTTGGAAGTCAAACAGACTTCCGGAATGGATTCCATTTGACTTCCAAGGTACAACTGTAATTGTAGAGATGGAAGGCACCCTGAGGGTCATCTAATCCAATCCCCTGCAATGTTGGAATCTTTTGCCCACCATGGGGGCTGGAACCCACAATGCTGAGATTAAGAGTCTCGTGTTCTGACTGAGCTATCCCAGTTTTTGACACCAGGAGGCCTGCAGGCAGAAACACAGCCAGCAGCCTCCTTTGGAGCCTTTAATAAATTATTGCTTTTTCACGGCAAGATAGGGATCATCTCATGTTCTGTGTCTTGTCACAAATTTGGGAATCGTTGCTGTTACCGAAGGAAATCTGATCAAAACCTCTACGTACGTGTGTTAGAATTATTCCCTGCTCTTGTGCCCTCAACAGCCATCCCTGTATATCCAATCCAGGAACAGTAAGAAACATTCAGACTTTCAGTTCCCTGCTTCCAGCCCCAGCCCAACATTGCTGATCAGCGCAGTGAAGAACAGAGAAGCATTGCTACCGATATGAAAATAATTTAATGAAGGTTTTATGTTCCAAAATCCATCGTGCGGCTCTGGGACACAATAGGCAAGGGGGCTGGTTTTGATCTCCCCTCTTCTTTTTTGGTGTGTCTTTGCACCCCCGTGTAGCCAAGTGAAAAGTCTTTCAAGTGCCCCGTGGCCTCTGTTTGCACCCAAATGTCCCCAAAGTGACACCGGTAATGGGATCTGCACACGAATACCACCATTCCCTGCCCCCCCCGCCCCAATTCAGCATCCACGGATGAGCCTGTGGAACTGAAGGCTTTCCCCGCTCCAGCCTCTTGGAGGATGCAGCCAGGATCTCACCATTCCCAGGCCTTGGCGTCTCACAAAACGTGAACCTGCGAGATGCCTGAACTTCCATGTGTTATAGAGAACGCATCTCTCCTGTCACACAGTCCTAAATTCCATGCAGGTATGAATCCTGCCACGATGGGAGACTTCCACCAAAACTCTTTGTCCCACAGGCAAGGTTTACAAAACCCCAGGGAAAATCCCAGCTTCAAAGAAGGCACAGATGTCTCCCCCAAAGGGATGTGGCAATAGGATTCTCACCACCTCAGTACTCTCCTGGCCCAGAGAAGGTTGTTTAGGCAATGTTGCTACACAAGTTCCTGCTGTCAAAACAACTTTCAGTTTCTCCAGAACGTTCTTATCTGTGCCAAATGGTGCATTGGCTTCCATTAAATTCCGTCTCCCCTGCCTCCAACCCGCAGAGCATATGCTTATAAGGTTGGTTTCTTGGTTCCTAGCAAACTGGGGAAGTTCTGCTCCAGGGATCTGGCAGCAGAAAGGGAGCTGGTCATGACAGGGGTGAAGGTGGAAGTTATAAGGTTCGCATGGCCTCAGATGGTGGAGATGAGAGATTTGAGAGAGGACTGGTTGGTGGATGAAAGGTTCTCGTAACTGTGGCACAGGCATGAGCAGTCCGAGGAGGCCTCGTCGTCCCCAGCAACCCCGCCCCCGTTGCGCAAGGGGCGGTGGTGTGGGGCGCCGCGCGTGGTGCAGATCACGACCCGGGTGTGGCGGTAGGCCACGGCCCACGCCTCGCCCCCAAGGCACTGGCAGCGGCTTCGCGGGCCTTTGGAGGAGAAAGGGCCCAGAGAGCTGCCAGTCTTCTTCTGCACAAAGAGGCAGGTCCTGGAGATAAGAAAACAAACAAACAGTGCAATCAGGTGAGTCAAAGATTGACGCCACCACTAGCAACGGCCCAGCATCCTGAGCACGTATCTAATGTCCAACGTGTACAAGACTCTCTAGATTAAAGGTAGCCAGTGTGGGGATCTCTAGATGTTTTTGGACTACAGTTCCCAGCATCCTCTGCCAACATGACCAAAGTGACTCACTTCCTCTTAACTCCTTGTCATTCCACAAAAAGGGGGCAGAATCTAGGACTCTTTGCTCCCTACAATACCGCCCCCCCCCCAATATCGCCCAAAGATGGGAATGAAATGCAAAACCTCTGTCTGACTCCCATCATCCAGTTGAAACCCCAGCCTACCTCTTGCGTAGATGGAACGAGATGATGAGGATGGCTAGGATGAAGGTCCCTGTAGCTGTGTACATCACCCAAGCTGTGTTAACAAAAGAACAGAAGACACTAGTTATGTACAACCTTCCACCGAGATCTAGAAAGCTACAGGGCAGGGTTGATTAATCACCATGCTGAGTCCCCTACAGAATTAAGTCTCTTTCTAGCTCTCACAGTGAAAAGGAAATTACTTTCAGACATTGCAAATATGATAAGAGGATGCTATACTGGTCAGCTTACATTTCTGTGTAAAAAGCTGACCAATACCTGCTTGGTAGACATCCTGTGCATTTCATATAAATTTATAATGTCTGCTGCGTCACGCAGATCCAAAAAGCCAAAAGGTCAGCCATTTCCAATCTGTTTACTGAGCCAAGTAGGAAGCTGGTTGGGACCTGTGATCAGACCTACCATCTATTTTTTAAAAGCAGTTCTTTTTAAAGACAGCAGCTTTGATCACAGAGCTCCAACATCTTGTTTATGTTTGTCAAGAGTGGTGATTTAAAACAGGGACAGGGAATCGGCGGCCTTCCAAATGTCATTGGACAACAAGTCCTGTTATCCCTGACCACTGGGCATGCTGGCTGGGGCAGATGGGATCCAGCACCACTTGGAGGGCTTTGGGCTCCCCTTCCCCGGTTTAAAGCACCTTCTAGTCCCTCTGACATTGCACAGCCTCCTCACCACCAGGCCTTTGGCTGATTGACACCTGATGCCCTTTTAAAATGTGTTTTTGTAAGCAGGGATTATTACGTTGTATTTGTTTTTATGATGTATTTTGTGTGTTTTTTTATTGTGATTTTATGTTGTGAATCATCCTGAAATCTGCGGGTATAGGATGGTATACACATTTCATAAATAAATAAATAAATAAATACAAAATTGCCACCAGGTTGTGCCAAATGTTCTATATAACCATCAGCACAAAATAAAGATTGGGAGGTGGGAGTTGTACAGCAAAATACACCTAGACGACGGTCTCGTGAGCCGCTTTAGGGCACAAAAGGGGCACACAGATTAAAATAGTGATAGTAATAGTAACAATAACAAGACTACAGTATTTGGAGAAGAGAGAAGACCCATGAGAAAGCAGAAGTTGGCTCCAGATTTAAAAGGGCCCATCCACATTTTTGTTTGTCCCATGATTTCAAGTCATGGACCCAAGAGGAATTTTTTTTTGCGGGGGGGGGGGGATTAGTCCTGCTGCTTTCCCTGGGAAAACCAGCTGTTTACCGGAGAAATGGAACAAACTCAAAAAAATCCTCTTGGACAAGGAGCTGTTTATTTTCGGAGGGAAATTTAAAACATGGTGCAAATCCGTGTAAAGGTTTTCTCTGTATACATCTCTCTCTCTCTCTCTCTCTCTCTCTCTGTGTGTGTGTGTGTGTGTGTGTGTGTGTGTGTATACACACAGCGAGAGCTTTGCATGCATGTTGGCAGACAATAAATGTAGTAGTCATGTTAGCAATGTAAGGCCTCATCCCATGGGCTGTATGCATTCCACAGTTCCTCAATTGCACCATGCAAGCACTCAGCAATCTGAGAGACTTGGGGTTTTTTTGTTTCATGCTCCTAGTCCCTGTAGATATACAGATGTGAAAGCGCATGGGCAATGCTGCAGAAACCAGGTGGGGTGACAGCCAAGCAGGGTTTTTGGCAAAAGCAAAATAGGGATAAGGCTGCCCTGCCCAGCTCTCTTCCCTTCCCCATGGCTAGTAAGGGTTGTGCAAAATCAACAGATGTGAAATAATTGTGCTTAATAATACATAGGTCACAGAATCCAGTTTTTACTGCGTGCTGAGTTCTGATTTTTCTTTCATTCGTTCTATTTAAGTGCAAGGTGTGCAAAGCTTTGCCCAGAATAAGAGAGAGTTCAGGATCTCTAATGTCATTTAACTCACAGCTGACTACAAAGTGCATTATGTTACAACGGTACAGACTATGACCCCTGGTGGCTGGATTGCACCACAGCAAATTTTACACAGCGTGGGAACCGAAGGTCAACTAGCTGCACTTTGGAGATGGGCAAATCAGTTTACTTCAAATCTGTGCCCTTTTTGCTCGTGGTCACCCATAAGTTCATTCTGTGCCATTTCCACATCAATTCTACTTTTTAAAAAAATTGCAGATTAATTTCTATCAAAACATGCATTTCCAAACCTATTTTTCTATCAAAACATGCATTTCAAAGTATTTTGATACGTTTTTTGAGCCAAGAATAGCATTGGAACATTCAGAGAGCCTGGACATTTGTGGGTGACAAAATTCCAATTCACACATTAGTACAGGAAGAGCAGATCAGTTCATATTGGAATTTGCAAAGATCCAATTCTTCACGCATCCCTATTAAATTATGTGTGAATGTGTATTATTAGAGAATCTTAATATTTTAGGGTTTGGCGGTTGTTTTTGTAGAAGCTGCTTTAAGAGAAGGAAATGTAGACAGTGGAATAGAGAGAGGACTTTACCCTTTTCCTCCCTGTTTCTTAGTTCCAAATGGCACCCACAGTGAGATTTCCCCACCCCGCCCCACGCTCTGGTACCACTTACATGCTATCCTTGAAAAAGTGCGGCTGTAATCCTGTGTGTGGAATTGGGAAGATGTTATGGGAATGGGTTTAGAATGGTGAAATGGTAGGTAGAGAAAGGATTGAGCACACATAGGTTGCCTTTCTCTGATCTGTACTCTCCTTTGCAAAAGTTAACTTCTCGCTTTCTTTAAAAAAAGGGGTCGTCTGGCAGGCACATGTGTGCAATCAGTAGTTCCTGCAGGGAATGTCCTCATCAGAGACTGTTTTGACTTGAGCCAGCCAATCGGGTTATAGCACAAGCTGCAGCATCGAGGGCCAAGCCCTGCCTCAAGTCTAGTTCTTTACCTCCTACCCCAATGGCAGAGTCATTGGCGCTGTAGGTCCAGGTGGAGTTCAACCAATCGGAGGAGGTTGGGATGAGACGGGATCCATCACCAGGTAGAGTTCGTAAATCAGACCGGGCTCCGTTGATAAGGGGACCTTTCACTCCTGCAGGGAAATCAAAACAGTTTATTGTCTTCACAGTGGATTTTTAGCCAACCCTGTTCCCAAAGTCTGGAATCCAAGCCTTATGAGGAATGGTTGAGGGAGCTGGGTATGTTTAGCCTGCGAAAGAAGAGACTGAGAAAAGATATGATAGCCATCTTCAAATATCTTAAGAGCTGTCACATGGAAGATCTCAAACCAATGGCTTCAAATTGCAAGAAAGGAGATTCCGACTAAACCTTTCTGACAGTAAGAGCTGTTCCACAGTGGAGCGGTCTCCCCTCGGGAGATAATGAACTCTCCTTCGTTGGAGGTTTTTTAGCAGAGGTTGGATGGTCATCTGTCATGGATGCCTTAGATGAGTTTCCTGCATTGCAGGGAGTTGGACTAGATGACCCCAACTGTGTCACAATTGTGAAGCAAGAGCCCCAGGGCACTTCAAGACTGTCACAAGTGATGTCGATTTGGAGCTCTTGCAAAACAAATCTGCTTCCCAGAAAGACAGGTGACCCAGAAATGAACTGCAAAGTGTGGGGTGGTGATGTAAATTATGAAATTTATAGCTGTGAGGGTGTGCAATTGCTCTTAAATGGTTTTTAAAATTCTAAGTGTTTTAAAGTTCTCAGCTTTTGACGTTCTCGGCTTTTAAAAAGCTTTCTTAGGTGGTTTTTAATTGTGTTTAAATAGGTTTTCGTTTGCATTTTAAATCCTGCTGTTCTAACACGTTGACCTTTTCTGCCCTGAGCAACTCTGGCAGGATCGGGCAGCATCCAAATTTAACAAACAAAGGCCACCAGCAGGTATTTTGCCTGACGATCGATAAGACGGTACCTTTCCTGTTTCCTGGCTAACGGACACAGAGGCCCAGGGACGACCAAGAAAGCCATTGTATTAATAGTTTATACAATTAAACAGCAATGCATCAGGCCACTTGTATTTAGGCTCTTTCTATTCTGTATTCATTCTGCCACCCCCCGCCCCATTCCCCCAACCAGGTGCCCTACCCACTTTTAGTTCACAATCATTTTTGGCTACAGGCCTGCGGCTGCACAGAAAGTTCAAAGGGACACACCAGGAGAAACTTGCCTGTAGTTAACCCATTGGGTGACTATTTCAAAGGTGCTGTCACCAGCGGGAGGGTGAGCGAGTGCGAGGAACCCACACGCAGGGCTTCCCAAGCGCTGTCAAAAGAAATCCTCCCCATTCCCAGGGCCCCAGTTCAAAGGGCCGGTCACCCTCCTCCCTTTGCAGGTGTGGAAGCAAGAGCTTCTAATTAGAGACTCTGACACACTGAGCCCCAGGGAAGAGTTGGCAGACGCTGGAGTGAGTCCTGGAGTTCAAAGACAGCCTCTCTCTGCCTCAGCCGCACACCACACCACCTTGAAGTCTTCTGCTGTGGGAGCAGGGTTCTTACTTTCGGTCCTTGCTGCGGCCCTCCAGACCCACTCGGGAAGAGGCTTCTTTCCCCTGATCTACCTCCTTTGCAGGTGATCGCTGCAGCGTTACTCAACCCAGGTGGAACAGGTTTATCCCGCCCATTCTACCCCTGGGGCAGATGCATCGCAGAGTCAGGCCTTGGCGCATACCTCTGTACAAGATGGCAAAGCCCTGGGCTTGCAGGAGCTGATCCGAATGGAAGGAGAGGAGCAGGTGGTCGGTGGGGAACAGCAGGGGAGCCCCCGGCCTCCGGCGCCCGTCAAACTGAGCCAGCAAGAGGTTGCTGTGTCCATCCCACAGCTCCAGGCGGTCGTTGGGGTCATGCACGTCAAAGATCCGGAAGGTGACCTCCACGGACTCGCAGCCCAGGGGGTGCAGGGACCAGCTGCAGTTGCTGTCGGCTTCGTAGTCATCCGGGAACTGCGGAGAGTAAATCACTCCAGAGAGATCGCTGAAGTTTCCCTGGCAGGCACCCATGGATACTGTGGGGTGGAGAGACAAGCAGGGTGGGGGGTAGGGAGGGAAGGATCAGAATAAAAATGTAATCAATAGAGGGATGCAACTTTTAGGATCCCCAGTTTTTTGTTTTAATTTTCAATGACAAAAAAACCCTGCCCCTTTGCACAAAATGGCTTTCCACATTGTGAGCGTTTGTGCGAAACACCTTTCCATGCGGTTACACTAACAGAGCCCAGCTTCTGGTAATAAATTTCCCATCCAGACAAGGAGCCAATCATCTTCTGCATGAGTAAGACTGCTTACAGAATTGGAACCGGGTTTTACAGAGGTGTGTAAGATTATGCATGGGGTGGAGAAAGTGAACAGAGTGAAGCTTCTCACCGCATCTCGTAATACTAGAGCCTGGGGCCATCTGAGGAAGCTGAATGGCAGAAGATTCAAGGCAGACAAAAGGAAGTAGTTCACGCGCAGCATTTGGTTAAGCTGCAGAACTCGCTACTGCCAAAAGTAGCAATGACCGCCATATTGGACAACTTAAAAGGGAGATTAGAAAATTGATGGCAGATAAGACTATCAGTGGCTGCTACCTATCATAGCTGTGTATTACATTCAATTTCGGAGCAGTATGCCTCTGAATTCCAGTTGTTCATGAGTGGAGAGAGTGCTGTTGTGCTCACTGGCCTCTGGTGCATCACTCTGGGAAACAGGAAGTTGGGCTAGGCAGACCTTTGGTCTGATCCAGACGAGCTCTTCTTACTTTTTTTAGCAGGATCAAGCTTCAGACATGCTGGACTTTGCCAGGGGGCTGCCTGTCTGCCCACACAGCCCAGAAGCAAGTACACAGTCCCAAGCCAAGTGGACGTCAAGACTCAGAACTAGAATCAGAAAGACTGGAGGAAGGTGCACATGGCCACAGACAGGCAGGGGTCAAGAAGACCCGTCAGCCTCAGAGGATCTGACTGAAGCAAGGGCTCAGTCGGAACCAGGCGGGTCAAGATCCAAGGCAGCCATAAGAGACTGGTGGGCAGCGCTTTGGCAACCTCCTCACGCTGGAGGTGAGTTGCTCAGACTGAGCAGCAAGCTCTGAAGTAAGGCTTTACACGGCCTGGTTGGTTGTGATTGGCCCTAGACAGTCATGTGAATAGGGCAAGATTGCATGCTGGTACCTCAGCCTGGATGGCGCCCTTGATGCCCAGAATTCACCTGCACTTCATCAGACCAGTGGTCCATCTAACTAAGAATTGTCTTCCCTGCCTGGGGAAGCTCTCCAGTGTTTCTGACACAGGACATTCCCAGCACTATGTGGCGTTGCCAGGCAAGGATTTAATCAAGAATCGTTTGTGTTCAAAGCAGATGCTCTTCCACTGAGTTTTGCCCCTTCCCTGGCATACCAGGTTCGTAGTAGGAACAGAGGGCTGGTGGTACACGCTCTCTGGATCCTGACCTCTGGAAGCCACAGTCGGAGACACTCGATGCAAACCTTATAACTGGGGTGATAATACATCATATAGTAATTAATGAACTGCGTGCCAGAGCACACTGGGTTGTGCAAGGCAGCTCACTGTGAGAAAGCAGTTAGGTTAATTTGTGGGCCCAAAACACCCACTTCCATATCCAGGGGATTTTGCCTGCCGCATCTCTGTAATTTACTGATCTGGCCTTGCCTCCTTCCAAACAGCCACCACTAGGGGGTGCTAATGTTGCTGCACATTGATGCTGGGTGAGATTGGATGGTTCAGCCACTCCCAATGCAGCAGACTGACCCACCTGCAGAGGAGGCTGTCTGTTGCTGCTCTATGTAATTTGCTGCTCTGATCTTACCTCCTTCCAACCAGCTTTGGCTCTGGCCTGGCAATCATTTGCCTCTAATGTAGAGACACTGTGCAATGACCTGCCACTGAAGAAAATGGCCATGCTCAGAACAGTGAATCGCTCAGAGACACAGCAGGTAAGACTCCTTAATTGTTAAGTTTTAATTGGAGGTACAGTGGTACCTCGGATTAAGTACTTAATTCGTTCCAGAGGTCTGTACTTAACCTGAAACTGTTCTTAACCTGAAGCACCACTTTAGCTAATGGGGCCTCCTACTGCCGCCGCGCCGTGCTTCTCATCCTGAAGCAAAGTTCTTAACCTGAAGCACTATTTCTGGGTTAGCGGAGTCTGTAACCTGAAGCGTATGCAACCTGAAGCGTATGTAACCCGAGGTACCACTGTACTCTGAAAGGGGGGGAGGACCTTTCCGGGTATAATAATGAAGTATACTTTTTAATTAAAAAAAAAGAAGTGTACCTCCATTGTTTTCAATCATGGCAAGAGACACAAACTCACCCTTTAAAAAAAACACACCAAAAAGAGAGATAAACAGTGTAGTGGCAAGACTATAATCCTCACTCATTCACAAAACGTATTGAGTGACCTGGGTCACCTTAGACCTTTACTGATCTCTCAGTTCAGCTTCATGAGGTTGTTGTGAATATAAAGGAAGAGATTTTTAAAACGTAATAAATAAACACAAAAACAAACTATTATCATTTTTTTGAGATGGCAAATGGGATGACCCAAGTGTACCAAACAATTACAGTATACTATAACATTCTACAATAACAGCCCAGGCGTCTCCCCACGTATACATGATCAGCACACCCGCTCCGGCTAACTTGTGTGCCATTTCCGGCACTGAAAAGAGGCAGAATGGGGGTAGGGGCAGAGAGGGGCAGGATAATCCCCACTCGCATGCATCCCAGTGACATGTACAGCAGCCAGGAATGGAACCCCATGCGTAAGTGAGAATTCCCCTGTATTTGATATACCTTAAGGACCGCTTGATCCTTTATACCTGTGCCTGATCCCTGAGGTCTACAGGGGAATCACCACGGTTCCCCACAGCTCAGATGCATGACTTGTGTCCACAAGGAGCCATGCATTCAGGGTTGTGGGCATCATTTTGTGGAACTCACTTACAAATGAGATCAGACATGCCCCCTCCCTGTTGAACTTCTGGCGCCTACTAAAGATTTCTATTTCAGCAGTAATTAAAAGTCATTTTTGATCTTAGAGTTAGCTTTTTATCTCTGTTGTATTTGCTCAGCTTGCTGTACACCACTTAGAGATAATTGTAATTAAGTGGTAGATAAACTGTAATAATAATAATAATAATAATAATAAATTATTTACATGCTGTAATAATATCATTCAGGCATCGTACAGTAGAGGGCTATTGTAAAAAATACTGAGACAATGTGGGTGGCACCCAAAAAGCATTATATTTGTTGTCAAAAAACATTTAAAAACAAAACAAAAAACAAAACTCAACAGTTAAGTGTATACACTGCACTTTGACATCCCTGAGAGTCAAAACTGGGGAAAGAAAACAAATCAACCGTGTCTGGAAAACAGGAAAATGAAAAATTTCTCAAAAACCAACATTGGTTAGAAATAAATAAATAAATGCAATCCAGATGTCGAGAGAACGTGAGACTGGAAAGATGGGAGATCCGCTTTGGAGAAGGCCCGGGAAAGAGTCCCTTTTCTAAACCAAAATACTCAAAAAGTCCTTCCATGAAGTGTCCTGTCTATTTCCAATCAGGATCCTCTCTTTCACAGTTGTGAAATTTTAGCACCCTCTGTTGGGGCAAGGTGCATGGGAGCAAGCACATGCGAGCACAGAGCACTATGGAAACTCCAGGTTCCCATAAACTGTATACCATTGTGGGTCACGGCCGTTGGCAGACTTCTGAGGCTCCATGAACATATCTAATCACTTTTTTTTTTAAGGCATAGGATATGGAACACAGAAAGTTGTCCTATACAAAGTCAGACATTTATTTTTATTTTTTTGTCATGTTCCTGAGTCGCTCAGGGTAGTGTACATGGTTCTCCCACTCCTCATTTAATCCTCACAACAACCCTGTGAGGTAGGTTAAGCTGAGAGAGACAGTGACCTGCCCAAGGTCACCCGGTGAGTTTCTTGGCCGACTGGGGATTTGAACCCTGGTCTCCCGGATCCTAGGTCCAACACTCTCACTGTGACACCACACTGGCTCTATATGATCCATCTAGGCCAACTCTGCAGGGTGTCAGCCAAGAAGCAATTCCAGCCCTACCTGGAGATGCTGGAGAATGGACCTGCGACCTTCTGCATACAAACCATGTGCTCTGCCCACGTAGCTAGGGGCCATCAATCACCACTCTTTGTGGCAACAAATTCCTTAAGATGCGTTGCAATCCAACATGTGTCCACATGGAAGTATGAGTTCAGCAAGACTCGCTCCCAAGGGCAGGCAACACCCAATTTACGCAGGGCTTAAGTTCCGAGGTGAAATTACGTATATTTTGAAACACAATTTGAAAAAGCCTGCAAACGTCCTCTAAACCTCTGGAAACCCTTGAAAAACCCTTTAAAAAACCAGCGGCAACTTACCAGACGCCAAACTCCAGCACAATCGCTCCCTCCAAACCCCCTTGTTCAGACTCCACCTCCACACAGGTCTCAACGGCCGGTGCAAGGGCTCCTGGGATTGCACTTGCAAAGGCTTGTGGGATGGCTAGGCACTGCTTTTTCGCCCTTTCTGGGCTCTCTTAGGGCCATTTTAAAAGTCACTTCTGGGTTTGGCACACTGCATGTATGCGCGGTCATGCATCAATTGGGCGCGCATCGATTGGTCATTGCCTGTAAGTGTATGGAGGACTGCAGCCTTAATTTTGTGCTGCCCTGCTTCCCATGGATTTCCCTGGGTGTCCTCTGAATTCTCCCTCAATGGGAGACAGAGAAAAACACTTCTCTCTACCTCTGTGCATAAAAATCTATGTCATCAGGCATGCAGAGCAGATGCGCGTACATCTTTTGGATTAAAAAACCTTTGATCTGTGATAAGCCTCCTGCGTCCTCACACTTACCATTGTATATGCCAATCCGGCCATCTCCTCCGCACAACTCGCTGGACTTGCCAAAGCAGACTTGGTCGCATTCCACGGCACTCACTGGCTGGCTACGTCGGACATCCCCTTCGTGGCCACAGAAACAGGCATAACCAGCCTCTACGCCAGCAAACTGCAGAGGAGAAAGAGAAAGGTGATTAAGAAAGCATGTACATGGGAGGGGAAGCAGGGTGTAGATCTGATCCCATAACCTGCCAATGGTGTTTGTTCGTTGCATGGCTAACAGCACAATCCCATACATGTGCACTCAAAAGCAATTCCTACTGGGTTCAGTGGGACGTACAACCAGAAAAATGCAATCAGAGTTGCAACCTCAATGACACCAATAAACGGCCCCAGTACAGAGAAAGTGAAGCTGAGGTGAGCTTTGTTTTTCTTTTTTATATAATTTTTCTGTTTTACAATTTAGAATACTCATTTAAACATCCTTAAAATATCAGTGACTTCCCTTATTCTCTTTCCATGGTTCATTTTGTATATCATAAATCCCTGCATATTTTACATAAACAAAACCATCTGTATTCCATTATTACATCCAACAAAACTTATTTACACTGTTGAATTTATCTTAATGCTACCAACGTTTTCAGGTGTACACAATTGCCCCCATATATTCAATAAACATTTTCCAATCTTCTCTAAACTTATGTTCTTCTTGTTCTCTTATTCTATATGTTAAGGCCGCAAGCTGCACATATTCCATCAGCTTAAGGTGGCCTTTCTTTCCTAGCTGAAGTGGCTTTAAGGAAGGTAAAAGTGGTTTCAGAGAAGCTTCGTATCTTCTGGCACACGTAGATTTATTTTGTCCCAAATAGGTGATGCAGGTTTGTGGAATAACACAAAGACTACCAAACCTGCTTAAAGGTAAAGGTAAAGGACCCCTGACAGTTAAGTCCAGTTGCAGACAACTCTGGGGTTGCGGCACTCATCTCGCTTTACAGGCCGAGGGAGCTGGCGTTTGTCCGCAGACTGTTTTTCTGGTTCATGTGGCCAGCATGACTAAGCCACTTCTGGCACAATGGAAACTGAAACCAGAGCAGCGCACGAAAATGCCATTTACCTTTCCGCTGAAGTGGTGCCTATTTGTCTACTTGCACTTTCTTTGGGGTGCTTTAGAACTGTTGGTTGGCAGGAACTGGGACCGAGCAACAGGAGCTCACCCTGTTGTGGGGATTCGAACCACCGACCTTCTGATCAGCAAGCCCAAGAGGCTCAGTTTAGACCACAGCGCCACCCACATCCCTCCTGCTTGCCACGTCCAAACCTGCTTGCCAGAGGCCAAATGTACACACCACGCAATGGGTGGCTTTGAAAAAGGATTGGACAAATCCATGGAGGGTAACACTATCAATGGCTACTTGCCATGATGCTCTGCCTCCACAGCCAGAGGCAGTAATTCTTCTGAATACCAGTTGCTAGAAATCACAAGAGTAATATTGTGCTTGGGTCCTGCTTGAAGGTTTCCCAGAGGGATCTGGGTGGCCACTATGAGAACTGGATGCTGGACTAAACGGCTGATTGGCCTGATCCAGCGGGCTCTTCTTATGTTCTTATAAGCGGCAGGGGTGTCTCTGTAAATCTCCCTTCTAGAAAAACACAGAGTCATCTGATAACCAAAGGGAATGAAGCAATAGATTGGGGCTGATATTTCTTTTAAGCTTTGGGGCGAATTTTAAAGCAGCAACTTCATCAACGTTTTGTTAAAAAGACCGGCTAATGCTCTAGGGCTGGAGTAGCAGAGCAGGAAAGTACGCTCAGCCTTGTGCAGTGCTTAAAAATGCATCACAGCTGAAATTAAATTTTATAAAGAAAAGTCACACAATGGCTTGAACATGTGGCAGCTTCACCACCATCTACACACAGGCAATGGCCAATAGATGCTTGCAGGCCTATATCTGAATTTTTGAGACTGGGTAACTAAAAGAACAAATGCAACAACACCTCTAAATATACCATGGGAGGGGGTGATGTGTTCACATACTGACCCGTCATCCCAAGTGCCTTTGCACTCATTTTTTGTTTCTATTGGTCTGTTATGAATAAGACTTAGCTGAACACAACCCTAAGCCTTTTTCTGTAGGGTTGATGCTTATTTGGGGTTGTACCTAGTATTTGCCCTACTCAGTGCTTTTTTTTCTAAAATACTGTTTAGGGGTACTCTTAATTTGACTCAAGAAAATCACCATTTTATAGTTAAAATTGAGGAAAATAAATACAGCAAATGGACAAAAATAAAAAGATTCACAAAATGTTTAGGGGTATGCGTACCCCTGCGTACCCCCCAGAAAAAAAGCACTGGTCCTACTCAGAATATACCCACTGAAATGAATAGGCTTGATTAATTTAGGTTTGTTAGTTTTAAAGGGTCTACTGTGAATACAACTTACTTCAGTACACCCCATAATTTATACCCCAGGCTTTCTACCATAGAACTCCAAGTTGGTGTACACCGGATTCACTCCTGGTCTCCAAGACACACACTGACTAGGCCGAGATCCGCTTAACTCCAGCAGAGTTGCGACATCAGACCAGGCCATAAGCCTGAAGATGCTATTAGGCAGGCCAGGTGAGGTGAGATGCCCATGGTTGACAAAGAGCTTTACCTTATAGCCCCGCTTGCGGCAGAAGCTGAGGCAAACTTGCACTGTAAGCTTGGTGGAGGTGCCGCTGCTCCCACTCAGGGCCGGTGGGGTCCCAGAATCTAAGAAGCAGCCGACGTAACCTGGCACTGGAGAGGAGGACAAAGTGATTGTGTTTTTGTTGTCTGGAAGGGCAAGAGAGCAAAAACCCCAACACCACCCCCCTGGAACACTTGTATAAAAAGTTACAGAATTTCACCATGAAGTTACGGGGCATGCACTGATTAGAAACAAAGCTGTCTGTCTGCCTTAAGGCTTTTGCAACTGCTGCGACAGACCAGTTCCCTCAGGCCTCCGGCCCCTCAGCTGTCATCTGGAGAGTCAGCCCAGGCTCGTGTAAGGTGGGGGGCAGCAGGATACACTTGCCCCAAGCCTCAGAGGGCTATGCTAACTGGGGTTTATAACTATATTCTAACGAGACAAGCTCTGTACAGGCCTGGGTCAGCCATTCCATTAGACTCCTTTGTCTTGTCTCTCCACTCTCTTCATTTATCTGTGTGTTTTGGGAGACTCAGATAGGGTCTGGGGAGCTGGTTTCAGCAGGAGGGGAAGATCCCCTGGCTTCTTCACCAGCCTGACTCATCTCTGCAATCTGAGACTCAGTCGTGTGCCTGCCGTTGCTCCGCTCTATTCATACCTCTTCTGGTTCTGGGAGACCAGGGGGAGCGGCGCTTGCCACAGCAGGAGAGGGAGACCCCCGGCTTCTTCACCAGCCTGACTCATCTCTGCCTCTTGGCCCCTTAGTCTCCAGCCTCTACTTCCGCCTCTGATTCTGGACTGCCCTCTTCCAGAGTCTCTTCCTGCTCACTGAATCCTGTTGCCTCTTCAGCTTCCAACACCACCACCTCCCAGCCTGCTCCCTCTTCTCCCTCATCACCATCCCACCACCAATCCCTTGGCTCTGAGCCTTCTTTTCCTAGGGGTTCCTTTGGGGGTTCCCCAACTGGTGCCTCCCACCATTCTTCTGCACTCAGCCAGTCCATCTCTCTCTCTCTCTCTCTCTCTCTCTCACACACACACACACACACACACACACACACACACAGTCTACCCAGGCCTCCTGTACTCACTGTGGCAGGTTGGGATGTCACAATACTTCCAGTAGATGCCTTCCTCGTTCTCCGAGATGTAGCACCAGGGCTGTACGTCCCCGTCCGGGTTGCGACAATAGTTGTGGCTGCCCAGGCCCCATTCGCCGTTGGGGTACTTGGCGGTGTTGTAGGCATGCTCTCGCGTCTGGTTCCAGTAGAGGCAGGGCCGCCCCGTGCTCCCGGGAGAGGTCCTGTTCTGCGTCCCCCGGTAATCGGCCCCATTCACCATAAAACATTCAGACAGCTCTGCAGGCAAGGAGAGAAGAAGGGAGGGCTGGTCAGCGAGACAAATCTTCTCGTTGCACACTCTCGCTTTCCCTCTGGCATCCCAAAGAGGTGACAGTATCAATATATATATCTACATATTGCATTTCTTAAAATCCCACTCTTCTCCCGAGTCACTCAGTTGCAAATGCATACACTTTATCCTTCCAACAACCCTGTGAAGTAGGGAATGCTGAGAATGGTGGCTGGATCCAGATCATCTACTAGGATTTAGGGCTAAGAGGGGATGTAAACCTGGGTCTCCATCCACCCTATACCAGCTTAACCACAATAGTTCAGGCCCTGGAAATTTCAGAACTGGATTACTGCAATGCACTCTGTGTGGGGCTTCCCCTTGCACTTGGTGCAGATACTGCAGTTAGTGCAGAATGCTGCAACACGGTTACTGACAGGGGTGAGACCTTCTCAGCAGACAACACCTCTGTTCAGAGATGGGCACTGGTGGCTGGTTGGTTACTGTGCCAAATTCAAGGTGTTACTATTAGTACATAAAGACCTTCATGGCTTGGGACTAGTTTACTTGCAGGATCTCCTTGTCCCAGATGGGCCCATTCAATTGCTTCAGTCTGCAGAACTGGCATGGTAACCAGTGCGACATAATTCAGCAGTTGTAAAAACGCACTCTGCTTGACAGGTTTGAATCATGGCATGCCTTGATGAAAACTCACACTCGCACAATCCATGCATATTGAAGCAGAAGAAAGGCTCGTTGAAATCAGCGGGGATAATTTCCTAGGAATTCTGATGTTAGCCATTGCCTTGCCCCAGATCCTTTAGACCTCACAGGTCCTGACTTTTAGCGCTTCATTTCTAACAGCAAAAGAGAGAGGGAGAGGGGGAGATTCCTGGATCTCAGAGGATCCAAGTCCATGCTCTAAAGTTGGAAGGCGTGACTCGTAATTGGCAAAGGCCAGATTTGACAGATGAATTGTGAGGAAAAAGTGCTCTGTGTCCACTCAGAGATGTTTGTTTGTTTGTTACCTGCCCTTCACCCTAAGGTCCCAAGGCAGGTTCAATAATAAAAAAACACTAACTGCATACACCCCATGCATTTAAAGCTTCCTGTGAAATCCTGTAATTCGTTATACCACAAATGTTCCAATTTTTTATTTTTATTTTTTGGGTCCTTCAAGGCGCTAAATTAAATTTGCTTCTTTAATCACCATTCCTGTGGAGGTGGTTTTTTTTTTTTTTGTATTTTTTAATGGAAACGAGCTAATGGTTAGCGTAGCAATCACAGCCTGAAGATAAAAACTTAAAAACAAAGTATGGCAGCAAGGAGGGGTCAGAGCCACAGGAGCTTGTACTTCCATGTACTTCCTGTTGATGCCACATACAGTGGCACTTCTGCAGTTTCCTCCCCCTGCAAACTAACACGGTTTTGCACAGGAATTCACAGCTGAAACATGCAATCTTTAAAAGTGGATGAAAGGAAGTATGGTGGCACAGCACAACTTACTTGCGCTGTCCGGGCAGAAGGGGGAGTGGAGACTGGCGATGGGCAAAATGCTGAGCATGCAATGGGTAGAGTTAAAATCTGGATGCACTAATGCGAGCGCATTGGGGAAGCATCACAGGACAGCTGAGAAAGAGAGATGATGTGTGGACGGTCCAGTATAAATCCACTTCCAACACATTACTAATACATCAACAGAATGTTGCTTTATACGCCCACAATAAAAAGAGCCTTAATATTGCAGCCTTTAAAGCCCTTTCGAGCCTCTTTTGCATACTATTTGTAAGTGAATGTTGACATTCTATTTTAAATACACCTGTATCAGATTTTGGGATTGCTGGCATATTTCCACACCCGTTTCAACCTCCTTGTTGGTTTCATGACACCTCTCAAAGGATGCAGTTGATCAGAAGTGTATTTCAGTCTCCCGCCCACCACTTCCTCCCTGCCCTCCACACATTTGGGGAATGGCTTTTCTTGTCTTTTAACCTGTCCTCCCTCATTGGGAAGTGTCTCTTGGTTGAGTGATATAAAGAATCTGGCTTCTTCAGGCAATCTATCCTCCCTTTCCGCTGCTCCCATGCCCCTGCAGAACTGATAAGGCTGGGAAGGAAACCTTGCCAGTTTCATCAGCTTTGAAAAAAGTTGAGCATTCTGGTGCTATTCCTGCCCCCTCTGAAGGAAAAGACCTGACCCACATTTAGAACACATTCAGTGAACATTTAAAACATATTACTTCCCCCCCCAATCCTGAGAATTGTAGTTTCCTTCCTCACAGAGCTAAAATTTCCAGCACCCTTAATAAGCTACAGTTCTCAGAATTCATTTTTTTTTGGGGGGGGGGACAGCTGTGTGCTTCAAATGTGCATTAGATGTGCTCTAAATATACACTGTCAATCTTGTCTGGCGATTCAAGATTAATGGGGAGCAGCAGCTTCCTGAAAAAACCTACTGAGTCACCAGATGATAGTTTTCATACTATCAGAGACCAACAAATCTCAGTTGGTGGAGTGTAAGACTCTTAATCTCAGGATTGTGAGTTTGAGCCCCACCTTGGGCAAAAGATTCCTGCATTGCAGGGGTTGGACTATATGACCCTCATGGTCCCTTCCAACTCTACGATTCTGATATCTGGTGGCTGTGAATTCCACTGGGAAACACGGTTGTTAGCAGGGTTGAAAAACACAGTTTCTTGCGCCTAATGTTTAGAGATGTTCTAATAACCTGAGCAACCCAGTGGTCAAATTACTGGCGGGAGGGAGAGAAGGGCGGGCTTCCAGCCCCCTTACCTTTTATGACACATACCATTTAGGTACTTTTTTTAGAAATGTACAGGGCGACACAATACAAATAAAATTCAGGCAAGTCAGAGACTGAAGCTTGTGGATTTCATACACCCTCACCCGTACCCAGAGTTGCAGTTAGGTAATTTTAGACTCTGGACGTGAGGTGGAGGGGGAACTAAGTGAGATGGCAATGAATATTCCGTATTCCTTCGCTTGTTTCAGAATATGGCAGGTGAGCCTTACTGCGTTTGGAGACCCCCCTTCGTCATTCTCCTGGTGGTGCCCTTGGGCCACCCTACCTCTCCTCCTACAATTCGAGGGCTGCTTGGGCCTAAGAGTGCAGGGCGACCAAGGGCCCAAGACGAGGGGCTCTCTTCTTCCCTGGCAGTTCACCAGAGACCTCCAGTTGCCCCTCCTTTCCACCCCCACCCCACCCCCAAATCTCTGAAATGTGGAGCTGGAGGAACATCAGAGCAAGCGTGACAAGACAAGCTTGAAAGAAGAGGGACATGTCCCAAGGCTGCCTCCCGGGTGGGGGCCAAGAGGAGATTAGAGATGCTAAATGTGTAATCAGTTAAAGCATGCAGAGGCTTTGAAGATTCAAAGGGAATCGGTGTGGAGGGTGTCGTGTGAGCCTTGGCTGCAGGCAAAAGAAACACAGGAGACCCTTTTAGATCTTATATTGGGGGGGGGGGAATGGAGGAAGATCAAAGAGTTCAAAGGCGCATTTAATCTGCCATGCCAAGACAGTCAAGTGCAGGCAAAGCACCAGGGGGGTGGACAGGACTCCCCCCTCCAATCCAGCTCTTTGACCTCTAGCAAGGTCAGCAGTGGGTCCCTCTGGACTTTTAGTCTGGGGGGGGGGGGAATGGGTTCCAGCCTTGCTCTCAAATCACCAGCAACTGCCTCAGGGAACGTGTTTCCATAGCCAGGCCAGCTCCAGAGCATGCAATGCATAGTAACAATGAGGGCCAGGGTGCTTCTGAGCATGGGCAAAGTTCTTCCCCTGCACTGGCATGACTAACTGCAACCTATCATCAGGGATAAACGTCTTGGTCTGTCCTGTGTCAATAAATGTTCCTGCAAAAAACAAACAGACCATGTAACACCTTGCAAGGAAAATCTAGCACCTCAAGGAGAAAAATTCTGGCACAGTCCAATATCTGCTCTGCTGTCGGGTTTTTTTCGCTGTGTGCAGGAAAATTCCAAAGTTTGATTTTTCACCTGCAGCCTGATGGGGTACAGCCCCTTATTTGACCACCTCAGGTTTCTGCCACCTCCTTCCACTGCAGACAAAGACCAGTCTGAAGAAGGCACAGATACTGGATCAGGAAGCAGAAAGGTGGGGCCGTGTGAAAATTCAGGAGTGCCTTTCTTGCTGTGGGAATTGGGGTCTGTTGTTTGCATGTGTTGGGAATGAAGAGAATCCAGAGAAGTTTAATCTGGAGGATAAGAGCATGACATGTCCAGGAATCAACAGGGGAGACTTGCCTACCTGCTTGCTCCTTCCCGTGAAGAGCAGAAGCAAATCCAGGTTGCAGAATGCATATTTTCTTGACGCAGAATCCTGATTACACTACACACACATGTACCATTTCAAAAAGGACAATAGGCACAGATGCGGCCAGCCTTCTTCCCAACAAAATAACGCCGAGTGCCAGGCTGCGTTCTTCAGGTGCCCCACGCAAGGAAGCCCGTAATCCGAACTGGCGAAGAGAACCGGCCGCTCTGGGCCCTGTCCCTCCCTGGGAACCCAGGAGTCCTGGCTCCTAGCCGGCCTTGTTCTATCCCAGACATATTAATGTCCTTCCACAGCTGGGAATAGGCCCAGGAGCCTCGCTTCGCCTTCCCTGCCACTGCCCCCCCCCGCCTCCGAGCCTGAAGCCTCTCGGTGGTGTAACCAGACGCCTTTCCAGCCCAGCAGACAGAAGCCCCGGGGGACAGGCCCCACCTGTTGCCGGGGATGGAAATAGCTGAGAACATAATAAACAGGTGGTTGATATAAAGCAAAAAAGGGTGGGCAGGGAGGGGGGCGTAGGGATTGCGGGGTGGGGGGAGATCTCTTGGTGGGGACGGACGGACGTTGAAGCCTACAGAGGCCTGGAGCCTGGATGTCTAACAGGTGGTGAGTGTTGGCAGCTGGGCCCTTCCACGCTACAGGCTGCTTGGGCCTAGCGGCGGGGGTGGGGTGGGGGGAGTGTGGAATTGGGGACCGGGGCGCGTTGAGGGGGCATGAATGTGAGGTGGCCTTGGAGATTGGGGGGGTGGGGACATCAGAGGGACAAATGGCTCAGGGCTCTCTGTTCTCTTGAGCCCTGGGATTGTGGAAGAAACGCAATGGAACGCACACAGGGGGGTGGGGAGAGAAATAGCCCTATTCCGACAAACGTGGGATTAGCTATTTCGGTACCATTGTGGAGAACTTCCTCCTGTTGGGGAGCTGCTGCAGCTGTCCAAAGGCCAACAGCCTGTCGCGGCGAAGCAATAGGGAAGGGGGCAGAGGAGAATTCCCAGAGTACTTGCAATGCCTTTCTTTCAATAAATATATAAATAAGTAGATGCCGAGGGCGCTTTCACACCTTTAGGAACTGGCGTGTGAGGATGAGCGGGAGCGCATGTGTGCACGCACATGCTCTCTCCTCCCCACTCCAGGGATCCTGGAGTTCCTTGGACATTTGCCCTTGCGTGAGAAACCAGTGAGGTTCTTCAGAAGGCAACTTACCTTTCCCTTACCAATCTTCCTCCGCAAGGTGCAAGGGGGGGGGGCTTGGGGATGTTTCAGACTAGGCCGGCTGTGAGGGAGCCATCGTGCACATGTATGTACAGCTCACAAGTGGAAAGGGAGGTCAGGCTGTGTGCACATCATGTTTATAAAGCGCACTGCAGAGAACCCTGGGAACTGTAGTTTACCCCTCACGGTGCTACAGTTCCCAGCACCCTCAACGAGCTGCAGTTCTCTGGATGCTTTGGGGTAAGTCGTATGGTGTGTACTCCGCCTTACACATGGGAGAGAGACAGCGATGAGCTGCTGTGTGGACCCCTCCCCTCAGCTTACTGCTACCTCAGCCAGTTGCTCCAAATACATTTCTGTCTTCTTAGCTGCAACACTGGAAGCAAGCTGGGAAAGGGGGATAGAACGGCTACAGCAACCCAGTGTGAGAGGGAAAGCATGACGGGGCCGGTCCAAGACATTTTGCTTCCTGAGGCAAAGAAGGTGCCCCTCTCTCCCCACCCCAGAATCCAAGCAGGCTGACAGTTTTGACAGCAAAATTTCACTTCAGGTCTCACAACTGAGAAGCACTCTCCCTCGCACCTGAGGGCAGCAGTTAGCAAGCTTAGGGGAGCTGCCATTACCGTTTGACATCCCTCCACATCTACCGCCTGAGGCAGCCAGCTCCTTCTGCCAGCTGCCCTCCTGCTGTCACATCTAGCTGGGCCCTCAGGAGAAATAAGTCTATCCCTGTCTAGTAACCATGATGGCTACATGGAACTTCCATGAGCAGAGGCAGTGTACCACTGAATACCACTACCTGGAAGACGACAACGAGGGAGAGGGCTTTTGCGCTCCCATGCCCTGCTTTTGGGCTTCCCAGAGGCATGACTGACCAGTGAGGGAAGATGGACCTTGGATCTGCTCCAGCAGGACTTGTTTAATGCCCTTTTCAGCGTCCTGATGATGAGGAAACTCAGTGATATGGATGTGAGGCAGATCGTCAATAAAAGTCCCAAAGAGAGACAGCTGCCACCTCCCAAATGTCACTCTTTTGCAGGACAGATTCAATCACATACCAGAAACTAAGACTGTCACAACTGAAGAGTTCTGGTGCAACAAATCCACATCATTCCACTTTTCAAAACATACTCTGCGGTAAGGAAAGTGACAAAGAAAAGGGTGGGATAATGATCGATTGATGGGAAGTTATACATGAACTTGGTGCAAACTAATCCAGAGGGATGTTCTCCGATGTATAACCTCCCCACAGACAAATCTGGAGGAATGCTCAATAAAGAGGTCGTCTGGGGGATCTCAGTGCAGCAGAACGGCCAGAGCACCAGATATGCCCCTGAAATGCGAGTCCCACCTCCGCTTTCGGGATGCACGGAAATGTGGAGGTGTCAGCCGAGGGTGTGTAGGAGGGGAAGGAAACTGGAGATAGGAATGGGGTGCACAGTGGGTCATTTCACACTCCGGACTTAATGGTCTTATGGGGGTGGGGGAACTCTCTAGATGGCCATGTGTTTTATTTCGTTTATTTAAAACCGTCTCATCCCCCTCTTCCTTTCGATTACCAGTAGCAGACAAAATTGCAGGGCAGAGACAAAAAGCTGTGCGGTCAACATTGCTGTTCCTACGGCTTACCTAGGCAGCACTGGGGCAGGGCAGTCCTCACAGCCCCCACCTTGCCCTGCCCTGCTCCAGGGCCAGCCAGGTACAAGTTGTGATGTCAGTATTGGGATGGCAGGTCTGCCACATCAGCACAGCTGTGGAACATAGGAAGCTGCCTTATCCCGAGTCTGACCATTGGCCCATCTAGCTCCATAGTGCCAACACTGACTGGCAGCAGCTCTCCAGGGTTTTCGGGTGTGGGTCTCTGCCAGCCCTACCTGGCGATGCCGGGATCGAACCTGCAACCTTCCTCATGAAAAGCTGGTGCTCTGTGTTACAGCTTTTCCCCTTGTTTCGAAATTCAGCAAGCCCCACCCCTGCTGCACATGTGGGTGGCTGCTCCTTCTACTGAGTGTGGGGTTCTGGACCTCTGCCCCACAGTCCTGCTCGATGGCACCACACAGCTGCCACATATTGGGTCAACATTTTCATGGAGCTATCCGCTACGATCCCAAGGTCTTGTTCCTGGTCAGTTAATAAATGGATGCAACAGACAGAATACTCTCTAACATTTCACAGATGAGAACAGGAATATGATCATTTGGTGCAGTGGTTAGACTGGCAACCTAGGACTGGGGACAGACCAGCTTCAAATCCCCCCTCAGCTATGAAGTTCTCAGGGCTCATCAATCTCTCTCAGCCAGTAACCTGTTTCATAAGCCTGCTGTGAAGATAAAACGGGACAAGGGGAGAGCTCCTTGGCGGAATGGCGAGTTATAAATAAAAGCCAATTCTCCAACCAAGGGCTGTTGCCTGAATGCATCTGTTGCATTGCTGAAATTCCTGTTCTGCATGCTACTTTTGCAATAGGTTGTCCTCTAGTGATCTAAATGGGAGGTGTTTGCTGTTATGGTTAAAAATAACTCTTAAAAGCATAATGCAAAATATGCCTTAGTGTAGGATAGGGATGGGTGAATCTGCCTGTTTTGGCTTTTCTCAGTTTCTCATTTTCCTTAACTTATATTCAGTTCTCCATATGTGCACATCAGTTCACAATTACGTGGGTTTTTTTAAGTCCTCGTGAACATTCATGAGCATTTTAATGCAACTTGTTTATATGCCATTTTGCCTCGTATGTACGTACATTGTTGCAAAGCAATTCTCCCTGATATAATGCATTTTTGTACACAGCACTTGCCTGGAAAGCTGCACTGCCAACTTTGGAAAAGCACAAATTTTGGGAGGGTTGCTTCCTTCAGTTTGCATATTGTTTTGGATGGTGCAAATGATTGCCTTGAGATGCAAACTGAATCGACTTTCTCCTTTGTCCCAGCACAGGAATGGGGAAACTGTGGTCCCCCAGATGTTGCTCCCCTTATCCTTGACCGCTGGTCCTGCAGGCTAGAGCCTTTTTCCCTTGCTGCCCCTCATGCCTGGAACTGCCACCCAATGCATCTTTCGAATGCTACCCCTGTTCCTTCAAATCCTTCTTCAAAGCCCACCTTTTCTCTGATGGAAGACCATTAAGCCAACCTCTTTTGATGGTAATGTGCATTGCTTCACTTACTCCAAAATAGGGGCATTCCAGATGGCCAAGCCATGGGTCTTTAGCACTAGGCCCAAGATCTCTTGCTCCATCCATTATGCAAACCCATGCCAATGGGCCAGCAGTCCTGGCTCCACCTACTGTCAGTTGCCTTCTGACCCACCAGTTCCAATGGGCACCAGCTGCCACTGAGAACGCCCCACTTCAAATGATGGTAAGCCAGCTCGGCTGTGTTTGGGGGCACTCCTGCTCACCTTGCCCCCAAATTCCTGCCCTGACAATCCTCACTGCCCCTTAGTTCCTATCCCTTCCTGCAACTAAGCCCAAGTACATGTAACTGTACAGAGCAGATATACTTCCCCTGTTTACTTTTGCCTCTATTTTTCTACCCCTCCTACCGTCACCTCCTCTATGACAAATTTTGGATTGTATGCTCCTCGGGGCAGAGACCCATCTCCTTCATTTTTCTCTGCCACACATGTTGATGCCACTTTACAAGCAAATAATATTAATACAGTGGTACCTCGGGTTACATACGCTTCAGGTTGCATACACTTCAGGTTACACACTCCGCTAACCTAGAAGTAGTGCTTCAGGTTAAGAACTTTGCTTCAGGATTAGAACAGAAATCGGGCTCCAGTGGCACGGCAGCAGCAAGAGGCCCCATTAGCTAAAGTGGTGCTTCAGGTTAAGAACAGTTCAGGTTAAGTACGGACCTCCGAAACGAATTAAGTACTTAACCCGAGGTACCACTGTACTAACAACAGTTATTATTGTGCGCACACAATGGAATGAGCTTTTTTCTAACCTATGATACAAAATAAACAGTTTTAGTCGTGTGGTAATCATCCTGCTGCTCCACCCCGCTGGAAATTGATCTGCAAGATATCTCTTCCCCGTGATGTGGGTCAGCTACCGACAGGACCATGGGATGCAGAGGTCAGAGTAAACAGGGAAGATCTAAGGCACTCTGCAAACTACAAGAGGTGGGGAAGCCCACAAGATGCAGCTCATCTCTGAAGCCATGGGCCACAGAAAAGTAGCAACGGTAGACTCCTTTATACAGGGTGGGTGAAACTAAAACTGTATTTCAAAGGATTTGAAAGGATTTCAACAAGCCTGACCAATGTGGATATGAGAAGTTGCTTCCCCCCCCCCTTTTCCTCTCCCCACCTCTTTTCTCCAACTTAAGGACAGGCAGTAGATCAGCTTAGTTTGCATACATGGGAATTATCCAGGGGACTGAAGTAGCTGGTTGATAAACGCTAATGGCAAATGTATGTAACGGAATAAATCCTCCACAACTACCCTTCCTTCACACCTGGGCTTCCCTGCCCAAAACCACACAATAGGGATCAGAAATCCTAGCTCACCCAACAATAAACATGTGAGCATAATTAACTAGTGCAGGATGTGGTGATGGCAATCAGTTTATATGTCTTCTTAAAAAAAAGAAAAGACTATATTCTTAATGATTCTATATTCCCGCATAAATTAACTCCAGTTCTGTATTCACAATTACAAAAGCATCAACATTCCACAAAGGCAGAAAGTAATTTACCTTTCTTATGCCACTCTGAATCTGCCCCTTTTGCGACAATATGTTAAGAAAAAACATCAGAGGGGTATTGATTGATTCTGTATGCAATGACTGTGCTCACACACAGAGAAACATGCTTGGTTTAAGGAGAGTGGTCAGTGACAGCACCCTCACAAGAAAATGAAAGGTTTAAAACCACTGTTATAAAGGGGGAATGGGGAACAGAGCAGAAATGAACAGGCTCAACTGCCTCCTGAGCCAGAGCACCCCCTAATGGCAGTCTGCTGCACTGCAGCTGGCCTTTTCTGTGCCCAGCGTCGCAAACGTGGGAAAACACACAAAAAAGCAAATTTGAAAGGGACTGTCCAGCATTTCCTGTTGAAAAGGAAATGGGAGAGAAACTGTGGTTTTGATCCTAGTAAAAGAACAAAGAGACAACAAGCTGGGCTTTGTGCTCTGTAGCCACAGGGGTTGCCAACATTTTGTCCTGCCTTTTCCAAGCGCACAATATAAAGGCAGAAGTTCAACCGGCAAAGAATCTACAGCAGCTGCTTGCCTTGCAGACAAGATTCACTTGCTGAATATATTCTTGCCATACAGCAGAGAATGCCTTGCTTTGCAGGGTGGGAAGTATTTCCAGGGAAGGATGGGAATCTGTGACGGGTAGAGCCCTCCTTCATGTACCATTCAAAGATGTTCTCTGGAAGAGGAACCTCTGTTTTTGTGCTTATTTTATTCCTACAACATCCTCCTTTACCACCACCACCCACCCTTTAATCCTCACTACAACCCTGTGGTGTAGCTTATGCTGAGATGGAGAATGACTTGGCCTCAGGTCACTCACTGAGCTTCTTGGCTGAGTGGGGAAATTTGAACCCAGGTCTCTCTGGTCTAAGCCTGACACTTGGGATTGCCAACCTTTGAGGGACCGTGGGAACGTCTGCAAAGCAGAGAAACCGCCACAGCAACCAAGCACATGCCACAGCCTAGGGTATTGGCAACAACAGTTTCAATTGGTGTGGAGAGGACCCCATTGATGAACCTTGCCCTACGGCAGCCTTTGCCAACCTGGTGCCCTCCATGTGGCTTTGGACTGCAGCTCCCACCAAGCCCATCCAGGTAAGGGCATTGCTGCACTTGCACTCAGCACCCGGCAAGAGGCACGGCAACTCCAGAGCTGTGCCAGGGAAGAGCCACGGCTTCGTTCTGGTGACGGATGCCCACGTGTGATTGTTGGGGCAGCAGGTGGGGCAGGTTCAGGATGTCCTCTTCCAGCGACAGTGAGTGTCCCTCCCCACAGATACTTGCATGAGGCTGTACACAACTCTGCCTCAGAGTCCCTGTATAGGTTTATCTTTGAAAGTGGCGTCGAGATTGGGGGGGAGGGAGAGTTTAAAAATCCCTTTGTTAAAAGGTGCCAGAGAGAAAAAGATGCCAGACATGGCCACCATCTGATATTTGATTACTGCCCAGATTCAGCATCTAGATCCCTGCTGGGTGGGTAGAAAGTAGCCAACCCCCTTTTTCCCTGCACCACCGCCCCCCCTGCCAGGAGGGGCATCTGCACCCCTGGCGTCAGCTTCACTAACTTCAACCCCCAAAGTCCAGGATCCCAAATTTCAGGGTTCGTAGTTAGTGAAGCCCCCGGGGTCCTCGACCCAGAACATCCCCATATTAGCTGGGCTTCTCTGATAGACCTTATCCTGTGAAGTTGCCTACCAGTAATTTTACAGACTCAGACACAGGCTGCTTTCACACCACACACTGAAAGCACACGGCTTCCCCCCAAAAACCCAGGGAACTGTAGTTTGTGAAGGGTGCTGGGACATAGTCCTGTGCAGGGTAAACTACTGTTCTCATGATTCTTTGGGGAAAGCCATGCAATTTAAATGCATGATGTGGGTGCAGACTCAAGCCCAGTATTGTCTACTCAGACAGGCAGCAGCTCCCCGGTGTCTCAGCCGGTAGCTTTTCCCATCAACCACTGTTCCCTGATTATTATTATTATTATTATACTGAAGATGCCACGTTGACCCCTTCTCCAAGATATGGCCTCTCTAGAATGTACCCCCGCATGTCATCTTAAAGAAGAAAAAGAACCTCTAAGCATGCGCTGAGTGTCTTCCCCGGCCTGTGCCACAACAGAATATGCACACGTTTGGGGTGATTATGATCAGTTCTGGTGTCAAAAGATGAATCTCCAAATCAAAGGGCATGGTTTTATTTTTGGGGGGTGGGGCGATTAAAACATAACCTGTTACCTGCATTACTATCGATAAAATCACTTGGGGGAAACAAACAGAACTTATTGTTCCATCAAGCCTTTGGCATTACCTCTTGGTCCACGTACTCTGCCTACTGCAGCTAAAGTTAAGTATACGTCACTGAAATAATCACATTTTCTTCCCCGCATGTCCCTTGCATCCAATTACCCCTCCTCCCTTCTGTTGCCACACTTGAATCTGTTGTTTTATACTGTATGCTTGTTGGGGCAGAGACCTGCCATTTCATTCTTTGTAAAGTGCCAGGGACATTGAAGGAACAACAATATCCAGCTTACAGCCTCCCCACAAAAATGTTCTGTTATGAAGAAGAGAGAAGAGAGAGAGAGAGAGAGCGCTCAGTCAATAAAGCATGAGACTCTTAAACTCTGAGTTGTGGGTTCGAGATTCACATTGGGCAAAATATTGCTGCATTGCAGGGGGCTGGAGACTCGATGACCCTCATGGTCCCTTCCAACTCTGAGATTCTATGACCCAGATTCTATGACCCAAATCTTGGAATAGCTTGTCAAGCTGATGAATATCTTTGAAAGTAGTTGGGTTGGGGGAAGGATGAAGAAAGGAAAGCATACCTTGCTCTGGGGGGAGGCGGGGCCCTTCATACCCCCCCACCCCACCCCAGCAGATCCCTAGCATCAGCAGCATTGCAGACTGCAGCCTACCTCCCCAATTATAACCCAGCCCAACCCTGTTGAGCCAGTTCCTGCCACTTGGGATTCCCATCTGACAGGTATCCTGGACGGCAGCCAAAACGCAAGTGGGGAGACAGATGCCGCCTGGGCCAGAAAGTGTGGGTGAAGAACTGGACCGCAGGGGTGGGGATCTGTCCCAGACACTTTCTCTTTCTCTTCTCTCTCTCTCTCTCTCTGCTGCGGCAGGGGTCCAGCAGCTGTCTAGGGGCTGAGTGTGTGAAATCGGCTGGGCTCCGTCTGTCTGCCGTCGGGGCCGGGCGGGACAGGTGGCCGCTGAACTGTGCCTTTGAGGCTGGGGGCTCATCGGGCCAAGCAAGGGAGGCTGGGAGGGGGAGGGAGAGGGGGGAGGGAGCCAGAAGGGGTCCTACCAGGCCAAGGGAAGGCTTGATGCTGCCAACCACAACGGCAGCTCCAGCCATCCTCCTCTCTCTCTGGCCATCAGTCCCACACACCCTGCCAGCCAACTAAAGGACCAGTGCAATGGGACTCTTGCACCGGCAGCCCTCTTCCATGTACCCCCTCCCTGACCACTCCCTGCCCTTCCACATGACCCCCATCCTCAAGGGACAGAGACAATATAGGAGTCCTGCTTCTCAAGACAGTAGAATCAGTCTCAAAGAGAACCCAGGAGTCCTGGCCGTCTTGCCTCCCCCAACATACATTTCAAGTTTTAACACATTCAACACCTGTCCCAGAGCTGTGAAGGGGGACCCAGGAGTCCTGCCCTGCTCCCTTTGGGTTTTCCTCGTGGTTCCCAGCCCTCCTGCCCCATGCTTGGCCACTCCCTGCTCCCCCAGCCCCCATTCCCAGAGCTGAGAAGAGGACCCTGGCTCTAATACCCCCCTCCCTGTCCCTCACTATTACGCACATATAAATACACAGACCCTCCTTCCCTTCCGCAGTTCTCACTCACCTGCCCTCTGCAGAGCCCGCGACCCTCGAAGAAGCACCAACAGCAGACCAAAGACCACCCAGGGCATTTCTGGACAGTGTCACCCCTTTGCCCGGTGCACCCAGGCTGCCCCACACCTGGAGGGTGTAGGAACAGCCAGGGTCCCAAGCTAGAGCCCAGCCGGGGGAGGGAAGGGACAGGAGAGGTTTCTCTGGACTGTCACGGCGCCAGCCAATCGAGGATCTAGGCGGGATCTTCCAGGGTCTGCATGGATGGCGGCGAAGGACGCTGGCGATCCAGTCGTTTTCTGGGATCTCGCGGGTGGAGCCTGCTAACTAGCCATTGCATCCGAGGGGCTCGGATACCCCTCTGCTCCTCTTCCTGCTCCGGGGAAGTCGCTGTCAAGCAGTCGGTGGGTCGGAGAGGGTCTCGTTGATCTGTCCGCAGGATCTAAGGATCACATGTCGCTGGTCCCCAAGGGGCACCGTGGGGCGGCGACTGTCCTCTCCTGTCCTGAAAGTGCAGCAGCCCGAGGGCGCCTTGGGTCTCAAGCGAAGTTTCTCTCGCACTTCGACGGGGCGCAAGCTTAGCTGGTATCCTTCCGGATCTGCCACGTTCCGAGCCGGCTGTCCCCAAAGGATCTGGAATCCACTAGAGTCCGAGCGCGGTGGCTCATCTCCCCCGGTCTTCCTGGGTGAGGATCCGGCGGTCAGACGGGACGGGGTCCCGCCTCACCCTTCTTAGCTCTCTTCACCGCTTCAGCCGCCGACGAAGATCTCGGATCTGGTAGATCTCTTGCCAGAAGTGATGCTCGTGGATCTCTCTTTCTCTCCTCCCCTCTCCGCCTCTCTCGGCTTCCGACCAATCCCTTCTCGGCCTCCTTCTCCCTCCTTAGGCAAATCTGGAGTCTCTCCGGAGCCCCGAGGGATGGTGTGTGGATCAATTCTTGTCCACGACGGGTTTGCTCACCAGGTGGGTTCCTTCCATCCCGGAGGGGATCTCGGCGCCTGTCAGGCGGCGGTGTTCAGTGTATCCTTACTCCCCGCCCTCTCCCCGCCACCTCCAGAGCGGATCCGGAGTTCGCAGGCGGACCAAACCCGAGTGGAATAGTCTGTGTCTCTGTTTACGTCCAGGCGGACCTGTGGTAGTCCGGGCTTTTCCTGGGGGGCGAGTAGTCGGAACCCGCCCCAGGCAGCCCCCAGAGGAGCCTGGGCAGCCGCCGCCCTCGTGGTGGAACCACCTGCAGCGGGAGCCCCGCAGCTCCCTCGGCTGGGCGCTTGTTCGACGGGGCCGGTTCCTGGCTCGGCGGCTTTTACTGCTGTTGCTGCCGCCGCCGCCGCCGCCCTCCGCTCTCTGTTCCCCCCAGCTCGCTCCCCTGGCAGCCGGAGGCAGAAGAGAAGGCGGCTCCCCCGCCATCCCCACCCCACTCCCAGCAGATCTCCCCGCCCCGACCGGCGGCCGCCCCTGGGACGTCCCATCCCGAAGGGGAGGGCCGAGAGGAGGAGGAGGCTTCTCTTCTCGGCGCGACTTCCTTGCGGCCGCCTCGCTCTCTTTCTCTCTCATCTCTGCGCGCGGCCTTGAAATCTGAGACGGGGCGGGAAGAGGAGGGGAAGGAGGGGGCCAGAGGATGTGCGGTTTGGGGGCGAGCGGGTGGGAGAGGAGGCTGGGCAGCCCAGGGCTTCACTTGGGACATAGCTCACAGCCCAGAACCACTTTTTTCCTGCTGGGCCTCAAGCCCCGGAACACGTGAGGAGAGCGTGCCTCTGAGCACGTGCAGAGTTGATCTCTCTCTCTCTCTCTTTCTTCATGCCATCGTCCTCACGCGTCTGGAATCGGGGGGAAAGGTGGGTGAGGCTGACTGCCAGAACATTTGAGCCCCCGCACCTCTTCTTTTTAAAACGGAGCGCTGGCCCAAGCTCCGGAGGGTTAATGCCTCCTGGAGCCCATTTCTTAAATGACTGCGGACACACTGTGCATTCAGAGCACATTCCCTCACCCCGCAAGAATCCTGGGAACTGGCCTTTGATAAGGGCGCTGGGAATTTTAGCTCAGTGAGGGGCGAACTACAGTTCCCAGCACGCTTTGCCACTCTTTTGATGGGTGGGGTGTGTATGCAGCCAAGACCAGCAGGCCTCAAGGTGTGTATCAAGGTGGAACATCTCTGGGTACCAGCAATGTCCCATCCCCTTCTACAAAGTCCTGCATTAAAGGTTAAAGAGAGAAGAGGAAGTGGTTTTAAATTAAAACTCAGCACCAGCTACTTAAAAAATGAGCATCAAGCAGACCGAATCCTAGAGATCCTGGCTCTCATTACCCCATGTCAACGCCACCCCAGTATTGAAGGGAACGAGGAACCAGAGCACTCTGGTTCAGTGATTCTCACTTCATAATTTTTGTAAAAAGGAAGAGAGTGAATTGCGGATCGTACACACAGGATCGTTCCCTGGTGCAGACGTGAGCAGAGAGTTTGGAGGGGGCCTTGTAGGATACGCAGCCTGATCCACTGCTGGATGCAAAATATTCAGAGCTTGGAGCATCCTCGGCAGACACTTGTTCAGCCTCTTGAAGACCTCCAGCAAAGGAGAGACACGTACACACGACCAGCTAGAAATGGCCAAAGTGCTGTTTCTTCCAATGCCCAACCACAGTCCTGACCTTAAGCCCTATAAATCATCATTTAGCCTGGCTAAAAGTATTTGCTCACATCCAGAGGGGTATTCCCTGTGCACAACCTGTGTACAGCACCAGCTGGACTGTATGCTTGTAAACTTAAGAACATGAAAGGTTCAATGAGATGAGTGCACCGTCAAGGTACCGGTGAACCCAGTAGCAAGGGTACACCTATTCACACAAACACTTGTATGTGTGTACAGACAACTTGCTTCTAAGGTGTCAACGAGCCTTCTTCAAATATTTGAATACAGTGGTACCTCGGGTTAAGTACTTAATTCGTTCCGGAGGTCCGTTCTTAACCTGAAACTGTTCTTAACCTGAAGCACCACTTTAGTTAATGGGACCTCCTGCTGCCACCGCGCCGCCAGAGCACGATTTCTGTTCTCATCCTGAAGCAAAGTTCTTAACCTGAAGCACTATTTCTGGGTTAGCGGAGTCTTTAACCTGAAGCATATGTAACCTGAAGCGTATGTAACCCGAGGTACCACTGTAATGCTAAAGGATTATAGGTGGCGGTGGAAGGGCAGCTCTCATTACTCACTTAGGAGGAAATGCTTTCTGCACATGTTCTTGTGTTAGATTACTGTGAGCCGGTCCTGGCAATGAAAACAGGTACTAGGTCCGAGTGCCTGATAGATTTATGGCCTGCCTTGGCTCTGTCCAATGTAATCATTAAAATGTAGTTTGCTGGAGGAGATGGGAGTCCACCTTTGTGCAACCATGTGGTATAATTGTTAGAGTGTTGTGGAAGGATTGGGGAGAGACCTTGGTTCAAAGCCTGACTCAGCCATGATGTTCATCTGGGTGGCCTTGGACCTGTTACCACCTTGTAGGGTTGTGAGGATCAAATGGAAGTGCTGAGGAAGAACCATGAAGAACTCTGAGCTCTCGATGTGGGCGGGAGAAGGCAGTAGAGAAATGAAATAAATAAGCCTCCCCTGGTTTTACGAAGTGGGTGGAGGTGGGAAGAGAGTGGTTCAAGTGTGTCAGAACCCCAGTCAACCCGCTTGGTGGTTCAAGGAATGTTGACACGGCAAAACTTAAAAACTGGTTTGAGAAACCAGTTTAATTATGGAGGCTTTCCTTCAAAGGATCTCGGCGACTGTCATCTTGTGAGGGTTGCTAAAAATGCTGTCTTTCAAGTCCCCTAAAGTAAAATTATTATTATTTTTCTAATTTGCAGTCCTTTTGTTCCCAGGATTCTTTGGTTTAGGGGCAGGGGCGTTGTTCAATGCTTTCATTTATTTCTAGCATTTCTATCCCAGCCTTCCCCCCCCCCCAAAAAAAGGTGGCCAGATGTACTCAGGAGGTCACAGACCCATGGCACCAATTTGCATAAAAAATTGCATATGCATATGTGTAAAGAGTGCAAATTAATTAAGGAGGTTTTCTCAAAAAGAACCCACAAATTAGTGGGCCTGCCATTGGCTGAATAGAGCCTCCATGATCAGAGGCACTATACCACTGACTCTCTGACACTAGGAACAATCCACGGAGGAGAGCTCTCAGCTTTCTGCTGTGCTTGTGAGCTTGTGTGGGTGTGAAGTCTAGCTGGCTGCTGTTGGCAACCGATCTGGGTGAACGTTGGTCCCACCCAGCAAGAGGATTGTTAGTAACACCAAGCTGTTGTAATGGGTTGCCTAAGCTGATGAGGTCAGGAATACAGTGGGGGTGGGGAGCCTATGGCCCTCCTGATGCCAAACTCCAGCTCTCACTGGCCCCCAGCCGGCATAGCCGGCGGACAGGGAAGGCCACAGATTCTTGGGAGTGGTGGGATCCACAATATAATACTGAAAGATTCTCTGTTCATGCTGCAGTGGGAGACAGCCTCTTGAACCCGAAGGACGCCCAGCCACAGTGTGGGTGAGTTTTAGGCTGTTTGAAGATGGCTATCAGGAGAAAACAAGCTTGCTCCATCTTCCATGTGGCAGCCCTTTAGATATTTGAAGATCGCTATCTCCTCTCAGGCCCCTCTTTTCTAGGCTAAACATTCCCAACTCCCTCAACCGTTCCTCAACAGGCTTGGTTTCCAGACCCTTGATCATCTCGGTCACCCTCCTCTGTACACGTCTCGGTTTGTCAGCATCCTTAAATTGTGGCACCCAGAACTGGACACAGCATTCCAGGTGTGGTCTGACCAGAAGAGAGCAATACTCTTCCTTCCCTTGACCTCAACACTAGACTTCTGTGGACGCAGCCTAGAATAGAAAACCATAACTAATAGTGGTCATCGCTGTTAATGGAGGTGTCAGGATGAGGTCTATACTGGCTGGTGGGGTGGGGGGTGGCACAGGGTGGAACTGAGCTGCCATAGCAGGCCCAGGTACTGGGATGAGCAACCTGGGAGTGGATTGAAGCACTCTGGAGCTTGGGGGCAGAGCACCTGCTGGTTCAAACCCCAGCCTCTCCAGGTAGGGCTGGGACAGAAGGTTGTCTGAAATCCTGGAGAGCAGCTGCCGGTCAGTGTAGGCAATGCTAAGCTAGATAGACCAATGGTAGACCCGACTCAGTATAAAGCAATTTCCTAGGAGGCCGAAGAGCAGGAGAGAAAGAGGTTCTTGTGAGTTGGGATTGCAAGGGTATCATCCTCAAAGAATCACACTTTCTTCTCCTTTCATCTGCTCCTTCCCTTTCAGGTTCAAAGCTGTCAGAGAGGGGGGCATGTGGGGGAAGCAGTTTCTTGGGGATCAAGGGGGGGATTAGGTGTGATGCGGCTTGTTTTGAGTGTCTCTTGGCAGCGATCGAGGCTGGTGGAGGGGCTTTCCACGCAGGGAGAAGAAAACCCAGCTGGGATTTGGGGCCTGCAGGAACCTGCCCCTTCTGAAGGGGCCTTGGAATCTCCCCCAGGCTTGTGGGGGGTGGGAGGTGGGGGGGATAGAGGAGCGGCCCCAGGTGGTAGCTGAAATTGGGGAGAGGGATCAGAGAGAGATCATCTTATGCATCAATCAAGCTGATTACAAAAAAGCTCCTGTGAACACTGAAGCATGGAAGAATCTAGACTTTGACACCCAGCCGCCTCTCGCAACGGCTGAGGCAGGCACCACAAACCTCACCCTCACAACCACACGCTCACATTCCTCTGCAGGCAGCATCGCGCACTGCGGAGCATGCATGTGCACACACATATAGACACACTGGCTCGCGCCTCGAGTCACCACAATTTGACCTCTTGGGAGCTCGCTGCTTTGAAGGCCTGACAGGAGTGATGAGGGGGTCCCTGTGCATAAACAGAGTGTGCTTTCTCTGCTGCCCACGTTCCGACTGTGGCCCCCACCCCACAATGGCAGGCGGCCCCTGGAATTCTGACCATGAGGGAATGCGGCCCCAGGCTGAAAAAGGGTCCCCACCCTTGCATTAAAGGGGCTGGCAAATTCCACAAGGAGGGGGCCCAGTGCTCAGTGGCTGAATACCGCTGCTTTGCACACACGCAGAAGATGCCAGGTTCTGTCCCCCTGGAATTGCTGATCTGAAAGGAGCTCAGAAGCCAGGAGAGCAAAATATGGGCCTGATGCATGTCATGAGTTAAAGCAATGTGGCCTGAGTCAGTAGATGTCAACATCGTGCATTCACCAACTGTCCAGTATTTAAGTCTTGCTTTTGCTTCTTTCCTGTTTTTAAACAGTGGCCAGGCTGCAGCTTGCATTGCTGCCCCCGGGCACCCAAATGTTTGCAGCCAACTCCAAACATACCCCCTCACAGAACTTCCATGTTCAGGGGCAGTATATCGTTAATTGTCAGGTACCTGAGATAATAAACGGAAAGCAGTGGCTGTGTCTCCATTGTTGCTTTTCTTCAGAGCTTCCTAGGGGGCTGGTGGATGTTGGAGACAGAGTACTGGGCCTGAGGTCAGATCCAGCAGGAAATGGCAGTGCTTGCACACAAGTAGCTATGGGAGGCATGGGGTTTATCATAGCTACTCAGAGGGCTACTGGCAAGAGCTGCTGTGTTCAGTGAACATGCAAACATAGTAAGTCCTGGTGGACCAGGCCAATGGTCCAGCATCCCCTTCTGACAGTGACCCATCAGACACCTCTGGGAAGCCCACAATCTCCCCTTCTATTCAGGGACAGCCTGTCTCCAACAATGGAGCCAGAGCACAGCCCTTGTGGCTAGTAGCCATTGCTAGCCTCACCCTCCATGCATTGGTCTAATACTCTTTGGAAGCCATGCTGCGAGCTGCCTATAATTACTTCTTGTGGCAGTGAATTTCACAGATAAGCTGTGTGAGGCAGCTGCTTTTACACACACAGCAAAATCCAGACAGGCCATGCTCTACTGCTCATTCCACACAGCCCCCCCGGGGGCAAAGAGAGGCCCACGAGGCAACGGGAATTTCCCACGGAGCAAACCAGGGCGGGACCGGTCAGGGCCGCTCAGCCAGCTTGGAGGAACCTACACTTTAAGACTTCAGCTCTTTTTAGCTGGGGAGAGTACAGCGGGGTCAAGCAAACCCTCGTTATCAGGATCGACGGCTCCTAGTCCCATATTCAGAATGAGAATGTGCAATGTGATAATGACGGGGCAAGAGTGCCTCTGAGCACTGTAGTGCATTCCATCTCCTGCACAAAGGAAACAGAGCCAGACATGGCACTCTTCTAGGGTCCTTTCTATTTTAGGAATTAACTGCGGTGCCCAGGACAGCACCAGACCTTTCCCCAACTCCCTTTACTCCATACTTCCAGCACTGCAGAGTAGGAAAGGTTAGGCAACAGGCCCCTTCCCTGCCATCTGCACCCTGAGAATCTCATAGGAAGTTCTCTTATTGACCAGGCCAGGCCCTTGGTCAATGAAGCCCAGTGTGGATTGCAGCTACCACGACTCTCTGTGCCATCAGGCAAGGAACACAAGAAGAGCCCTACTAGATCCAGCCAGTGGCCCATCAAGTCCAGCATCCAGGTGTCCATGAAAAGCCCATAAGCCGGACCTGTGAACAATGGCCCTCTCCCCACTTCTGATTCCCAGCGACTGGCATTTAGAGGCATCCTGCCTCCAACATCAGCATGTTGGTTCATAGGTGCTGATGCTCTTTCTCATCACCTGCTTCCCTATATCCTTAAACCGAAGATGCCAGAGACTGAATCTCAGACTTTCTGCATGCAAGGCATGCTCTCCCCTTGAGCTACGGCTCTGCCCAACATGCGTGCGTTGCAAGTTTCTAGCTCTTACGGTGCAGGTTGAAAGTGTGTGGACAATGCATGCAGAAATCTTAGAAGCCCAAGTGCAGCTGGCTAAGCAGGATTTTCAGCTATCAGGACTCTGTTCCCCTTGTCTCGGGCTCCACCCATCATAGGATCCTCCCGCCACTAGCACCCAACTTCTGACCTGCATCCTTTTGTGTCCATCACAGCAATCAGGAACATGTGAATGGGGTGGAAGGGGAGAGGGGATGGCAATAGTGGTAGTGAGGAGGAGCAGGACACACTATTCTGCACAAGAATCTGAGTAAGGTTGTTTTTTCCTCCCCCTTTCCTTGCCAAACCACTGGAGAGTAAACCCCGGGGTACTCATGATTGTTTTTCATTTTATGAGCAAGGCACCCTGGAGTAAGACTCGCTGCAGACAAGCCTGGCTTCACATCTTTAATGTACAACTTCTGCAAAACAGCTCACGTTCGCCTCGGGACCCAGCGCTCGGGAAATTTCACATCGCCCCCAAGGCACGTACAGCGGTGGTCGGCAATTTGATTTCCCTGGCAGAACTATTTAGGACAGGGCCGCGGCAGGGAGCCAAACCCCCTTCCCTTCCTCCTCCGACTCGCTTGCTGACTCCAGGACAACGTGGAGCTGGCTGAGGTCTCAGATTGGTACTACTGCAAAAAATAAAACAGCAGGCAGCCTTTCTGCAGATGGAGGGGATCGAAGAAACTCCTTTTAGCCACTAGAATGGCAGAGGCAAGGAGTGTGGGCCAAGTGATGATCCTCTTGTAGGCCTGTTTTTTACCCACAGGCAGTCAGTTCCCGACCAGAAAAGTCTGTCTATGACTACTAGTTGTGGTGCTAAGTGGGGAATCTCCATCTTCAAAAGCAATGCACCTCTGAATACCAATTGGTGGAGAGGTGACAGCAGGGCTATGGCTATGGGGGGTGGGGAGGAATTGTAACATAATGTCAGAGTGCGTGCTGTGTACACAGAAGGACTCTGGCTCAGTCTCTGGGCCATCTCTATATATGGCAGAAAAAAATCTGGACTGAAACTCTGGGGACCTGCTGCCCATCAGGATAAATCAGGGGTGGGGATCCTGTGACCCTTGAGATGCTGTTGGGCTCCCAACCCCATTCCTGACCATCAAGGCTGATGGCAGTTGAATCCAGTACCATCTCAAGTGCCACAAGTTCCCCATCTCTGGCAGACCCTCTTCCAGGGACAATCCCAGATTTACAGAAGCTGTCCTGGTTCCTGATTTGATCCCAGAATGTCCCACTTTTCCTTAGGACGCCCCTATTTTCATCAGCAAAGTTTTGGAGGGTGTGGTAGGACGTCACTATTTTCATTGGAGAAATCTTGGAGGGTATGGAGTTATGCAGAGCAGAACAATTTCCAGACCAAGTCCCTTTGGGACCTTGTGGGACAATGCAGGACAATGCCCCAAGGGGAGTTTGCAATGCTACCCATGCATGTTGAAGCAGGTGGTTCGGCGGGGGGGGGGGGGCAAATGTGTGGGATGGAAAAAGCGGGAGGGTTGGAGCGGGTGGCAGTTTCTGCCTCTTCCTGTCCATTAATTAAAGATTAAGGAGGATGCAAATCAAAGGGTGACAGTGTGACAGGCCTTGCCTTCATCTGGCTTCCAGCTGGAGGAACTGGCCTCAAAAACCTCCACTCTCCACCCACCCAATGCCACATCCCCTTCATTTTAATTTGGCCCTGATGAATTGCAGAACTGACAGAGCAGCAGAGGGCAATCCCTTCCCCAGAGGCCTCCCTGCCTCCCTGTTGCTCTGCAATACGGCTAAGGTGCGCCCTGGACACGAACCTCAACTGAGGTATTCAAGTTAAATTACATACCAACTTGGTTTTGGTTTTGTTTTTTACTTTTCAGCATGGAATATTTTAAGCATGCTTTCGAAGTGATGACTGAAAAGCCATATATCGGCCTGCTTGCTCAGAGGCGTAATTGGGGCAGCATGTCCAGCAATGTGGCATCATTGCTGGCTCCTCCTAACCTCTGGGCTGACAGCCTAGCACAGTACAGCGTATTAAACCACTGGATGCCAGAAGTAAGGAGGTTTTCCTTACCCCACATTCTGAGCAGAAACAGTCTTATCTGAGGGGAGCTTTTCAGCAGCAGGATCCTTGAAGTTGCGTGGGGAAACTCTTAGCTTGTACCTGTTATCGGTAGAGGCGGCAGAGGCGGTGGACTAGCTAAAAAGCCTAGTTTTAGGGGTTATTAAAAAAAATAAATGCTAGCCAAAGTTCCCAAACATGGTCTGGCAGATTCGCTTTGGCAGTCTCAAGAGCAGTGGAGCTCCTTGAACCTGCAACCTGAGGAAGACTTCTGTGCTGCTTGAAAGCTTGCAAAAGTTGGGCTTCATTATACACTTTTAGGCGCCAGGGCAGGAAAAAACCAGGCCTTTGGCTGATTGACATCCAATGCCCTTTTAAATGTGTTGTGGGAGGGAGGATTATTGGTTTGTTGTAGTTCTTGTTCTTACTAATTTTATGTTTTGAGCTGCTCTGAGATTTGCAGATGAAGGGCGGTATGCAAGTTTAATTAACTAATAATAATAATAATTTTTGATGTCATTTGGTCTGAAAAAAAGGTCTCATCTCACCAACTGGCAGGTTTCTGCAAGGACCCATATGGTCTACTAGCCATTATGGCTAAGCTCTGCCTCCACAGTTCAAGGAAGGAATGCTTCTTCAAACTGGTTATTGAGAACCACAGGAAAGGGCTCTTGTGCTCTGGTTCTGCTTGAGGGTTTTCCATATAGGCATCTGGTTGGCCACCGTGAGAACAGGATGCTGGACAAGTAGCTCAGTTGGTAAAGCATGAGGTTCTTAATCTCTGAGTTGCGGGTTTGAGACTCACATTGGGCAAAATATTCCTGCATTGCAGAGGGTTGGATTCGATGACCCTCAGGGTCCTTTCCAACTCTACAATTCTATGATTCTACAAAAAATGTTGCATTCTCTGAGTTGCACACAACCATGTGTGTCATTCTCTTCCATAATAATAATAATTTATTATTTATACCCCACCCATCTGGCTAGGTTTCCCTAGCCACTCTGGGTGGCTCCCAACAGAATATTAAAAACAAAATAAAACATCAAACATTAAAAACTTCCCTAAACAGGGCTGCCTTCAGATGTCTTCTGAAAGTCAGGTAGTTGTTTATTTCTTTGACATCTACTGGGAGGGCATTCCACAGGGCGGGCGCCACTACCGAGAAGGCCCTCTGCCTGGTTCCCTGTAACCTCTTGCAGGGAGGGAACCGCCAGAAGGCCCTCAGTGTCCGGGCTGAACGATGGGGGTGGAGACACTCCTTCAGGTATCATGGGCCGAGGCCGTTTAGGGCTTTAAAAGTCAGCACCAACACTTTGAATTGTGCTCGGAAACATACTGGGAGCCAATGTGGGTCTTTCAGGACTGGTGTTATATGGTCTCAGCAACCACTCCCAGTCACCAGTCTAGCTGCTGAGTTCTGGATGAATTGTAGTTTCCGGGTCACCTTCAAAGGTAGCCCCATGTAGAGCGCATTGCAGTAGTCCAAGCGGGAGATAACTAGATGGGCTATTGACCTAATCCAGAAGAGCTCTTTACATGTTCTTAGATTTATCTTGTTTAAAGGCTGCCAAGGCCTGGAAAGTTTCAAAAGCCAAACTGCTGGTCTCTGGCCTCTATGCCCATGAGAGCCTCTGATTCCCTACACATACACACACACCGCAAATCCCTGGGTAATGCAATCCTCCTCGCAAATCTGGCAGGAATTGCTTTATCTCCTCCGCACCCCCTCCCCGCTCAGATCTGCCTCCAGCTGCACCTGGCAAAGTTTGAGCCTGCCCTGATCCAGCCCCTGTTTGAAGCTGGGTGCCTGAAATTCCAAGCATGACGCCTTTTGTTCCCGATCATCCTATAGTCTCCCAGGCACAGCTAATTCTGTCCCCTCCTGCTGGCACCCAGGCTAGGAACGGGAATGCCGCCACATTCAAAGGGATTGATGGATGCCTTTGGGATGAGGCAGGGCCAGGGTGACCCTACACTGAGGCTTGGGTGAGGGGACCCAACAGGAGCCCGGCAGGTGCAATGGCCCAACCTTGCCACGGGGGGGGGGGGGAGCCCAACTGCAAAGAGCACCCGCCCGCCCAGCCGCTTTCTCCCTGTGGTAGCGTTCCTATCGGAGGGTGTTGTTTCGATGAGTCTGCACCGGGGCAGAGGCATTGCATCAGCCTCACGCCCGCTTTGCCTCGGTGTTGCGTCCCTACGCACGCCTCTCCTTGCCACCCTGTTTCCATGCGCAGACGGGCTGTTGTGGCAACACAATCAGCCTTGCCCTTTGGGGGCATGCGCAGCCCGCGCATGCACACGCACATCCGCACACACAAACCCCAGCACATATCCAGGGGTGGTGGGCGTGGGAACAGTCAGTCCATAGTGTCAGGAATGCGTTACACAACCCTCCAGATGGAGCAACAGAGCTCTCCTGCCAGATGTGTGTGTCAGACAATCGCATGTGTCATTCACTGCGGGGAAGGGGGGAGGGTATATGGAGTGTGTGTGCAACAGAGAGAGAGAAGGCACATTCTGTGTCACAACACATGAATCTGCAGCCATTTGGTCCCTTTTTGCAGACGCTTAGGGGGATGTGTGAATGCAAGAGCCAGCAAACGCACATGCGGGCATGGAAGAGAATGACACACATGGTGGTGTACAACTCAGAGAATGCAACATTTCTGTAGAATCATAGAATTGTAGAGTTGGAAGGGATCCCCGAGAGTCATCTAGTCTGACCTGCTGCAATGCAGGAATCTTTTTGCCCAATGTGGGGCTCGAATGCACAACCGTGAGTTTAAGAGTCTCATGCTCTACCGAGCTATTTTGACTCTGAAAATGCCTTGCTGGATGAAGCCAAATGCATCCACAGTGGGCAACCAGGTGCTTTTGGGAAGTTCATGGGCAGCATAAGAAAGTGACAGCTCCTGCCAGCTGCTTTTCACAGACATACTGTTGCTGAACATGGAGGCTTTGCCTGAAAGCTGTCAAAGCTGACATATTGTGGCAGCAAAAAGAGTCCACACATGAATTATGGCTTCTGGTGTGACTCTGAATGTGTGGATGTCTCCCATCCACCCCAGTGCTATACTGGATGTGTGTGAGAGTCCAGACCTAGGCATGTTAATTCAGATAGAATAATAGAGATAGAAGGGACCTTTAAGATCCTCTAGTCCCACCCCTCCTCATTTAATAAATTTACTGCTACAGCATCCCTGATAGGTGGCCACCCAGCCTTTGCTTAAAACCCTCTACTGGGAGAGGGAGACAGAGAGACAGAGAGAGCCCACCATCTTCCCCGGCGATCTTTTGCACTGTAAAGTGGCTCCTACCACTGTAGACTTTCCACTGTAAAGTTCTTCCTCAAGCTTTGTTGAAATCCTCTTTCCTAACATTTCATTATCTTGATCAACAATGGACTCCATCATCTATGTGTATTTGAAGATGGCTACCCTATTGTCTCTTAATGATCTCATAATATCTCCAGGCTAAACATGCCTGACTAACATCACCCTTTCCTCACAAGACTTGGACGCAAGGCCTCTGTTGCTCTCTCTCTCTCTCTGCCCTCTGGACACACTGCAGGTCCCTGGTCTCCTCCTTAAGCTGAGTGCCCAGAATTGCAAGCAGGACTCCCAAAGTGGTTTGATCAAAGCGGAATTGAGTGGTAGCGTGAACGCTTTGCAAACTGCAGCACCTATACTTCTGTCGATGCAGCCTAGGAGCACAGTAGCCTTCTAAAGTGCCACGCAACACCACTGACTCATTTCTAGCTTATCTTCTTACTGAAACTCATGGGTTATTTTCACATGGACTGCTGTCACCCATCCTGTATTAGTGCATCTAAAAGTTCAGCGGGGTTTACTCATGCATAAGTGCAGACAGAATTGCAGCCTGTGCACAGATAGAGAAACAGATGGCATGCAAAAAGGGTGGATGCTGCTGTGATATTATACATGTGTCCCAATATTAGGGTATGCGTTTGTGCATGACCACAACAAAATGAATATATGTGTGTTGTTATGATATGTATTTATATCTGACCAGCACTTTCCCTTCCCGACTGATTATTATGTGTAAGTTAGCATTCATGTGTATACTGGCATGTAAAGGTAAAGGTAAAGAGACCCCTGACCATTCGTGGCCGACTCTGGGGTTGCGGCGCTCATCTCGCTTTATTGGCCGAGGGAGCCGGCGTACAGCTTCCAGGTCATGTGGCCAGCATGACTAAGCCGCTTCTGGCGAACCAGAGCAGCACACGGAAACACCGTTTACTTTCCTGCCACAGTGATACCTATTTATCTACTTGCACTTTAACGTGCTTTCAAACTGCTAAGTTGGCAAGAGCAGGGACCAAGCAATGGGAGCTCACCCCGTTGCGGGGATTCGAACCACCGACCTTCTGATCGGCAAGTCCTAGGCTCTGTGGTTTAACCCACAGCGCCACCCATGTCCCTATACTGGCATGTATGATCTTGTATTTTCCCATTGCCTTTGATATAATATTGTGTGTGTGCATGTATGTATCGATGAGGCAAGCAATGGTTATTTTTTCCAAATCGAAAGCAACAGGATTCAAGCCTGCCAAGAAAGCCACACCTTCCGATGCCCTGCTTCTAAATCCCATTGTGGGAAGCTTGCCTGTGCTTACTCAGTGGCAATCAGAAGGCACTCTGCACACACTCAGAGGCCCCCAGCTTTATCATTACACCTCCACATTCGCAATATGCAAGCACTGACAGTGGGTTCTGGAGCCAAGCCAGACTTAAATTAAACACTGGGGCCAAGTATGTGTGTGTGTGTGTGAATGAAATATAATATCTGCACATGCAACATAATCTGTGTGTATGCGAACGAGCAGAAGCTTTTGTGCTGGAGGCAATTCAGGCAGCTGTTGAATTTTTTGGGCGGTGGGGGAAGAGTCTGGTTTGGGAGAAGCAATTGGTGTGGTGGGGGCGGTTAATGCTTTGGTGTTGTATTAACCTTTGATGCAAGATGTGTCCATAAATCTTTGTATCAATAGGTTCCAGCTTGCATGCTGCAGGATACACTTTATTTGCCTCTCTTAAAGAGAGTGCTAAACTGGGATTGGGGGGGTGAGGATGAAGGGGACGGGGCGTGCAATGCTGACTATTTTGCCTGAAGTGGAAGTTTGTCTGCAGCAGCTGCGCGTGTGTGTATTTGATATGTGCCTACCTATCTGTCAGTAGGTGTGCTTGATTCTGTGTGACATGTGGGTGTGCCGATGCCTCTCAAGAGAGCCACCGAGGAGGTCTGTATATGCCTCCTGTCACTGTGGTTTGTGAGTCACCATGTGGCTTAACAGGTAGGTGCAATGTGTGGCGTGTGGCATTTGTGTTTGTGGTGCACAAACACACCTTCTGGATTACTTTTTGGCATCAAAACCAGGTCCTGGGCTAAGTCAGCCCTGTCTGCACCACTCTTGTCTTTAAAAGGCATCAATCAGGGCGTGTATCCATTTTTAGATGCAAAAGTCATTATGTACGAGGTAGGTTGAATTTGTGCTTGTGTCTCAAGGAGAGCTACCGCCTTTTTTAAAAAAAAGAAAAGCAGTTAGAAGAAAAGGGCCACGAGACATATCTATAAAAATTTGAGGATCAAAAACCCTTGTCTTGTTCTCCTGCCTGATGCAGGCTGGGCGCAGAGGGAAAGGGGAAAATATATGAGCAGTGGGAACAATGCAAAGAAGGAGCAGCTCAGGAAGGGAGAAAGCACTAAGGACATTTGGCCCAAGTGCCCCACACTCCAAAATTCTTTGGCTGCATGCATACTGTACATTTAAACCACATGACACATACATACAAAG